GACGGACAGGACGACGATGACGGACAGGACGACGATGACGGACAGGACGACGATGACGGACAGGACGACGATGACGGACAGGACGACGATGACGGGTTTCGCTACGATGACGACGCATTGGACGACATTCACGGATGGGGCCACGATGACGGAGGGATCCACGATGACCCATATGGCCGTGATGGCCCACCGTTCGACGATGATCCGTCCAGCGGAGTGTACATCCCGGAGAATGACTTTGGCGGGCTGGTGTCTATTCGCTTTCCCTACGTGGCCGATTCAGGGATGGAAGACTGGGATTTCTATTGTCAAGGCTGTGACTACTTGAAGGGTGATGACGAGGAGTGGGACCTGCGCGATTCTGCCGCACAACGCAAGTTGTCTGCCAGCATGCTCTTCGATCTGAACCGTCCGGTGCTTTTCAGGCCGGGCTTGGTGCGATCCAAGCAGCAGTTTTTGGACCATGTCAAAACCTGCTATGGTGTTCGTCGCCTAATTGCGTCCTGGGGACCTGGGTCCGAGCCGTCGTCACCCGCTTCAGAGAGTCTAAATCATGGGTATTATATCGATTACTATTCCTTATAATTCTCGGCATAGTACATTGCCCAAACGAGGTGGATCGCTTTGAAGAGACAGATAGATGACCCCTTTTCCGCTCGCACACGGCTTTTCTCAGATGGTAGCGTCACTGCAGTGCTGTTGGGGGGTCGCATTTGAATGCCAGTCACCCAGATCCGAGTAACTCCGCCGCTTTCCAGGTTCTCACAGTACAGACTCCGTGCTCTAGGACAAGACATGTCATCCACGTAGTGGATGGTATGGATGGTACGGTGTCACCGTTTTGTCAAACGAGAAGTTGATAAGGATTGTTGATGATGCCGTCGCGGACTCGCTGGAATTGGGGAGGTGGAGCTCACCTTCCCCGCACGTGACGATATCCAGGCAGTCGGGAAAACAATTAGGGGAAATCGCATTTCTCTCTCCCCCGTCCAATTACATACTTTACGCAACACTGAGCTTTCTGTCTTACAGACCCGATGGCCCCCAAAACACCGGTGTTTCTACTCAAGACCAGATCAAGTCCGATCGACGCATACGAGGAGATATTCTCAGGCTCTGCCAATGACCTCAATTTCGAACCGTCATTCGTCCCAGTGCTGGAGCACCAGGTCGATGAAGAAGGAATGGCCAAAGTGCGAAACCTGCTCCGAAATAGGTTAATAGGCACGGCCGAGGGCTCCGCATACGGTGGCTTGATTTTCACCTCCCAGCGGGCTGTCGAGGCCTTTACTAAGCTCGTCGAGGAAGGGAGAGGTGAGAAGCAAGTCTCGGCGGTGCAACAACAGAGTAACTAAAAGGTAAGCAATTCCGCAGATGAAGAAGGATGGCCCCATCTCCAGGATGTACCCTTTTACAGCGTCGGACCGGCGACAACACGGGCTCTGAAAGCTGTCCCTCAGCGCCCTCCTCTGCAGGTCTTTGGCGAGCACACAGGCAGTGGCGAGAAGCTGGCGCCCTTCATCCTTGAGCATTACGGGAACTGGTACAGAGACCGCGTGCCTAAGCCTCCGCTGCTCTTCCTGGTGGGCGACAAGCGCCGCGATATCATCCCCAGAGTGTTGACTGAGGCGGGATGGCGGGTAGACGAAGTCGTCGTTTACGGCACGGGCGAGTTGAAGTCTTTCAAGCAAGACTTCACCCGGCGCCTTGAAGAGACTATGGACCGGTCACGCAGATGGATCGTTGTTTTCTCGCCCAGCGGATGCGACAGCATGCTGAGCGCCTTGGATCTTCTGGACCGGAGCACCGGCATGGCCAAGCCTAAGCTTCCAAACCGGAGCACATATATTGCTACCATTGGCCCAACGACCCGTGATCATCTCATTAACACGTTTGAATTCGAGCCCGACGTCTGCGCTGAGCAGCCCAGCCCGGAGGGCGTATGGCAAGCGATCTGCCACTTCATCGAGAATATGGATTAGGGTCTTACCTATACTGTCTTCTCAAAGTTCTCAACGCCTTGAGTGAGAGATATTAAGAGCACGTGAGCCGTTGAAACGCTGGGCTTGACTGCACTCTTGGTTTGGCGCAGCAGTCTTCCCTGCTTCTGTGCATTCAGGGTCTGGATTCCGGAACAGCCAACCAACAGCTCGGATGGAGCATTCAAGAGCTCACCGCGAATCGGTGCCGCAGCCACATCCAATTGGCCTGCCGCTGGTAGTGAATACGTTACCAGCCCCACAAGCTACCTAGTTTCTAGTCATGATTCGCTTCATTTTGGTTCATTTCCAGGTACTCGATTGTTCCCGATACCTAAGAGACGTATCGCCCCACAGTGCGTAATCAGGACATCCTGACGAAACACTCGCTCTCATCTTGCCTGACGCCATGTCAGACAGCCATCAACACAAAAATTGTACGCTTTCACAGCAAGCTGGCTTGCAAAACACTAGTGGCTGTTCATGGCAACCTCTATATTGCAATCGCCTGTCAACCTTGACTTTTCCTCTTTGTCGAACCATCGACCAAAGATTTATTCCTGATCCGAGCCTTGCCCCTTGCTCCTTCCACTACCTCCACCTGTTGGGCCATTAACCAAAGCGACAATGAGCTACTACGCCTCTAGCCGAAAACCCGTCCTCCGATCGCGCCTGTCTCCCGAGCTCGAATCATCACCGGCATCCTCAACCCGCGCTGTCACCCCACCGGGAGGTGCCTCCTCCGCGAGCTCATCAACCTTCCTAACTGCATCTGTCTCGAACCTCTGGGGCGGCCTCGTTCGCCGCTTCTCGGCCGAGCCATCCTCATCCACGCCCGCCCAAACGGCGCCCAGCCTGCCACACGCGAAGACGTTCCAACCAGACGGCGACTCAAACGGCGGGGTCTATTCCCTACCACATCACCATATTCTCCGTTCGCACCGCACCGCTTCCCCCATGCGGCCCCCGCCTCTGGAACCGTTGCAGCTACTCGGCTTCTCGGACGACACCAGGGCGGACGCACGGCTTCTCACGGTGGCTATTGCCGAGGAGATCCGGCTTATGGTACCCGCGCGGCTAAGCATCGTGGACGAGTGGAGACTGGTGTACAGTCTCGAGCAGGACGGAGCCAGTCTAAGCACCCTGTACGAAAGGTGCGCGCGATACCAGGGGAAGCGGGTTGGGTTTGTGTTGTGCGTAAAGGACTGCGAGGGAGGGGTAAGCGCATCTCGCTCCCATCTCTTCTCTCTGAATCCCTCGTTCAAATAACTAACACTACCAAAAGATCTTTGGCGCATACCTATCCGACCACCCTCACCCGGCGCCCAAGTACTTTGGGACAGGCGAGTGCTTCCTCTGGCGCGCGTCGGTCATGGCATCCCTGCCTCCGCCGCCGTCAGCCATCGACGACGACAACAATAACAACAGCATCTCCACAACCGCGGGGAGATCGACCACGATTCCCGCAGCTACTGCCGAGAACAAACAGCAACAGTTCATACGCTTCAAGGCCTTCCCCTACTCGGGCGTAAACGACTACTACATGCTCTGCGAGTCGCACTTCCTCAGCCTCGGCGCCGGCGACGGCAAGTACGGCCTGTGGCTCGACGACGGCCTCGAAAAGGGCGTCAGCGCGACAAGCCAGACGTTTGGCAACGAGCCGCTCAGCGACGAAGGGGAAAAGTTTGGCGTGCTGGGCGTCGAGATGTGGGTCATTGGTGCGTAACACGTCAGGATTGATATTGGGTATTTCGGCATTTCGATTTTTTTCTCGGCGAAAAGGACTACACTGGGTATTGCTTGGACTTGGAATTTGATTTCAGGGGTTGGCTTGGCAACCGGAAAGGAGTCGGCGGCAGGGTGCCGGTGTTATGGCGATTTGTTTTGCTTGATGGGCCGATCTCGTTTGGACTGAGGCTGGGCCGGTTGGTTTGATTTGGTTTAATCTAGTAAATGGGCTTATGTGATTGCAAGCAAGCAGCAGGGAATGGCACTGCATGCTGGGAATAATCAATGAGAATCGCGGGAGAAAGGAGGGGGATGCACCCATCTCCGACATATCCTTTGGCACTCGAAAACAGCACAAAGAAAAGCAACAGGAGACGGAAGGTCAATGAGATGAAAAGCATGGCAAAACAGAGTCTGAAGATACCCAAAGGCGTGGTGAGGAACACGACAACCACGCCGCTCATCAAAGCTAGAAGCACAGCATAGTCGTAGGTATAGGTGGCAATCTCATATCAAGCTTCAAAAACACAAGTCGAGAGAAGAATCTCTGCGCTAGGTGTCTCCAAGTCCTACAGTTATCCTCAGACCATGGGATATATGGGAACCTTAGCTACCTTCGGGTGACCACCTAGGTCTAACAGGTCTGTTCTCGACTGTCTTTACCTTTCCGTTGTTTGTCCGTGGGGTGCAAGAGACAGATACTATAGACATCTTTTAATGAACGGATTAAGAAAGGAAACTAGCGTGCCCATACCCTCGCTGCGAAGCAGCCACCTTGGTATTTATCACCTCTTTCCCTCTTCCATCTCCTACGCCCTCCACGACATGCCACTGCTACAACATGCTCCTCGACGAGAGCAAACTTGACCCGATCAGACTACATTATCTAGATCAGCACTGGGCACTTGACAAAATGTCTGACCACCTAATTCGTCGGGTACTCCTACTGAGCATGGTTCATTTCACACCCAACAACTACTGTACGCTGTCAAGAAGATGCGAGGAATGAGATGATATAGTAGAGAAGAATAAAAACAACAAAAGGAGACCGCTTTCTTTATAGAATATCCACGTTCAACCCGTCCGCATATTCCCTCCCCCTCTGTATCTCTCCTCCGCTCCGCTCCTCTCTCCCCTCTCTCTCAACGCTAGTCTATCCAGTCCAATTCTCCATCCAACCCCAGGCACCAGCACCAGCACCAGTCCACGCAAGCAACCGCAAGCGCAAAACCAACAACAACCAACCAATCAACCAACCACATCACAAAAAGAAACACTCTCCGGTATTCCTCTTCACCCCCAGCTTAACGCCTGACGACGACGACGACATGAGGTCCTATCTCATAATCTCCTGATAAATCAGCTGCTTGAGCTGTTCCTTGCTGAGGTTGTCCTTGTGCTTGTCAAAGTCGAAAAACTCCTCGGGGATCGGCGGGGCCGTGGGCTCGTCGTCCGGGTCGTGGTAGGGCTCGAGGTACGGGTGCTTGAGCGCGTCCTCAACCGTGATGCGTTTCACGGGGTTGAAGGCCAAGAGCTTCTCGAGCAGGTCGAGGGCCAGGTCCGACGTGTTGGGGAACAGGGTCCGGAAGGGCACCTTCTTCTTGAAGGGCAGCGACCGGATGTACTCGCGCGCCCGCCGCGACTTGATGCCGTAGTAGTCCTCCATTGTCGGCGTGCCCAGCACGTCCAGGATCAGCGTCAGCTGGTGATGGTCTGTTACAATTTTCAGGGTTAGCAATCTTCTTCCCTTTTGCGATCGGGGGCTCAGTGGTTACGCACAATCCTTGCCGGGGAACAGAGGCTTGCCGCTCAACATTTCGGCCAGGATGCAGCCTACCGACCAGACGTCGATGGCCTTGGTGTACTCCTTGAAGGTCAACATGATCTCGGGCGCGCGGTACCAGCGGGTGGCAACATATTCGGTCATGAAGCCAGAGTTGTCCTCCTGAGAAGCCGCCGAGCGGGCCAGACCAAAGTCGCACACCTTGAGATCGCAGTTAGCGTTGAGAAGCAGGTTGGAGGGCTTCAAGTCTCTGTGGAGCACGTTGGCCGAGTGCATCGCCTTCAGGGCGCGCAGCGTCTGGTAGATAAAGTACTGGCAGTGATCGTCCGAGAGCTCCTGTGTGCGAATTACGCGATGCATGTCCGTCTCCATGAGTTCCTGTCGCCTATTAGCACTCCCGGACGGGGTAGGTAAGACGTTTCCCTCGAAGGTCGCCATACCTGGATGAGGTAGACCTCATTGAACGTCTCATAACTCCGGGGCTTCTGGATGTCGAGAATCGAGATGATGTTCTCGTGATTGAAATACCGCAACAGCTTCATCTCGCGCAGCGTCCGCAAGCAGAACATGGAGTGGTCGAAGGGAGTAATTTTCTTGATGGCGACTTTCTGCCCGGAGGGCTTATGGACTGCGGAGCTGCTTCGCAGTCAGACCACCGCGGGCTTGAGCGCCAACACAACCCAGGACTGGACTTACCACACCACTCCGTAGGCACCTTCACCGACAACATCCTGAATGTCATATTGCTCGCTCACGTTGAACGAAATCTTTCGGGCCCCGCCCCGGTTCTGCGCGTTGCTCATGGCTGCTCACAGATCCTTGATTTCAAGTAGACTGTCTTCTAATGCGACGGCCGGACACTGCCAGCGCGGAACTGGGTGTCTCGGAACAACCGCAGCCGGCCAATCTCTCTCCGGAGCAATTGAGCCGCCGTTATCCACGGGTTCACAGTTCGATACCACCAAGGAATAGCCGTCGTCAATCGGCGCGGTGGAAACTAGCTCTTTTGTGTTGTCGGACGAGCCGGTCGATAAGCCAGCTCGGAGAGACCCCACGTTACCCCTGAGAATGATGCTTCTTTGAGGGAAGGAAGTGAGCTATCTGCGTAGAAACTAAGTCGCCTAGATAGAGTCGCGCGGGCAAGGCGATGTTCTTTGTTTGGCGAGGGGTGGCGCAGGTGGTCAGGAGCTCAGAGCAAGCCTTTCTTGTCTGGCGAAGCAATAATCTCAAGTTAGCTACCAAGAACCATATCAGAACCAACGAAAGCCACGAAACATGGGAGGCGGGAGATCCAATGCAGGTGATCGCTCACCCCTCCCAAGTGGCAGCGCTTTTCTTAGAAGCCGGGCTCCAACTGTCGCAATGAGAGCACAGCCGGAATATATCAACCAGACCGAAGATATGAACACCCTCAGCGGCAACGAGCGTGACGGGACACGGCGATCAAGCGTCAGGTGCCGTCGTGCACGTCCCAGGCGTCAGAAGAGGATATGGCGGGCGTTCCAGGGGTGAATTCCCGGCCAACCGGGCTTCTAGAAGCTTGCGGTCGAACACCGAGGGAAGCAGCCTGGCGGGCGACGTCCCCAAAGACGATGGGGGACAGTTTCTGGGCGGGAAGTGAAGAGCCAGTGCCGGGGAGGGTACTGGGCGATCAGACGCTTCGCTTGGATCTCCTGATCAAGGAGCTGCGAATACTTGGCGTTTCCGGCGATGGGTTATAGCGGCTGGCGGTGCGTGCCTGAATGATCTCCCGAGACGAGGGGACGGGCAGGGGAGGAGTTTGGACGAAATGCGCACAAGCATAGAATACAAGTTACATACCTGAGCTTTCCAGACTGCCAGCGCAAAACTTTGAACGACCAGGAAACGGCGGGACGAGCAGTGAAGGGGGAAGCCGGAAAGTGAGGGGGGAAAAGATATTGGTATTGTTTAACAATTGCCCCGCTTCCAGATCGTGGAGGAAAGCGGGCTGGACGTGAGTGAATGGCGGGGGGATTTGGCTTAGCGCCCGGGCGATCTCAGGTTCAACGGAGCTGCGTCGAGCTGAGCTTTTGGAAGGAGCTTCCCGCTTCGAGACGGCGAAGATCTCTCGACAGATGCGCGAGCAAGGAAACTCGAAGCTGCCGACGGAGGAGAAGGGAGAGTAGAGAAGAAATGAGGGCGAGAAAAGGGTTCAGAGAAGATAGGAAACGAAAGCAGAGGTCGGCAGCGGTCCGGGCCTGTGGTCCAATTGTTCGGCGGATGCTCTAATACAGCACTGTATGTACAGTAAAGTACAGTACATACAGGTCGTCCAAGGAGCGACAGGGACAAGGGGCCAGGGGGTAATTGTGGGTCGCAACGCGTGAAGGCTGTTCCTTAGTGGCGCCGTTCACTGAAAATGGACATCTCGATGGCCCGTGCACGTTGTACTGCGCTTCTGCTCCAACTGTTGGCCAACGTTAATGGCTGCAACGCACCAGGCTTCCTTGGGATGTTCCATCATGAACTCCATCGCTCACATCATCCGGCCGGCTTCAAAACACGGCGGTCCCAGCGGAGGCAGCCCCGGGCCCGCTTCCAATGGACATGTTTCTGATGTTTCTGCTCCTGAAAACCGAGCCAAGCTCCCTCGCACTTTTGGCCGCCGAAATGACCGAGCTGTCAAGAACGTTTCGGTCTCTGTTGCGGGCAACAAGACACAAAGACAACGAAGGGTAATTCATAATGATTCAATCTGAGAACTACGCAAAAAAAGCCATTCTTTGATTTCATAACCAGTCAGAGTCCAGCAGAATCAGCAGACGACACCAGACCAGACCGGTTCTTTGGCCGTTGGCGCTTGGGAGAATCTGGCAGAGATAACGTCAACGGTGACTACAAGGTTGTTAACCTGCGGTTTGATTCTGACTGTGTATTCATACAAAGGTAATCTGTCACAGTTTTGAGAGACGGACGGCAAGGTGTCCGTCCAGTCTGGTCCCTTTCGCGCGCGTGCCTTTCCCCTGTGCCTCTTGTTGCGGGCCAAAGACAAAGCTTGTCACACTGCATCCACACACCAATCTGTCCCCCCTACCAGATTCATGGGATTCCGCTAGCACGCACAGCGATGCCGGTACAAAAGATTCACCCCTCCATTGGTGTGAACAACAGGGAAGCCAACGAGCACACTCAATTTAGTCATTAGGCGCCCGGAACCGCGACCGACCGGCCAACTCTTCACAGTCTGTCAAGTTGTAGCGCAGCGGCGCAGGTGGCCCGCTTTTTTTGTATGTGGACTTCATGAAGTTTCTCAAATCCTCTCTCCTACGTGAGGTATTGTGCATACCTTCGTATTATCCGTACCTTACCATCTTTGATTTTTAGCGTGTGTCTCACGAGCTCTGAGACCGGGACTCAGCCTCCGTTGCCAGTGGGACCCCGACCCGGGCGACTGTTTCAAAGTGCCATGTGCCGTCCCATCATATCCTACCCTGCGAGCTCCTGCCGGTCTGCCCCAGATAAGCGTGCTTCGGGTCTTGGTGAGAATACCTCCACTCCCGCGTTCCTGACTCCAGGTTTAGCTTCCATAGGTATGGTGACCTAGGTCGTGGATCACTGGATAAATGGGGGCAGTGCAAGTGTTGATGTCCCCTCCGTACTTCGTATAATCTACCTGATCCCTCAACTCACACTAGCTCATACCGTGGACTCTCACAAGATGTATCTACCTTGCCCTCCTGTATTGTACATAGCTATGGGTATGTATATGTATGCAAGAAGTTGGCGCAACCAGAGCCGCACCCTCAACGATGGTTAGCGTTGTCATGTCACTGATGAACGGCGGCCTTGCCAGTAGGCCGCTCAACACCGTCCAGTAGGTAAGGTACGGTATACTATTCATAGGCACAAAGCGGCAACCACTTGCATTGCCCTCCGTGTATTTTGACTTTGACCGTGAACCTTGACCTTGATCTTGACCAACATAAAATAACTTAACCGGGCCACACCGTCAGCATGCTCCTTACGCTTACCTAACCTTTGAACGGTGGAATCGAGAATCCAAATGCAGGCATTTATACCTACCGGCCCAGCCCGGTCTTGAATCCTCATGACGTCTCGGTTAACGTGTGGCCTTCCAAGGTTGCCCAGGCTGGACCTCTCAAGATCAAGAACGCTTGCTGCCTAGACTCCAGTGCATACACCAGAACGTCCATCAGACTATTGCAGGTAATCATACCAAAATAGTAAGACACCGCCGTGGACGGACGGGCAAGGTACAGTAGGCGACAGGGCAAGTCGGTCGATGGATTATTTCCTGTACAGTACAATGGCCTTACAGAGACGCTCGGATGATTCAATAGCATTGGCAGTGACTGCTGATACCCAGCCACGAAAGTGAAGCAATCCGGTTTCCAGCGATGCTAGGCACTTACAAGTTACAACTTTCACCAACTCGCTCTTCTCTCATGTTTTCTGTTTGACAAGAATCTATTGATTCGCCTACATGCATACCTACCCACTTCAAAAAGAACGGAAACCAGACCATCCACATCCTTCAATGTGTGTTAACCACGCAGCTTCATCATTATTGAACAACCTTTTACATCGGTGAATTAAGTCAGCAATCACACTCAATCAGTCAAAAACAAAATTGATGCAGATTCATATCCCGGTACTCACCTTCTCCCTCAGCATACCCATCCACTGCTGGTAACTCATCCCCTGGTCCGCGCGGTCTTCCACCAGGAGCGTCTGGGCCCATAGCTTCAGGCTGGGCTCGCCGTCTTCGCGGACGATGTACAGATGGGGCACCGTGATGCTCCCAACGCCGCGGGACTTGTGGTCGCGGCTCTTGAGTATGACGGCGCGGACGCGCTCGTTGAAGTCGTTGTCCAGCTCCGGGACCGACCCTTTGCCCACATGCAGCTGCGCGCGGTCCGCCACGCCAAACACGTCAATGAGCAGCTGCGGGACCGCGTCGCGCCCCACCCAGAGGAACTGCGTCTGCCCGTCGTCGATGAGGTACAGGCCGTACGGCACGAAGCGCTCCGATGACAGGTTCAGCGGCGGCGGGAGCACGATCTGGCTCGTCTCTGGGTCCGGGATGCCCGCGTTGTCGGGCATGTCGTGCAGCGAGTACAGCCGCGGGTAGATGTACTGCATCAGCAGTGGCAGGGGTAGCGTCGAGAGGAGGCAGAGAGCGGCGGACCGGAGATCGGACGGGATCTGTGCCGACTTCCTTAGCCCGACGTGCTTGATCAAACCCAGGAACAGGGCTGGCAAGCCGCGGAGGTTGGACGGGAACTGCAGGCCGCCGCCCATGCTGCCGCCCGCAAGCTCCTTTCTGAACGTCTGCAAAAGCTCCGTGACCTTGCTCTGTAGCATGTCTCTAGCCGAGTCCAGGCCGTTGCTGAATGCCCTCTCGACTGCCTTGTGGCTGTAGTAGGTTGTGATGGCGCATTGGTCGGCCGAGGCGTAGACGTCGGCGAGGTTGGACGTTGTCGGCAGGGCGAGCGTCAGGACGCGGATGCGGCGCTCACCGTTGCACGTCGTGTGCAGCACGGCCGTCTGCATGCATACCACGTTCTTAGTCATGTTCTCGTCAATGGCCACCTCGACCACGTAGCATTGATCGCGCGGGAAGGCCGGGAAGGCGCACAAATCGGAGCTTCGGTTGAAGAAATTGCCGTAAAAGGTGCTCATGCGGAGGCCTGTGGTGGCTCGCACGCGGAGAACGGCCTCCAAACCAATCTCCGAGGACAGGTAGTCGCTGAACTCGGACGCGAACTTGATGGCGTCCTCGGCGCGGCCCGCATTCCATCCCGGGTAGAACCAGGTCTGACCGCCCGTGTATCTCGGGAGGTTGCTCAGCGACGCCACATCCTGGTACTGAGACGAAAAGAGGAACATGTCGATGGACACCTGGTTCTTGGAGCACTCGACTGCGAAGCTCTTGTAGAAACTGTTCGCCGTCTGGAGCAGGCCGCTCTCCTTGGAAGTGCCCAGCAATTTCTTGTCCTCGCGCATTTCGAGTTTTCCATAGCCTACATTGGGCAGGGAGGCGCTGAGGACCACGAGTTTGCCGCCGAGAGGCGAGATGAGTTTGTGGCCAGCCCTGAGAGCGGAACCCATGCAGGACCCGTTGCTTTGGTTGTTGGCAAACATGTCTGGCAGCTTGGTAAGGAAGTTCTCAATGCTGTTGCGGCACTCGGTGAGCGGAACCAGCAGCTCCTGGGGAACGGGGAGGAAGGGTTCGTCCAAGTCGCTAACCACCAGCATGCTGGTCTCGCCATTCTCGTCACTGTCCTTGGGGATCGAGAAGTAGTGCAAGCTCGAATCTACGGCGATGAAGCCCAGCCGGGTGCGCCGATCGGCATTTGGTATCCTGTTAAGACTATCCAGAATGGTGCGGGCGCTGGTGGCAAGGAGACCGGTGGATACAGCGGCGTAGCTAACGTCAAACAGGAAGAGGTAGACGAGCGGTTGGGGAGGTCGCACCATGTATTCCTGCGGGGCGACGAACTCGACGACGGCGTGGTTCAGCTCATGGCGCTGCCACCGGTCGACACTCTTTTGCGCGGCCGCGTCCCAGTCGAAAGCCTGGGGAACGTCGTTTGTAAGGTTGCACATGTTGCACCGCCACCGATGGCCGTGGTCCAAAAACGTCACGAAGGGGTTGATGTAGGACCTGCATCTCCGACAGCGCGAAATGACTTGGTCCTGGACAACGGGGACTGGGTCGTCCAGGTCGTGAAGAGACGCGTAGGGTTGGATGATGAGGGCAAAAGGCAGCTTGCTCTTCTTGAGCAGCGAATGGGTCGTAGGCACGGCGTTCAGAGTGGACCGCACGTACTTTGGTAGGCAATTGGCATCCGGTGACGGAGTGACGCTGGTCTACCATTCAAAGTCAGCACGGCGATAGCTAGAGCTGGTGTGTGTACCCGGCTTACGTTCGGAGGCAAGATGATCGGCGGCGGGGGGAGATCCAGCTCGGAGACGTTGAAGGGTTGAGTAAGGAGGTCGGTCGGGTAGAGCTGGTTCAGGGGTCCAGGGCGCGGCTGGGGAGGAAGTTGCGGCAGCTGTTGCGGGGTGCCGGGCCCGAGATTCATGGCCGAAACCCCTGCGGCAAGACCGGCGACGCCTCCGGGAGCCGGGGGGGCTCCGGCTGAAGGATAGTACGGTTCCGGGGCCTGGTAGCCCCCTACCGGGCCGGTCGGCTGGGCCATGCCGTATTGCGGCTGCGGCTGGGCGCCGTACAGCGCGGGCTGGGGTTCTGGTGCCGGATACCCTCCATATCCCGGGACAGCGGCCGGAACAGCTCCAAATTGGCCTCCCCCCTGCATCTGGCCGCCCACGGCGGCATTCCCTCCCTGGGCAACCTCAAAGGCGCCGGCGGCATAAGCTCTTTTTTTTTTCTTCCCATGGTCCGGAGCGTGATGTGCAGCACCAGCTCCAGGGGGCGGAGGCGCGGCTTGGTCGGCATAACTTTGGTCGGGATACGGAGGCTGCTCGCCGGGCTGTTGTTGTTGAGGCGGATACTGGCCGTAGCCGTCGTGCGGAGCAGACATGGCTGCGACTTGGGCCGTGCGATGCTGCAACTCGTGCCCGTGTTAGAGACGAATGTGCTGGCGTGCAGCGGTGCGGCGGTGCGGCCTCGACGCTGAAGGATGTAGGCCGAGAAATTGTCGGTTTTGCTGCGTCGTGCGCGAAGCCGAGATGGGAGGAAGCTTGGAGGGAGAGCGGCTTGAAGTTAATCGGCAGGTGCAAGGTGGCGGGTCGTGGAGCAAAGCTTCAAATTGGAGAATTCCAGGGTTAGAGCTGTGTCACACAGGCGATTGACGACACAGTACTAGGGCGAGGGGCTGCGGGATTGACATCTGGCCTCATCAGCGAGGGTTAAATCAGCTCTTGTTGCCTTGAGTCTTGAAGCGCAGGGACGCTCTGAGGAGCCTTGACTTCACACTGTGGGAGCTCGGGCCATTGCTAAGGACGGCGCGAGTTCTCGAGTTCGTGGCGTTTTTTTGAGAAGCGACATTGAGCCAAGCCACAAAAGCTGAGCAGCCACCGCCAGCCTGGTACTTGGGCCGAGGAGAGGAAGAGACATTGGCGTTATCATTATATTCTCGGTTAGTTGCATATATCTTACAATACATGTAATCTATTTTACAACACATGTATTTTCGCCCTGACGGTACTAGCTTGTCCATCAGGCCCCACGTTGCCGCAGCGGGGCTATCATTGGGCGGCGCTCCCAACGGCGGGCCAACACGCCATGTCTCAGCGCCTGCCGCTGTACTCCGTAAGAGGCAGCCAACCGTCTCGCCGCACCTGTCGAAGGACCCGTGACATGGAGTAACTGACAAGGGACTATTTAAGGGAACGGCGCTGTTAGTCGTGCAGATATGACGATGCTGCTTCTAGAGGCTCTCAGTAGCCGGCTCTTGATAAGAATAATTGACGACTATCAATTTCATCTGACGGTTTGACCCGGCGGGCCAACGACTCACTTTCTGATCAAAACCCACTCTCAGGTGGCACCTGTAGTTAGTACTCAGTACGCAGCGGGACTGATCCTGTCATTCGTAGTGCCTCCTTGCTTGTTATTTCCAGCCAAAGGATTATCATTGAGAATTGTTTCTTGTGTGATAGCCGAGCCTCAATCTCAGGTCTTACCGAGCAACTCAAGAAAGACTGTTCACCATTCAGCGGTCAGCCCTTCAATCCACGGCCATAGAACGCTCATCCTCAACATCAACATCATCATCATGGCCTGGGGCAAAGACAAGTCTCTAGACCAACAACAATCAAGACTCAAGTCCGCTGATCCCCCCTTATCCCTCCCTCTTCCAAAGATGACTAACCAACCCCCCCCTTCTGCCGTCTCCCTAGACAACTCCTACCCCTAGCCATCGCCCTGCTCATCTGCAGCGCAATAGCCTGGGTACTGTACCAGGTCTTTGTCTCGCTGTCCAAGGTCAGAGACCAGGCGCGCGAGCGGATCCGGCAGCGGCACAGCGTCTCATTCAGCAAGGACGGCGTGCGCATCGACGTCCGTGACCGCGGCTCCGAGACGTACATGGACGCGACGCAGAGCTTATTCGTGAAAGCCTGGTACCTGGGCAGGGACGACCCAGATGGCGAGGGGGCGGAGCAGCGCAAGAGGTATGTACCATTCGTTTTACCTATCGCTATGGGAATGACGGGAGCTAGGGGAAGAGGGAAGGGCAAGGGGGCCGGCCAGATTGCTAACGAGAGCGGTTCATTACCTTTAGACATTTCCTCACAAGACACAGGTCGCCTGCGAATCATGGATAGGTGAACTGAAACTGTTGATTGAAAATGTGTTAGGTTGGGCCGAATTGGCTGGGAAAGGCGGCTTGGAAAGGTCGAGCGGCGACGACTTGGCGTTTAGGACTTGGTTCTGTATTGCCTCCTCGCTTGAGGTTTCACGAATCGACGAATCTTGCAGTCACGGTTGTGCACCACCCCTGGTAGTCTTATGATGTTCATGAGCGTCAGACCTCATGAGGAACCGATCCCTTCAAGTCATGACACACAGACGCGCACACACCGCTATCACCAGCAGCGACTAAACTGACCAAGCACGATGCAATCCGTCCGCAAGCTCCTTATGTCTCACCCATTCATGCTGTCAAGGTAGGTATCTTCGCAACAGCGTAGAGCTCTCTCTGTACTCCAGGTATCCATCCATCCCTTCACCCAGCCCAACTGAGAGCTACACCTTACGCCTATCTGGAGGTCCAGTGAGAAGTCGACTTGCAGGCCCAAATGGACCGCCGGCTGACTGAAAGCCCTTCGCTGGCTAGCGGTGGCAGACCGCCTGGCCGCTCACAACCCCTAACGTACATTACAGTCAAGAAGCGAAAATATTATAAGCGTTAACAACCGCCCCCTCCCCCCAACCATGTACATAGGTACCGAACCCCTGAACGTTAGCCGGCTTCATTAAACATGCCAGCCACGCCCTCCAGATCTGGGCTCTGGTTGCGGTCATGACCTGGGTAGTTCCCGCCGCCGCCCGTGGCTCCGACCACACCAGCGCCGCCATTGGGCGTCATGAACTCTTGCTGCATTTTGCTGCGGATGGGTTTCTTGCCGCGAGATGACGACCCGGGGATGCCACCGAGGCTCTTGCTGAGCTTGCCCATCTCCGAGATACTGACACCTTTCAGGTCCTCGAGCAGGTCTAGCACGATGGCGCGTTGCTGACGCCCATGTAACCCAGGCCGCGAGATGTAGTCGATGGTGCGATCGATATCGGATTCTTTGATGTTGGGGAGCGAGGCGAGGATGTTCCTCGGCGTGGGTGTTAAAAGGGAGTAGTGTACGAGGATGTGAGCAATCAGGGAGCACAGCTCCTTTTGCAAATCGACGAAATAAGGGTCGTGAAGTGATGAGATGGCTGCCTTCAGCACCTCTGTTGATATGAACTCTCGGATCTGGCTGGCGGTTTCTTCGGGTATCGGAAAGTCATCAAGGGGAGCCGTATGGTCGGGGTCCCTGGGTATCGTGGTTTCCGAGAACTCGGGGATAATGGATCGAAACACCCGCAGCACCACGCCGCAGCATCTACCGTCGCGCATACTGATGGCGTGACTACAGAAGACGAGCAGCGGGGCAACAATAGACGTATTCATGAGGCAAAATTTGCGGAGGAGAGGGTATTTGGTGTCGGACCCGGCCGCCTGAGCCTTGTCCGAAGGTGCTGCTCCAGGATTAGCGAGGCTTCTGGGGAGGAGCTGCAAGGCTACTCACTGATTTTTGCCGGATCCAGAACATCGGCAACCGTGAGAACGGCTGAATAGGTGAGTTGCCTCAAAATGCTCTCAGCCTTCATCTCCTCTGTCAATTCTTCTCCCGCTGACTGCACCGTCTCCCGCCGTCCCAGCTTCTCCCACTCCGAGCTGATCTTAGCGTCCATCTGTTGGAAACAGGTGGCCAGTATAGGCGGTATGAAATGCTCGCGGAGCTGCACAGGGCAATGGTCTACCAGAAACCTGACCAACGTGAGTACGTTGATGACCTGGTGGGATGACAGATAAGACGCATCAGCAAACAGCGCGTTTGCCAATGGTCCGGGTAGCTCTAAGAAGCCATAGAACTGCATGTCGAGTCGGGTCATGCAGTAGATTATGGCATAGCACGTCTCGCGCACGAACCGCACGGCCCCGCGGATGGTAGATGCAAGTCCCTCCATCGTGTTCTTCTTCCCGAGAACTCTTGCATAAAACTCGTCCTTGCTCCCTTCCGAGATCCCGGCCTGCCAGAATCGATCCGCGAGAAGTCGGCCCACTATCGACTGCATTTCCGTCGGCAGCAAGCTCCAGTTATTAGGGTTATGAGACGCGTGTGCATAGCTAAATCACATGTCAACGTCAAACCTTTCGATCGTCGATACTCTAAAAGGCATACCTGAGGAATTTGAGTAGTTCAGGAAGGATGAGCGGGAAGCCGTCCTGCCAGAGGGTACAGGAGGCCTGGTATGGAGGCGAGTCTCTGTCGATTTTTTCCACGGAGTACGTCAGAAATGACTTGGTCACACGCAGCGGAAGCATCTAGATTCGAGTCAGTATGCCTGAGAGAAGTGGTCTGCACGGGATTGGATGCATACCAGTTGTCTCTGCTCCAATTCGGCCTGCAAAGCGAGTCCTTCTGCGTCAAGATCCGCCTCGCCCCAGTCAGAGACCTCATGGATACGGCGGTCGACCAAGTATTTCTGGACTTTGTCAAGAGCCAGAAGCTGGCAGAAGCCGTCATAAGAGGTTAATGCCTGCTTTAATGTGTCGTCCTTCCACTGATTCTTTACGGGATCGATGAATGTGTTGAGCCTAGAGAGGCGTGTTGTCTGGTCGATGCGTGTAGCCCGATGACTAGAGCAATTGCCGGTCAGTCTCTGGAGGCTTCAGGGTCTCCCGCGTAGCGGCTGGCGCACGTACATTATGATAAACAGAAAGCTCTGGTACGCAATCACACGTTTTTCATCGAGAGTCCCGGAGGCGATCATCTCGTTCACCTTTGCCTCTAGCTGGTCATACACGTCCTGCGGCCCTTGTCAGCTTGAATCCAACAAGCGAAATCGGGACATGGCTCACGAGGAGTGGATCGGGCATCTTGGAAGCGAGCCGTTGCAGCTCGACCATGCTCTCGGTCTGCAGATCCCTGATTGCATCATTATAGAGCCTATGCTCAGGATGAAGAGCGGGCCAGGTCATCAGGATGTGCTCGAGCACCTTGAGCATGAAGGCCGGGTTCGAATCGAGAGCGCGAGTGGAGAAGGTTACAAGCAATTGAAGGATGCGCTTGCTGATGAGAGGATCCTGTTCCACCGTTAGCGGCGTGGCTGGCTAGAAGCACTTGATGAAATCTCACCTCAAACTTCATACCCAAAAGCTGGCCGCACCACTTCTCAAAATATTCCTCAATAGATGCGGCGGTCTGTTTCTGTGCTATGGTTAAAGTCTAATCTTTGGGCGCCTGCTGTTGTGACTTACCTCCTCTGGAGTCAGCTCTCGTGACATCCTCCACTTGTCATAGCCTTTGAGAGCCGTTTCAATGACCGTCGCATGGGCATCGACCGTCAACACAGGCACAGAATTCCTCGCGTAGTTTTCGGCTTGGTTGTGTTAGTAGGTCAGGGGTCAAACATAGGATATGTGTTTGAGCTTACGATTAAGAGGTGGCTGGGCGTCGTAGAGGGTTTGTAGGGCATGCTCAGCACGGCGTAAGATGTGGGAGAACGCTTCAGATAGTTTGAGGTAAACGATACTCTCAATAATCGAGCAGCTATAGCGCCTGTAGTTACCGAGAAAGGCGTGCCGCTCAGGAATCGTGTCTGTGTCCTCGATAAGTAGAACATACACGGGGTCTTCTGAGTCTTCTGGGAAACTCTCGTAGCGGACCAAGCGGGCGCAGCACAGCTCCAAGAGATCAACGATAAAGGGCATCTCGGCAGCCGCCGGACCAAGCGCCCGGTGGCCCAAAAGTCGGGTCCAGGTCAACATTATTGGAATGGACACAACTAGGCTCTGGCTCTGCACCACCAGCATCAGCAGGCCCAAGAACCCCTGAATGTTGGTCTGGCGCGGGATGGCCGCAAACTTCCTGTCCAGGTAGTTGCCCAAGCAGCATAGCATCTAAGGCCGTTAGTACAGCACGGAAGGATGACAAGATGGAAGGGAGATGCTTGCCTCTGAGAATTTCTTCGCAAACTGGTACTTGTCCTCGTCGATATCTTGAGCATCCACAACCGACCATTCAAAGAGTCGCTTGAACAGGTCGACCATGGCATCACTGTACATTGGCACCACTAGGTCGACGAACTCGTCGTCGGTAAAGCTGGAACGGCTGTAGAGGGAATGTAACGCTTCCAGAGCAGCCTTTCCACAGTCAATACAACTCAGCCAGGAACAGCACGATGCAAGGAGATCCGAACCTTTTGGATGGGGGCACTAGGGACCGCGAGACACCTGCACATGACGGTTCGGCAATCGACAGCAGCTAACGCTTTGGGAATTGCCCATGGAACGACCGAGTTGAGGACGTTGAGGGCCTTGACGGCACACGTCCTGACGGTCTCATTATGCTCCAAGCCGCTGGCAAGACAGTCGCCGATGAATGTCGTTATTCTACTGAGCCATCCGTCGCGCTCGAACCGTACCTCGGGCCCAACCTGGCGATTGGGGAAGGCCTGGGTGAGGACAGCCGCCGGGGTAAAGATCTCCACACATGCCTTGCTCAGGGCTCCTTCGCGGTGTACGACCACAACGTCATCTCCGTTGAAGATCTCCTCGGAGAGAGTTTCGAGGATCTGGAGAACGAACTGCTTGTGAACGGGCGAATCCGGTATCTGCCACAGGCGGACGAGCAGGTAGTCCATGTCCATCCAGCTTGCGACCCAACAGCGCTTGGCTGTCTCGACCCATAGCTGAGCGATCTTGTTCCTCAAATACGGTGGGTCGTCGGCGGAAACGGTCTCGGCTAGCTGCAGCACCCAGCTGCGCAGGTACTCCCGGTGATCATCGCTGTATTCCTCCCACTTGTGCTTGACAGCGTGTTCGAGAAGCGACAGACCGTAGTGGCGGACGATAGCCTCTTGGGGTCGGTTGAAGGCCAAGTCGAAGCCGTGGGAGGGTGCTTCGGGGAGCGTCTTGACATTTTCGAGGACTGCTTGGGCCTCCTGTCGGGTCTGGTTGGACGAGTATGGGCTATGGACGACCTTGAGGGCTTCGTGGATTCGCGTCAAGACGGCCTCACCGCCATTGTCCACGGCAGCACCTGCCGCACCGTTCGGTGGTGCAGCTGCCATACCGAACCAGTGGGAAGGTTCGCGTGCACAAGCAGCTGGAGTGGGCAGGAGAAACAGGGCTACCGCGATGCAGCAGGGCGGCTTAGGCGAGAATCATCAAGCGCTGAGAGCAACAATGCGGCCGTAACTGGGAAGGTATATCAGCTATGGTCGATAAAGAAATGGGCCGGTGGTGCCCGAGACGGTGGGCCGAAAGGACGATGTAAATGGGATTGACGCCTGCTAATTTCCGAGACAAATGACTAATATTGGGACTTAGAACAGTTACGCGCAGCAAGTCGGATTATGTAGCAGTTTGGCAGTTGTCACGATGTCGCAGGCACGAAACTGTTGCCAGGCACTGGCTTACTTGAAAAATCCCCATAAAGTTATATTGGGTCGGAAACCACCGCCGAACACCGAAAGCGACCGTGACACTGCTTAACGGTAAGAGTGGGGATTCTGTCAGGCGCGCTCAGGCGCGACTGCCCCTTCCAATTTGGGGTATCGCGGGGCAGAGGCTTGGCATGTGCTGCAAGGCGGTGAGTCTAGCGCAATTAGTGCGCTGCGGGGCTTGAGATTGCGTCACTGGGCAATACGGACCTAAGTGACGGGTCCTATTGGGAATTACGGATACAAGTATGGCATTTCAATACAAACTTTGCTCCCTGTGAATGGACCCCTATGTCACACCGTTCCACGAATCGCTCCAGGATTTGAGGCGCTCCAATTATTCACCTTCAGAGCCGTACTCTGACAATGCTTTTATATGCTACTGTACTTCATACAGCCATTCAAATCTCAATGCGCGGCATTAAAACGACTAACCGAAGATGCGGTGCAAAGCTCGCTCTTGTTACAACGCCTCCTGGTCAAGGCTTTTAACGAAAGAAAATATCTCGTTGGAGGAGTACTAAACGGTGTCAGTCCAGGCGATATCACGGGGCGTCAAAGCGGAGGAGTTACCATGGATGCCCGGATGCCCCAGCTGTTCCCTCCATAGATCCCCAATTCCGTCCAAGCATCAATAAGAAACGGTGAGCAGAACCCTCAAACATCAGCGAACAAGAAGAAACATGATAACTCACCAGATTTGTAGTAAATCTGCTCCCCACCCAGCATCACCAATTGCAGCTGCCTCAATACGTCCAACACCCTAGCAACATCACGCTTATCCCTGAAATCCCTCGTGTACACACACAAAAGCCTTGCCTTGCCCGTCTCAGCACCGCCAGCAATCTCGACCTTGGCCCCGATGCCGAGCCGGTTCTGCGCCGTGGCCCGCGCGACTCTCTCCCAAACCTCATCCACCTCTTCTGGCGCAAGGAAGAGCATCCATTTGCCCGTGATGAGCTCACAGGCCACGGCGAGCTGCCGAAGGTCCCTCTCCGCTTCCCACCGCTCCATTTGCACGACCGACAGCGGCATGCCGCTGCCCCTGGCCATCTCCTGGAAGTGTGACAGCAGCGCTAGCCGCTCCTCGCCGCCACGTCTGAAGTGATTCATTAGAGATGATGATCCGCTAACTGGAGGAGGAGGGAGATGGGGATTGGCGATCCACAGCCAGTCGAGGCCCGGGCGGCAGCCGGTTTAGGAAGGCGTCGAGGGTTTCGCTGGTCACTTGCCAGGCTCCTGGCACGCCCTCGTACCGGTTGTATAGCCGGTCTGTGATTGCTGCGAGGGTTAAGCGGTCCGTAAGGGTAGCTAGTGGTTGGGCAGAGTATTTGCGTTTATGGTGTGCCTGACTCCACCAGGCTGCGATGTCAAAGTCATCAACTCGGGCTTTGAGGGAGGAGATGGTGTCTTCGTCGCCATAAAATTCCGAGTCGTCCGAATCCATATTTGTGAGGCGATGGGCACGCCCTGGTCTTTCGTTCCGTTTGCGGTAGGTGGATCTGCGACTGGGCGACTAGTTGGACGTGTCAATCCCGAGAGACAACGAAGTTTTGACGGCTCGGGAGTCACTGGCTGACGTGCCACTGTGTAACTCAGCTTCTTGGACTCTACGTCGGGTAAGAGTTGCAGCATGTCCCTTCCAGTGTCAGGCTGCAGGTAAAGACAGGAGGGTGGGCTATTTGTACCCAGCAACAGCTGCAAGGCTAGCAATGTTGCTTCTCGCAATGTTCATATTTCTTACTCAGACTGAGTAGGAGTCATAGGGAATTCAAGAGGCTGACCTTTCTCCAAGCTTTCTTCAATGAAGTGTGAGTTTGTCGAGGTTGACTGAAGGGAGTCGTTCACTTGGTGAGAAAGATGCTACTAATAAGGCTGGCCAATCCGACAACACCAAAAAAAATTGGCAGCATCTCAGAAAAAGCAACCCCTTCATGGTGTGAAAGACTGAAAGCCACTTGCCATAATAACCCCTGTCCTGTACTCCGTACAGTGAACACAAGAAAGAAGTGTCAGCAAAGGGCATGGATAATTCCAGCCAACTAGTACGGCCGCTCAAGTCTCTGGGGCTGCATCTCCCTCCGAGCTGCATAGAGTTCTGTCCAGCATTCCCGTCGTACTTTTTGGTTGGAACATATTGCCTTGAGCCCGAAACACCCAACTTGGGCAGTGAGGGTGCGGAGTCAGATGCGAACGCAGAGGCACAAAGTGAGACAGAAGAAGACTCTCGCCGACGCAAGCAACCGCAGAGCCGGAATGGTAGCATCATTGTCTTCCAACTGTTGAGCGGGGATGTGTGAGTGCCCCTGAGACATGAAAAACAGACATATTCATCTCCCGTCTCGGACAGAGTTTTGGATCTAAATTCATCCCAGAACTCCCCTGCAAACCATACCCCAACCTTCTGCGATCCTAGATCTCCGCTTCAACCCCAACGACGGCAGCCGCGATGTCTGTGCCGTCGTGTCCAGCACCGCCACTCTTGCCCTCTTCAGGCTTTCTCCTGGCCCAAGCGAGGGCCAGCAGCAGCACCAGCAGCCGTTGAAGCATGTGGCAACAATGGACCTCGCGGCACTGTCGCGAGGCGCCATCGGCCCGCCGCCCGACGGGACCGAGATCCTCTTCCTTTCCTTCTGCTGGCACCCGTCGCGGCCCGACCTGGCGGCTGTCACCACGTCGACCGGACATGTGTACATTGTACACATACCTATCCTTGATGAAGGAAATAGCTGGGAGCTCCGTCCGGAACCTGTCATCACGCACATGCTTGAGACGTGGTGTGCGGCCATCTCTCCAGCCGCCACCATCCCTTCAGACTCGAAGCAGCAGTCCGAAGACGGCGGACGGCAAGGCGGCGCCGAGGTGGTGGAGAAGGAGGCTGTTTTCAGGGTATATTCAGGCGGCGACGACTCGATGCTGCGCTTCACGACGTGCCGCTGGGGCCGCGAGGGCTTGCTTACCGATACTATTTCCCCGCGGGACTCGAGAGGGCACGATGCTGGGGCCACAGCAATTTTGCCGTTGTTCATTGAGGAGCAGGACGGCATTCAGCATGAACTGGTGGTTACGGGCAGCTATGATGAGCGCATCAGGCTATTCGCAATTCCTCTTCGCATCGGCGGTGGCAAGGCAAAGAATCTTGCCGAGAGCAGCCTCGGCGGCGGGGTCTGGAGACTGAAGTTGATTGACCTGGACCGACGTGCCCAACCTGATTACAGCTGGCGAGCGAGAATACTGGCTTCGTGCATGCACGCGGGCGTGAGGATCGTCGAGCTGACTGGGACTGCGGCGAGCGAGTATCACTTCCGAGTCCTCTGCCGTTTCGAAGAGCACAAGAGCATGAACTATGGGAGCGATTATCAGCCTGGCTGGAGAGACAAGCTGTCAGTCGTATCCACTAGCTTCTACGACAACCTGTTGTGCCTCTGGGAATTTGCGAGCCCCTGAATTGAAGTCTATGCTCAGTGCCAAAAGTGTCTGTACAGGCTCACGGGGCATGGGGATATTCAATGCTCCCCCTATGCAAAGCCCGACGTTGTGGTAGTTTGTACGGCCTCCACTCTATGACCGCCGTCTCCCACAGTCTGTGATGGCTTACGTCGAAGGAGCAACGCCACATCATCTCGTCAAGCTTCGGAGATGTCGGATAAAATGGCGGCAGCAAGCTCGTAGCAAGGTTCCAAATCACACAGCTCAGCCTTTCGTTGGCAGGCAGCTTTCAAGAGCCATTCCTAACCGGCTTGCGCACTGGGTGTGATAGTCGCCAACGCACTCGCTTTCAAGCCAACATCCATAGACGGCTTCGTGTTACCTCGTAGCGAGATCGGTATCGTCCAAGGCAAGATCCGTAGCAGCGTCCTCATCAGTCGGCTTGAGGGGCAGAACTAAGCGGTAGGCGCTGTTCCCGTTGAGGTAGTACCGGTGCAGCTTCTTGGAGCGGATGAAACCGAGCCGCTCATACAGCCTCATGGCGGGTACGTTCGTCTCCTCCGTCTCGAGCACAATCTCGTCGGCGTTGCGCTGGGTCATAGCGTCGATGGCTCTCCTAACAAGCGCCGTGGCCACGCCGTGACCGCGGTACGGCGCCGACACGGCCAACATGGCGATATACCCCCGCAACGTCGAAGGCGAGTGCGACTTGTGCATCTCGAGCTTGCATATTATTACCCCGACGAGGGAGGAATCGATTGGGTCCAGGGCCTAAGTGGGAGTAAGTAAAGGGATTGGAATGAAGCGGACGGCGGGTTTATAGCTCGGAACTGCCGGGCTTCTTTCCCCCGATTTCGAGTCTGCGGGGTTGCTCACCATGAAGCACAAATGGCCCCATTGGTAGAGGAAGTAGCGATAAACATAGATGCTGTATGGCTCGCTCAGATCCTTGGATATGAGAGCGCGTATCGCCGGCAAGTACTGAGTTTCGAGGGAATGTTGGTATTGGATGTACTTTAATTCGGCCGGAAGCTCCGTCACACGGGCCGGCTCCATTCTGCTAGTCATGCTCCTCGAGTCCCTGTACCGTTCTAGCTTGTTACCGGTACTCAGCAGTTGCAAGGTAAGGTAATTATGGACTGAATTGGGTTTGAAGTAGCTCAACGCTATATAGCTATTGGTAAACGGTAGTCAGTCACAAAGGATCGGGGGAAATACTTCAACTGTTAGGTATCGGTGCATTCATTCGGAAGTTGAAGTCGGGGATCGGAGATCGGGTTCCTTTCAATCTTGAAGTGGCGTGCTGTCATGCGCTTTCACATGCAATGATCCTAAAACCTTGCGCTACTAAGTGTAGAGGTACCCTGTACTTTTAGTGTAACACTGTCAGGTGGGTCCGGGAAAGGGAACAGGCCAGGACTGACAAGAAGCCAAGAAATGACATGGCTAAGTACGATAACTCAGAATGTCAAACATGGGCATACCGTTGACATTAGCGTTCAGAAGATTTTCTTAAGCCTGGTTGATGGAGCAGGAAAGTGTTGCTCAAGCCTCCTAGGGCTTGGTTGAGAAGTTCTGGAAGCCACGAAGCTCTTCATCACCAGCACCCCTGGTCTGGACTGCTGTGGGGCCGCGGGGCCAGCTGCTCAAGTGGGTCTTCTCAAGAACCCGAAAGTCTTGGATCTGTCAACTCGTCACCAGTCACCGCGGGCACGGCTCAGGGGTACCCTTATCATAGGACAGCCGAGAAGTACATTCCTGATATAAAATTTGGCAAACCACCAACAGGATCACATCGACATGCTTTCAATTGTCCTGCATGGAGCAACCTACACAATACTTCACCAGCGATTGTAGCTGAACCGAGCTACGTAGCTGGACAGCGCCGGAGGAACTGGCACAGTCCAACGACCCCACGATTTTCGTTTGCCGTCGCTACTCTCTCTGACCATCTCGGGTAGTCTCAATATGGCGAGCACACTACGCCGCCGAGTTTTCGGCAATGATACGCCGTCCGAATCGCCAACCCCAACCCCACCCGATGACAACTCCGCGGGCGTCGAGGAAACAAAAAAGGTCAAAGTCGAAGTAGTCCATCACCGGCCGAAAACACGCAAGCGCAAAAGTACGGCCATATTCTTGTTGGGCAGTCTCTTCGGTATCATAGCTGCGGGCCTCTTTGCTCGGAGCAACGACCTAATAGAATTTCCCGAAATCGGGGAGTTAAGCATGGATAGCCTGTTCGATGTCCTTCCGGCCGGCCTAGTGAAGGACATGCGGGACCTAGTCGTAAGTCGCCGCGACTGCCACAGCCGAGCGGCTCTAGCTAATATACCGGCTCTTTGGATCATAGAACGGTGAACGCGACTTTCTCGAAAGCCACGACGCCTTCTCGGTAGGCCTCAAATTCCGCGCCGAAGGGCTCACGGCGCATCACCCCATCGTCATGGTCCCCGGGGTAATCTCGACCGGCTTGGAGTCTTGGGGGACCTCGAACGCTTCTCTTCCGTACTTCCGCAAGCGACTGTGGGGAAGCTGGAGCATGATGAGGGCGCTGGTCTTGGACAAGGAGAACTGGAAAGCGCACATCATGCTGGACAAGAAGACGGGACTGGACCCTCCAGGAATCAAGCTGCGCGCCGCTCAGGGCTTTGACGCCACTGATTTCTTCATCACCGGATATTGGATCTGGAACAAGATCCTCGAGAACTTGGCGTCGTTGGGCTACGACCCGACCAACTCTTTTACGGCAGCTTACGACTGGCGTCTTGGTTACGCAAACCTCGAGAAGCGGGACCATTATTTCACGAGACTCAAGGCGTATATCGAGACGGCGGTGCAGCTTCAAAACAGGAAGGTAGTTCTCGCCTCGCATAGCATGGGCAGCCAGGTCGTGTTCTACTTCTTTCATTGGGTCGCCTCGGAACAGGGAGGAAGGGGCGGCGAGAATTGGGTTGAGAAACACATCGAATCCTGGATAAACATCAGCGGGTGCATGCTTGGTGCTTTGAAGGACATCACGGCCATTCTTTCAGGCGAGATGCGCGATACCGCGCAAATGAACGCATTTGCCGTTTACGGTCTTGAGAAGTTCTTGAGCAAGGCCGAGCGAGCCGAAATATTTCGCGCCATGCCGGGCATGTCTTCCATGTTGCCCATGGGAGGCAATGCGATCTGGGGCGACCTCGATTGGGCGCCTGATGACCAGCCCGGCCAGGAGCAAAGCTATGGCTCGTTTCTGAATTTCCGGGCGGGGCAGAACTGGACAACGACTCCCAACAGGAACCTTACAGTGAATGAGGCTCTGGATTACTTGTTCGAGAATACCGGCGACTGGTATCGCGACCAAGTTAAAGGAAGCTTTTCCCAAGGCCTCGCACATACGACCGCTGAAGTCGAAGCAAACGAGAAGGATCCGAGGAAGTGGGTCAACCCTCTAGAAACGCGACTCCCTTTGGCTCCAAGTCTCAAGATCTACTGCTTTTACGGTGTGGGTAAGCCGACAGAACGGGGTTACTATTATCGACCGCCGGAGCCTGGCTCCCTCACCAGCCTCAACATGACGATAGACACGGGCTTGACCCAGGGCATGGTCGACCACGGCGTCATCATGGGAGAGGGAGACGGGACAGTCAATCTCATGAGCACTGGCTACATGTGCAACCGGGGATGGAAGATGAAAAGGTACAACCCTGCAAATGTCAAGGTCACGGTGGTCGAGATGCCCCACGAGCCGGAGCGCTTTAACCCGCGCGGCGGGCCCAGGACGGCGGACCACGTCGACATCCTGGGCAGACAGAATCTTAACGAGTTTATCCTCAGGATTGCGGCAGGCCAGGGTGATACCATCCAGGATTACGTGGTTAGCAACATCCGTGAGTATGCGGCGAGGGCGCGTGTGTACGACGAAGACAAATGAACGACATTAGAACGAGGGGGAGGCTGTTTGAATCATATACGGATCGGCGTTTCGAGCGTTGGCTTCAAGAAAGTGGTAGCGATGCGCCATGTATGAGTATTAGACTTGGGGTGTGGCTGGTGAGGTGTTCAGTCGGCTCTTGATGTGGTGTTGGTCCTGGGCAAAGTACACGTTTATTGATACCCCTTTCTCTGCAGCGCCCAATGATCCATGGATGCTACATTTGGCGTTTATCCGCATGATCATCCCGTTGGGAAAAGCTGGGCTCTTATGCTCCGTGAGTCGCTACAATGTTGAAGTCTGAACGAAAGTGTTTGCAGCAGGCTCGAGCCATTGGATCTATTGACCCCAATGCGTACTAAGGTTACAAATGTCAGGTATGGACAGGGAACAGCTTGTAGATGGTAGAAGAAATCGCTCAAGATATCACTGCCAGACCGAACGACGTCATTGAAGCCTTTGGAACCATGGCCCGTGCATACGAAACGCCAACCAAAGTTCCAAACGGACCGGGAGCAGGGGTCACTCGGCAGACCCAGAGCAAGAAACGGCGGGCAGGTGCCGCTGTCAATCAGCCCGCCCACTGCATCTGCTGCGCAAGGCGGACCACAACCCGCTGGACAGATGCACGAGCTCACCAACCTAATTCGGGCCAACTCGCACCGTCCGCTACCTCCGTACATCCATTCCAGTTGTAACCAAAAGATTACTCTCCTCAGCAGTCATATGTCGAATCGCGTCCCACTATTCGTGATGCCTAGTGTTTCAGTCCCGGCACTGGTGCTGTCCGTCTGAGATGATCATGGCGGACCCCGACGTCGATTGGTCCGCTGGGAACGAGGAACAGTTCTGGGATGGTGAGTTTTGTTCGTCCTTTTCTGGCTTGCCATGAGAGTCAGAATACTAACAAGACACGCCTTTTTAGTTCTGGCCGAAATCCTATCTACGCCCTGCCCAACCCACGAGCTGCTTGACAATGCATTGCGGTCCTGGCTCCAGCTAGTCGCCCGAGCGAGGGACGAGTACCTCGACAGCGAAGATGACATTGCGCGTTGCTCCCAGCAGCTTCTAGACAGCGACATATTTGCCCAAAACAGCGATTATGTGCGGACCCAGATTATCTACAGTCTCCTGCAGGAGGACGAGTTTGCGCCGCTCCACGGCATTGCCAACTTCCTTCTCCTTGACGGCCGTACTGAGGAGTCTACGTTTCGGCGCATGATAGACGAGGGATGCTTCATACGACTGCTTGAATTGATCAAAGGGTGCGGGGGGAGGGATACCCGTCTGCACCGCCTTCTGCTGCAACTACTGTACGAGATGTCCCGGATTGAGCACTTGCGCACTGAGGACTTGTTGCACGTGGATGATGGCTTTGTTATGCACCTCTTCCAGCTCACCGAGGCCCTATCTGATGATGTTAACGACCCATATCACTATCCTGTTATTCGAGTCCTGGTTTGTCCGCCTTGCCCTTCCCCGACCTCACTCCGGTACGGAATTCTCATGGCTAACCATCACTGCAGCTAGTGCTAAACGAACAGTACATGGTTGCATCCACTTCAGCAGCAGTAGACCCTACGTCTCCTTCTGCCCCCATGACGAACAGGGTCATGAAGATTCTCAGCGTTCACGGGCCGTCGTTTCGGACGTTTGGAGAGAACATAATCCTGCTTCTGAACCGAGAAACCGAGACGTCGCAGCAGCTCCTCATTCTCAAGCTCCTGTACCTTCTCTTCACCACATCGGCGACATACGAGTACTTTTATACTAACGACCTGCGAGTCCTCCTGGACGTCATCATCCGCAACCTCTTGGATCTCCCGGCTGAGGCCAACGTCTTGCGGCACACATACCTGAGGGTGCTTGCTCCCTTACTTGCACATACACAGCTCAGCCAACCGCCTCACTACAAGCAAGAACAGATCCTTAGCCTCCTCGACATATTGCGCGGCTCGGGAAATGTACACTTCTTGCCGCCCGAGCCGACGACTTTGCGCCTAGTCGAGCGAGTAGCAAAGACCCCGTGGCTGGTCGAAGAGTCCGAATCCCCCAGCGCGAGCCCCGTGGACAGCCTGTCGCATACCGATGCAGAGACGGGCAGCACCGTGAGTGCCATTGCCAATGTATCCGAGAAGCCGGGGGTCCAAACGCCCAGCCTCAAGTCAGGCACGGGGCTGGAACAGAAGCGCAACCCGGCGGCGCGTGCCGGGGGCAGCCCGCCAAGACCTCCGCCGAGGACCCTAAAAGCTCAAAAGTCACTGCCAGAAGTGCCCAAACACCGTCACGGTGTCCCCGTGGCCCACTCGATGGATTCTAATCAGTCCACGATCACGAATTTAGGCGCCAACGGAACGGGGCAGCCAAAGAGGCTGCCGCCCAAGATCCCGCCTCCTCGAAGGAGAGCCAAGGTAATGGCTACGGTGAGCGGTGATAGCCGGGCTGTGGCCGAGCCGCTCCCGGCAACTGCTGGGTCTGCAGCGGTTTGAGAAAGGCGCGGGAGGTTGCACGGCCGAGGGTTGGCCGTTGTGGTTTGCCTGCTTGCAAAAAGCATAGAAGCCGGGCGCTGGATGGAGGAGGCTGATACCCCCCGGAGTTCGATTATTGTCTGATCTATAGTACTGGTGTCAAACGAGCGGCAGCACAAAGAGTGGCTGGTTGGATCATGGAGCGCTTTGGGTGTCATGAACATTTGATGGATGGCAGCACAGGACATTGGAATGAGCCGTGTACTGGCATGAATGACTATGACGGACTGGGCATGGCGGGGCGTTTCAGCGTCAACTTAGGTACCTTACATTGCCTATGGATGTATATACTTAGGGGAAGAGCCGAATAGTGGTAATCATTGCATGTTTCCTCTGCTGTTTCATTTAGAGCTCGATTCAATATGTCGAACAACCTTATTTGTAGTTCCTCTCAACGTTACATTGTATATTACTATCGTTATGTGACTGCTGTGGTTGTCAACAAAAGAAACTGACCAAGGAAGTGGGTAAAAGTGATGGTGGGACTGTGTGAGGTATATAGGTTAGGTCCAGTGAACAGGTATTCACCAGGAACCACTACACCACAGCGCCGTTGAAAGTGTAGTGGTTCCAGCGCAGGGTTGAGAAAATCCCTGGACGGCCTCTGGTCGACGGGTGGTACAGTCCCAGACTGTTGTCTAGGCTCATACCCTCTTTTTTTAGCCTTTGGGTTCGATTCTTAACTAGACCTTATATTTTTGGTTTCCTTCGTTTCTACTATATTCTTCTCTTCTCTCATTTACTCCATTACCTCCTCTGTTCTTAAGGAAAGAAGTGCACAAAACATGCTCTGCTGTGTTGTGAGCGAGGAGTGGGCTGAAAAGGTATATCGGCAATCACAAAAGCAGCTTAAAGTCAAAGGTTCGACTCTTCGATCAATCACCTTTTTTTCCTCTTCCTTTATGTCTTTCAGGGGACGCGAGTCCTGTCCCGGGGATTCGGAGCCGGGGATCGGAAGGGGAGCGGGCGCGGCCCCACTTTACCCTTCACGGCCCCACACGCCTGTCCTCGCTTGGCGCGTCGCCCGTCTTCAACAGTCACTAAATTTTTGGACGACATTGGATCCTCAACTAAGGTACGGAAACCAGCATCGCGATTTCGGCCACACCACACCACACACGACGTTTAGTCTCGCCCGCAGAAGACGCCTGACGGAGCAAAACTAACGAAACTAACGAAACGATTGACATCAATTCTTGACAGACTCGGTGCACGGAGGGAAACGAACGAGCAGTCACCGCAGTCGCCGTCTGGGGGTGCAGACCCTGACTCGCCCTGACCTGCACCACCTTTTGCCTATCTAGCAGGAAACGAATCTTGTTCGATCACACATAAGAATAAATACAGACATGCACTACACAATGGCGCAACGCGCAGCCGAAGCGGCCACCAAGACATACAAGACCTTTCGAGAGCTCCATGGCGTGGTGATATCGGCCGGGTTGATGGACAGGACAGTCAAGGTGCGGGTCGGCGGGCAGAAGTGGAATAGCTTTGTCAAGAAGGTATGTGCATCTTCAAATCCTCTCTCTTCCTCTCTTGTCTCTACTTTACCTTGCCTAGCTTTACTTCTCCATGCCATTCCTTCCTCCCCTCTCCTCCTCCTTCTTTCCCCGCTTGAAACAAGCTCTTTCCTCTGTTCCCCACGCTAACCACCAATCCGCCCACCACGTCAGTTCTTCAACGACCCGAAAACACACCTAGTCCACGACCCCAACAACTCCCTCCGCCTCGGCGACGTCGTGGCCATCACGCCCGGGTTCCGTGTGTCGCAGCACAAGCGGCACGTGGTCAAGCACATCATTGCGCCCGGGTCCGCGGTGCCTATCGAGGAGAGGCCGCCCATCCCGTCCTGGGAGGAGCTGTGGCGCGAGCGCGAGGTCCGCAAGCAGGCCAAGGACGAGCGCCGCGCGCTGCGGATGGAGGTCCTCCGCGCCGAGGGCAGGGCCAGCAAGATTGACAGGATCATCAAGGAGGCTCGCGCCGAGATTAACGCACGTGCCAAGGTTATTGAGGCTGCTGTTAGGAGGGAGGCGAGGAAGTTTGGACGGGTGGCTGGGGAAGAGGAACTGGAACGGGATCGGGATGGGTTATGAGGAATGTTGATGGGGAGTTGGCTGGGGAGGGGTTTCTATGTGGCGGTGCCATGGTTGGGGGAATTCAACGACGGAGGCCGCTGCGAATCTTTTCCAGTGTAAGATTTGGTGAAGAGGCGGATTGGAACAAAAACAATCCCCTGTACTACCTGTACCTGTAGATAAGGCAGTCCATTTGGCATGCATGGAGATTGGCAATCCTGGGCGTTTAGACACGGCATTCTGTACATTTAGTGCTCTGGGCACATCAAAACTGGGCCACTGCGCCAGCATGAGCGCACTCTATGTGGGTGTGCCGGAGTCAAATACGCAGCAGAAAGGGTCTTGAAGCTATTCGTTGTCTCTCGAGTCTGCTGCTACTCCTCCTATCCTTGGAGGCTTCGCACATTTAACTACCTGAGTTAAGTATGCCGTGACCGCCCGTCCTCAAATACCTATGTTCCTTATCCACCCCGTTCCCCAAACTCCTTGGCCCAGTCCTCATATTCCTTGATCCCCGACTTGCTGACACTGGGCCTAATGGTTGTTAAGCTGGCAATAAAATCTGATAGCTCTATAGGTCGTATCTCATCCATGGTCATGTGTAACAATGCCTCGCCCAGCGAGCGCAGCGGTCCCATCGCCGCGTCTTTTGCCAGCGCCGTGATGTCCGAGCCTGAGAACCCTGTGACGTTGAAATTCAGTCAGTCACTGATTCATACCTCAGCAAAGAGTGAAATACAAGTAAGCGGACGGCATACCATCAGTCAATCCGACAAGGGTGTCAATGTCGGTGTCGGAAAGGGTATGTTTCTGCTGCTTGAGCAGCGTCTTGAGCTGAGCCGCGCGCGTCTCGGCTTCGGGCAGCGGTATGTACTGGCGCCTGACAAACCTCCTCCTGGCCGCCTCATCAATGGCCCAGGGGAGGTTCGTGGCTGCGAGCACAAGAACCCTGTTGGCGTCGCCGCCGCGGTCCTTGTCCTTCTCGCCCGCGGACGGCGACGGCGCCTCTCTGCCGGCCGCGGCGCGCTGGAGATCGCTCCACTGGATGAGGAACTCGGTCTTGATTCGCCGCGTGGCCTCGTGCTCGCCGGTCCCGGAGCGCTGTGACAACAGCGAGTCGATCTCGTCGACGAAGATGATGCTCGGCGAGAGCAGCTTGGCTAGCGCAAACAGCGCGCGCACGAGCTTCTCCGACTCGCCCAGGTACTTGCTGGTCAGGCTGCTGGCCGAGATGGAGAAGAAGGTCGACCGGGACTCGGTGGCGACGGCGCGTGCAAGCATGGTCTTGCCCGTGCCGGGAGGACCAAAGAGAAGCATTCCCCGTGCAGGCTCACGCAGGCCCATGAATAGGTCGGGCCGGAGGAAAGGGTAGACGACCGTCTCGCGCAGCGCGTTCTTGGCCACTTCTAAACCGGCAATGTCGCTCCAGTGGACCTCATCGCCTTCAACTACGATTTCGTTGAGAATCTGCTTGGCAGCGTGCTCGTCGACTCCGGGAGGGAGCTTTTTGAGTATGGCGGCCTTGCGTTTCTTCCATGTGCTGGCCGCATTAGTCTGCTCGTCTTCGGTGGAGCTGTCTACCAGCTGAGCGAGGGAATCCGCTACAAGGGAAGCTTCCCTTTGCCTGACCACTCTTGGCTTATGTCTTGACGGCCTTGCCGGTGTCTCAAACGAAGACGAAGAGTCGGAGCTTAGCGGGGACGAAGGCCGCTCTGTTCGGTTTTCTCTTCTCCTAGCTCTCGCCTCCGCCGCGCCGGTACTTTTACTAGCTGGGTTCGGTGTGATCTTGCTCTTGCTCGTAGAAGGCCTATTACCAGTCGATCTTCTTGATATCGTGATTGAATCGGATGACGTATTCCTCCTTGTAAGTCTACCCTCTCCAGTTTCTGAAGTATCCAAGTCTGCATCTGCAAGATCCTTCGAAGGCCGCGCTTTCGGCGTCTGCGGCGGAGCAGTTTTCTGACGGGACATGCTCTGTCGACGGGGCAACTGTCGTTCGGCTGTCTCCTTCAACGTGAGCGAGCTCAATGCGCTCGAAGCAGCGCTAACAGAAATGGGAGATGGGCGAGAGTAAGAATATACATCGCTATGCCGCAACCCTGATTGATCCGCGCTTGTCCTCCTGTCTGTCTGGCCGGGTGGGCTTCTTGCTCTCGTTGTGGCTAGTCTTCTGGAACTGCTATCCCATTTCTCCAAGCTCCTGCGCGGCTGCTCGGACTGAACTGGCGGGCTCGAAAACGATCGTGGCGATGCCTGATCCGTCGTGTCTCGCTGGCTGAGCGAGCTCCAGGCTAGTATCGCTGCTTTGTTGGCGCCAGGGCGTTCTGCTGTTCTGGGCGGGGGTCGCCACAAAGAAGTCTTGAGTGTCTTTTCTCCCAGCCGACCTGGCCGTAAGGTCGTACGAAACGTGTGTTTCTCCGGGCTAGATGATCTTGACGCCTTCTTCTCTGGCGTGGATAGCGAGGGTGCAGAGGCGACTGGCTTCCGTGAGGGAGAAGTCGACGTCTTGTCGTCCGGCCGCGACGTGGAAGACCTAGCATGTGCGGACGCGCGCCTCTGCATGGCTGGCCGTGACAGCTCGGTGTAGGTAATGGCGGGAATGGTTCCGTTTCCAATCCAGCCCTGTTCCTGCTGTCCTGGCAGCCCGCCCTCTTGAGGCTGCGACTGTACGGACGGCTCGTGCTGCGAGGCTTCTTGGCGTGAGAGGCGGAGGGCTTCGAGGAGATCGATCCGTTCTTTACACTGCACTTCCAGTTGTCGAAGGCTATCAACCAAGGCTTTCTCCGTTTCCGAACGAGAGGTAGGGTCTGAAAGAACCCTGCTGGCACGATGATCGGTTATCTGCTCGAGCGCCTGCTTCCAGCATCGCATAGCCTCGGCTTCGTTGCCCTGAGAGTTTAGTCAATTAGCCGTGTGTTGGGAAAATCAATCAAATCGGCCATCATGTCCCCTACCTGGCTCTCATAATACACGGCAGTCGAGCAGGTCAGGTAGCTCTCGTCATACGTCTTCTGAAGGACCGACAGGGCAGTCGCGGTCCTGAGGCCGAACATGGTTGCTTTCAGAATGTGTGGACATCCCACGACATATCCGTTGTTCTGCTTGGACTGCCGAGCCGCGGGTTGGAACTCGTTGGATGGATGGAGAGTGACAGAAATTGTCCTTCTTTTGGCCGCCGACAGGACTGATCGCTAGTAGTGTTGATGATAGACCTGTCAAGTGGGGTGATAGGCACTCGGTAGGGTACCTGTAATGTACAAGTACCAGGCTACCTATGCTCCCGCCTGGCAGGTGGAACTGAGGTTGAACAGTTTTACAGGGCCTAGCATCTAGTGGTATCTTACATACCATTACGGGAAGATTCCGTACCAATCTTCCGCTAACATAACGTTACCCCCGTAGGGCTGTTCTAGACTTCAGCAATGAATGCGGGGCAGTGACGTCGACGCTTTGTAGCCTCAGTGGAATGCACTGTAGAGGCGGACATTCATACAGTACAATGCCAGTACGTTACTTACGGTAAATACATCCAGCGTCAATAAAACTATACGGAGTACTTCGTACTCTTCTATCTGGGCTACTGTTTATAAGGCGAACTAGCTGCTGTAGTGGTATCTTTCAATGCCCAGGGCCGAGTTCAGATATTCTATGGGATTAGTTCCAATGTGCTGCATACAAGGCACAGCAAAGTTTGAGTTATCTAAGATAGTAGACAGTCAAGGTACACTTCCCCGTGACTCCGTAGTGCATTGAGTACTGTACCTGGGTTATGTGAAGCCCAGTATCCGCCCCTACGACAACAACACGCGGATCTCGCCTGACGTTCTGGGGAACAGGGCCCGGAGACTCTCTGCCTCCTCACCCTGCCGCTGTTCGGCCAACTCGTCGGCCCTCATCAACATCTCTTCGACATGCTCAAAGTCGACGCAGAACCTCTCGGCCGCCTCCTCGGTGATCTCCCGCGCCAGCTTGGAATCCTGCAGGTGCTTCAGCTGCTCTACGGCATCCATCAGTGCCGACGGCAAGAAGTCGTCGAGCGCCTGGCCCGCCTGCGTCAGCGCAGAGGCTTGGACCGCCTCGAGCGACGCCACCTTCTCCACGTCCTCATTGCTCTCTTCGAGTTCCGCGAGCGCCGCTATCAACGCGTCGAGGCCGGACTCGACCCGGAAGAACCGGTACTGGCTCTCGACCAAGCGGGAGCGCTCCTCCTCAATCCGCACATCCAGCAGCGTCACGCGGGTCCGCGTGAAATCGAACCGTGAGAGGCAATTCTTGGCGGCCACGAAGCAGTTGATGAGGAAAACAGAGCTAGAAGGGCGCTTCAGCGTCTTTGCCATGTTGACGGAGCCGGATAGGAACGGGTCGAATGCCTCAGCCAGCACGGGCTCGAACTCAGCTTCGGGGTTGCTCGTCGACGTGAGCGAAGTCTCGTATGTCTTCATGATGGCCGTTAGCTGGTCCAGGGCATCGGTTAGGAATTCTGGCGGGGACAAGTCTGCCGGCGACGCTTGATCAAAGTCACCCTGCAGTGCCGCGACTTGGTCCCGGGCCAGCGAGCGGAACTGCCGCATCGCCTCGGACTCGAGGGCCCCCAGGGTTTCCACGAGGGCAGAACCTGGGTTCAGCAGCCTCGGGAAGGTGCTTTTGTAGAAATTTAGTAGGTTTGCGAGCTTGTAGGCCAGGATCGTGTCCTCGTTGGTTTGAATGACCTGCTCGACTCGCTGCCGCAGAATGCGGGCTGCCCCGGACATGTCGCGGTCAACCAGCGCGTTCAAAGTCTTGACGGCGTCAAAGTCAACCACGTCCTCGCTGTCTTCGGCAACAAGACGCCACACCTCGTTTTCCCGGCCCGCCTGGATGCCTTTGGCGATCTCCTCCCCTTCGCCGATGAACAAGCCCTCCAGCGCCTCCCTCTCCCCAACGGCAGCCGAATGCGCCCAGGCTAGCATGTCCCCGACGTACCTCAGGGGATCGTGTGCCACAAGTTCGATGGGCTTGAGCGAGGGGTCTTGGGCGCCTGAGGCTGAACTTCCTGTCAGGACCGTGTAAAAAGAGTCTGACAGGACATGTTCCCGGGCCTCTGCGAAGATGTCGAGGCAGTTCTGAAACAGGCTCGGGCGCTCGGCCAGCACCCGCAGGGCGCGACGAATAGGCGAGCCAATTTGGGGATTCTCAAGGTTGAGGGTTTTGAACTCCCTCTGAACCCACTTGTAGAGTTTCTGGAAACCCAGATTCAGGTTCTTGGAGACTTGCTCCATGATCTCCAACCCCAGCGTCTGGTTCTCGAAACCGAGAAGAAGCTCGCAGTCCTTGCTAATCCGCTTCGCCTTGGCAAGCGTAGTGAAGAAAAGGTCATCGACGGGCTCCGAGCTCAGCGTCAGCGCGGCTGTTTCGTCTTCAGTAAGCACGAAATTGGCGTTGAAAGCACTGAGCAGGCTCTGTTTCTGCTCAACCTGACGCCGTTGAGTCATGAGATGAGCCGCCTCGCCCAGTGCCAGAGACGTTGAATCGTGGGCCGCCGTGATCTGTCTCTTCATCTCGTTGAAGCTGTCGTTCAGCTTACCAATGGTAGTGCCGATACGTCGCAGTTGCTGGGCTCAATGTTAGCTCATCCAATGAGCACACGAGGGTGAATTTGGTTGGGGAAAGGCATCCTCACCTCGGCAACTTTGGCAAACTCATCGATAATCTCGCCATTGCTCTCGATGACCTCCTTCTGCAGATCCAGGCGAAGTTGGCGGCGAATCGCAGGCGTTTTGAGCACCCCGCGCTCGTCGAGGAGAGAGAGGGCGTCCCTGAAGTCGGTGTCTGCATAAGACGACGAGAGGACAGTTGTGACCTTTGAGGAAAGAGGGGTTGCAGCTTTTCCAGTTGGCGACGTTGTTGCTGTGGGACTCTGGGGCGAAAGCGGCCCCGCGCTGTCCCGTAAGGGCAGCGACGTAGTCATATCTGTCTATTTGCCTTCAGAGCATTTTCTGAGAAAATCGCCGGTCCTGCCCCTTTCCGTTGCGACCCGTGGTGTTTCGGTTGTGCGTTTTACTCTATGAGGCTCACCAAGGGATATTACGGTCCGTCTGTAACTCTTCGAGGTCGAAATACCATCGTGTAGCTTACACAACAATCGTGTCAAGCAATCTGCATCGTAAGACGGTGTCAGATGCTGTGTTAGATGTAGATAGAGCAGTGGAGTACGGATAGGTACCCGAGGGACCCAAGGAGAGCTAATCGATGACAGCGCAAACGGAATGTTCTCAACAAGCATCCTGACGGTCGTCCAGACTCCAGACCGCCTGCCCAAAAAGCACCTGCGGTGGCATTGTAATTCGATACATTACAACGTACCTCCGTCCGTAATACTAGTACCTAATTCACGTAATTACAGCATGGAACGCCAGTCACAGACTCACAGTGTAAGTCAGCTGGACCCAGGACGAAGCTTGAGTCCGTCGGAATGATGCACGGGCAGGCATCCAGTGACTTTCCGGATCGGTGCCTACCCGCTCAACAACTGGCATGCATCTTCAGCACGCACGCGAGCAGTTCCGCCTGCCTGTGGGCAGCACCTTCTGACCGGACTACTTGAGCAAACCAAGACCTGTGACCTATCTCTACCTAGTCGGACCGGTTTCACACGCCATTACTGCTTATTGCCCCTATGATGTCCATTGCCTTCCCAGCATCATTTGGGAAACGCAAGACGCCGTCGTCATCGGCATGCAACGAGTCCGAGTCGTGACTGATCATCTCCGCAAACCGGTTGCTCCTTCGCCGGCCTCGAGAAGCCTTCCAATGACCGCAAACACTCCCGACGAAGCTGCACATTGAAGCCATTCCGTAATGGCGTCGAATATGTTTTCGAGACTCGTGCCCACCGGTCGTGGCCGGTCATTTTACGAAGAACTCAGGGCGCGAGAGGAAGACCCTGAGGATCGAGCCGGCCTGCTAGATGAACAGAACCTTAGTCACGATTTCCAGGACTACGACCTGGACCACACCGAGGGACTCGGCGTCGAAGACAGCCGTACCACGCTGGGTGGAGTGACAAGTCCGCCCTCGCAGGGACGTCGTCCGTCGCGAGGTTGGTTGCACAAAGATTATGCCCACCCTGCATGGGCGACACACGACGATGACGGGGACAACGACGTTCCAGCCTCACTCCTCGTAGAGAATCGTGAAGGCGACGCGGGGGGGACTCCGGGGAGGTCACCGAGGAACAAACGCAGCCGTGCAGCCGCCATCCCGGGACCATCCAAGGCTCGTGCTCAGTGGGAGACCGCCCAGGCTCATCAACGGCTGCACAGCGACGATGCTTTTGAGCCCCCTCGGCGCGGGACCGGCCTGCCACACTCCCTCTTCACCGGTGTAGTGTCGGGTAGCGCCAAGAAGAAGGCGGAATGGAGATGGGCTAATGTCTCGAATCTCGACAACTTCATTAAGGACGTCTACGGCTACTACGCTGGCCACGGCATCTGGTGCATATTGGTAGAGAGGGTCTTGCATCTAGTGTAAGCATTAAGGCTCAAACCATTGTCGGCAGCATTGTGCCAAACTTTACTGACTCGAGACAGGAACGTCGCCTTCCTCACCATCCTCTTGACATTCCTTACTCAGTGCGTGGATTACAGCAAACTGCGGGGAAGCCAGAGGCTGTCTCAGATCCTCGTCCCTCAGTGCACCAGGAACATGTCCGGTTTTTGGAACTTTGGCCTGTGGATATGCGCCTTTTACTTCATTTGGAAGGCGATCCAGTACCTCCTGGATCTCCGTCGACTCTTCCATGTTCACGATTTTTACCTCTACCTGCTCAACATCCCTGATCAGGATATGCAGACAATTACGTGGCAGGAGGTTGTCGCTCGCATCATGGCGCTTAGAGACCAGAATCCCAAGACAGCAACAAGCCTGACGCCGAGGCAACGTGCCTGGCTCGGCAGTCAGTCAAAAGAGAGGCTCGATGCCTCCGACATTGCCAACCGTCTGATGAGGCGAGAAAATTATTTGATTGCTCTCATCAACAAGGATATCTTGGATTTAACGATCCCGGTGCCATTCCTACGGAACTACCAATTCTTGACAGAGACCATGGAGTGGACACTAATGTTCAGCATTCTCGACTTCGTCTTTGACGAAAAGGGTCAAGTCAATAAGGAATTTCTGAGGGCGGATCGCCGAGGCGAACTCAGCCAGAAACTCCGCGCAAGGTTTGTTTTTGCAGCCGTCATGATGCTTATCAGTACCCCATTCGTAGCCGGATACTTTGTTGTTGTTAATTTCCTGAAATACTATCATGTATGGGCCCATCATTTCGTATCTGAAACCAGCGTCATTCCGGTGGCTGACTCTCAAGCAGGAAATCCAGAAGAACCCGTCAGTCTTGTCATCACGCCATTATACACGTCTTGCCGAATGGAAATTCCGCGAGTTCAACGAATTACCGCATCTGTTTCGTAAACGGATAGACATGTCTCGTCCGTTTGCCAGCCACTACATAGATCAATTCCCAAAGGCAAAAACGACAGCGCTTGCTCGAACGGTGGCCTTCATTGCTGGTGCTCTTGCCACCGTCTTGGCGGTCGCCTCAGTCCTCGACCCGGAATCCTTCCTGGGGTTTGAAATTACCCCAGACCGGACAGTTCTCTTTTACACGGCCGTTTTCGGAAGCATCTGGGCCGCCGCCCAGGGCAGCATCCCCTCGGACGAAGCAGTATTCGACCCCGAGTACGCCATGCGAAACGTCATCGAATACACACATTACCAGCCGGATCATTGGCAGGACAGACTCCACAGTTTTGATGTCAAACTCGAGTTTTCACAGCTTTACAAGACCAGGGTCATCATTTTCATTGAGGACATCTTGAGCATCCTGACCACGCCATTTGTCCTATTTTTCAGTCTTCCCAAGTGCAGTGATCAGATCATTGACTTCTTCCGCGAGTTTACCATTCATGTCGATGGACTTGGCTATGTCTGTTCCTTTGCTGAGTTTGATTTCAAGAAGGGCATCGCGAAGAAGAACGTGGACGCCGGAGACGTTCGAGATGACTATTACGCGACCAAGCATGGAAAGATGGAAGCATCATACTACGGCTTCATGGGCCACTATGGCAATTTTGCACTGAACCCGAAGACGGGGGCTGGGTCGCATCTGCCGCCGGGCCTACGGAACCAGTTCCATCCTCCACCGGCTTGGCCAAGTATGAACGAGCCGGCCCTGGCTGCTGACCTGCAAGCTTCGCGGATGGGCCGCAGCGATCTAGCAAGGAGCAGGGCTCCCGCTAAGACACCTCGATACGGCCCTCCGTTACCCCAACCATCGCCCATGGCGTCCATCCTGCTTGATCCACACCATCAACCGCCGAATTTTACCCTGGGCGGGAGGACAACACACCCAGCACGCCATCAGCGGGTCGGATACCAAGGAGAAAGCAACATCATTGAGGAGTCTGGGGAAGACGACGGGCAAATGAGCGACGGCGGGAAGCGGCCAGGTGACGAGGAGGTGTACGGGAGCGGTGGCGCCCTAGACGAGTCAGCATGGCAAACATCGCCAGCAAGGACGATAAGCAGGGAGAACAGCGCAGCCGAAGGCGGCGGAGCACCGGACGCTGGGGTCGTTCACATGGTTTACCAGTTCCAACAGGCGCACCTCAACCGCCGGCCGGGAGGTGTGCGATGATTGACGCTAAGGTAACCACTAAACAACAGACAGCCAGCCGCAGGAACAAACATTGAGTGACACACAGAGAAGGCACCAAGGAAGGACATTTGGCGGCGCTCCCGGCGTTTACACTTCAAGTCATTTGGGCTCGCGTAAGGGTCACACACACAAACGGAAGGCTCGGCACACAGGACGGGAAGCTGGCAGTGTTTTGGGTGTTCAGGAGTTGGCTTATGAGCATTGCTTAGCACAGAGGGCATCAGTTGGGCTGCCGGATTTGGCCGTTGAGGATGGAAAACAATGCAGTAGAGGGGTCATAGGCAACTCACATCTGTCTCGTTCTAACACATGTATGCATAATTCAGACTACGATAGAGACTCCAACTCATTTTTTTTTTTTTTGGGCAAATTACCGTAGTTGCACGCCCACACCCACATGCGATCTGAAAACGTGACAAAAAAGATGTGCCATCTGGTCTGCGCTTGTCCGAGCCGAGCGCCTCGGAGAAAGGCCAGAGCGTTTCGGTGGCCGACTGCGGGGATGTGCGGATCTGATAAGGAGCTGCAAGGTTGCTTTGTCGAAAGCATCTGGACGCTAGGATGGGTATCTCCGAGGTGCGGGCCACTGAGTACAGCGATTTGCTGGGGTGGGTTGCGGGGGGCCTACCTAGCACAGCTTGCCACCTGTAAATTAGCGTTCCTTGTCCAAAGGTGGTGGCACATTTGGCAATTCCCCGACCTCCGGACAACTCTGACGAAAGGCGCTGACCGGCTCCATTTTTTTTTTCTTGGGCTGTAGGTGAGGCGCTGCCGACAGCGGTCGCAGAAATTTCGGAGGACGGTTTGCCAAAAGACAGCTTCACCAACGGCCAACACCGCCAACAGCTCGTAAGCTGCCTTTTGCGCCAGATACTCTGTTGACCACAGAGACACGGCCATCGATCCTGAGGAGACCTTTGGGCGCTCCGTGAAAACTCGCTGCTAATCCCTCTTGCGGACAGCACTGAGCTTGTTTAGTTGTTTCGGTGGTTTACAGTACCGACGAGCTTTCGTCCTGCCTCGCAATTGCGTCACTCAACTTGCTGCCTCTGCTATCGCGACTTGCAGAAGCGTGGCCATACGTTCCCGCAAGCAGACAAGCCCACGAATCTTCCTAGACATTCAACCTGGCTCTCGATTTAGGAGCACCGGGAGCCGTAGCTTCCCCAATGGCTCAGCCAAATGCCGAGCCCGTCGAGGAATACGAGTAGGTTTTCGCTCTGATACTGGCCTCGTTTTCACGGACCGCCAGCGGTTGTTCTAAAGGATGAAGACGGGAAAGGGACGCTGATGACAACGTGGCAGCTATGAATCGCTCCCGCCCAACTTCTCGTTGTTGCAGAACATGGCTGCCGGCGCTTTCGCCGGCATCGCCGAGCACTGCACAAGTAAGTCGCATCCTACCTCCCCCTTCAATTGACTTGATAATCCGCCTTCCCGTCTCCCCCGACAAGATGCTGACCAGGCATAGTGTACCCTATCGACGCTATCAAGGTAAGCTGGCGCTCTCTCGCGGCCCCTTTGCGACATTCAAACTCTGGGACCCCGCAGCCCGGTCGATCGCAAGCAGCGCGGCTGACGAGCTTTTCCCCATGCGCTACAGACACGAATGCAGATAGTCAACCCCACTCCTTCGGCAGTCTACAATGGAGTGATCCAGGGCACCTACCGGATGGCAAGCACCGAGGGCATCCTGAGTTTATGGCGCGGCATGTCCAGCGTCATCGTCGGGGCCGGTGAGTCTTGTGCTAGGATCGCCATAATATTTCCCAGTTGACATTGGAGCTTCATACTAGGCCCTGCGCATGCCGTCTACTTTGCGACGTATGAGGCGGTGAAGCACCTTATGGGCGGGAACCAGGCCGGCGTCCACCATCCACTCGCCGCCGCCACCAGCGGTGCATGCGCGACCATTGCCAGCGATGCCCTGATGAACCCCTTCGATGGTAAGCCACTCTTGCATCCCATAATCCCTCCTCGCGCGCTATTCTCTGACCAACCGTTTTTCGCGCGCAGTCATCAAGCAAAGGATGCAGATCCAAAACTCGGCCAAAATGTACCGCTCCATGTTCGACTGCGCCAAGTATGTGTACAGGAAAGAGGGGCTCGCCGCCTTTTACGTGTCGTACCCGACAACGCTGTCGATGACGGTGCCCTTCACAGCGCTGCAGTTCCTCGCCTATGAATCCATCTCGACATGGATGAATCCGGCCAAGAAGTACGATCCCTTTACGCACTGTCTGGCGGGGGCGGTGGCGGGCGGTTTCGCCGCGGCGCTGACCACGCCCATGGACGTGATCAAGACGATGCTTCAGACGCGGGGTAACGCTGCGGACCCCGAGCTGCGGTCGGTCAACGGCTTTGCTGCTGGGTGCCGGTTATTGTTACAACGAGAGGGCGCGCGTGGCTTCTTCAAGGGTGTGCGGCCCAGGGTGTTGACCACCATGCCGAGCACGGCGATCTGCTGGTCCGCCTATGAGGCGTCTAAGTATGTTGCTCTACGCTTCTTCTCAACCGGACGTCATGAACAGAATTGGGCCAGGTGGCTGACGCTTCCTGAATCTCTACAGGGCTTACTTTATCCACCACAACGATAACTCGTCATCATCATGACGGGAGAGGTCTTAATTCTTGTGATCCAATTAAAGTATGCTGCTCCTTGTTCCTACCTGCTACCTCTTCCTGTCATGCACACACTGACCGGTAGGCAGCTGGGACGGAGAGGATAGATTTCCCATCTACCCTACGACAAACAAAGACACAAACAAACACTACATATTTCATCCCAGATAGAAATGTTCCCTCTTGTGCTCCCCTTATCCTACCTTGGACGAAGCAGATATGGGGAATCAGAGGGAGGAGGCATTTGAAGGGGAATTAGGGCAATGCGGCAAGCTTGAGAGGAAGGAAGTCAGGGCGGGGAGGAGGGGCCAAGGCTGGGCTCTGGTGGCCTAACCTAACCTAGACAAGAAAGACAGACACTCGGATGACGATGTGATGCTGGCTGCATCGCATCTTGTATATAATACCTCTTTTCTCTGTGTTGTTTGCCGCGACCTTGCCCGACCTGCTGTACCTACTTGACACAGGCGGACGGGTGCTATTTGAAGAGACTGGTTGGGACAGGGGGGAGCCGCCTGGCTGCCTACCTACTCGCTTGCAACATCTGGCGTATGGTATATACATGCCATGTCCCTGCCCTGTGTTATAGACAAACTGAATCAGTTATGAACAGGAACCCTGGCTGGGCTGGTTGGTGATGATATTTTGCTTCTCTGCTTGGTCCTTGGGAGTAAAGTAAGCTTGCTCCCAACTGTGAATCGGCATGCAGAAACTTGGGCTTAAGGATCGGATTAGTCCGTATTACCCAGTCGTGTAGTGCTGTGGACGTGCTGTTCCGCCAAGCTGCATTGCATCGCGGGCTGAGATTGGGATAGCGGGCCCAGGCGGGGGAAGGACCGCATAAGGACACGGTTGTTTGGTAGTCAATGCATCCTTAGACGTTGAGTGTTGCTGGACCTTCCTCCGTAGACATAGGCACCCTGGATCACGTATCCTGTTCTTCAGGGATAGACTGCTAGTGTATCAATCCTGAGCCTGAGGTACTCCGTGATACGATGTTCATTGTTGTGATGCACAGGCAAGGCAGCGTACTGAGACACTAGGCGCAGGTTAACCAGCATCTTCCTTCTGCTCTCGACAAAGCTGAAGGCCCACCGCTTCTGACTAACTAACTGGCAATACGCAATTGCTCCTTCCTCGTCAAACCGGAGCTTGAGCGTAACCATGACGATACGGATATGCCGCTTGCATTTCCTGTTTGCTTGCTAACCATGAAACTGCCCTTTCATCACCGAAAAGCCAGGGGCAGTTCTCCCATTCCCATATTGTACTCTACAAACACCGAAACTCCCGCCTCCAATGCAAAGCCCAAAAAGGAACAACGAACCAATGTGGCCTTCTTAAAACGGGAAGCCAGATCCAAACTTGAACTGGAATTGCTGCGGGCCGCCCTGGTGGAACATGAACGGATGGCCATGGCCAAACGGGCTGCCTTGGTGGAACTGGGGCTGCTCGGTCGAGTTGGGGTCGTCGCCGCGGTCGAAGCGGGCGCGCAGCTCCGGGTTGCTGAGCACCTCGTAGGCCTCGTTGATGGCCGCCATCTTCTTCTCGGCCTCCTCCTTGGTGAGCCCCTGCTTGGCCGCCTTGTCCGGGTGGTGGAGCTTGGACAGCTTGCGGTAGGCCGACTTGATCTGGCGCTCGTCGGCGTCGTGCGCCACGCCCAGCACCTTGTAGTAGTCCTTTGTCTTGCTCCGCTTGAGGGCGACCTGGGCCTTTTGGATCAGCGGGTTGACGATGTCCTGCTTGTCCGGATGGGCCTCGGCGGCCTTGCGGAGCGTGTGGGTGCTGGCTTCGAATTCCTCCTTATCCATTTGCACCTTGGCGCGATGGAGCAAGCCGTAGAGTGAGTTCTCGTCCAGCTCGAGAGATTCGTCGCAGTACTCCTGGGCCTTCTTGCTACTGGACTGTTGTGAAGGGTTAGCTACACGGCAGCAGGTATGCGTCTGGCGACACCAACGTACCTCATAGTATGCTTGGCAAGCCATCCCTACTAGCCTTGATACCAAGACATTTCCCGCCGCCTTGGGTATCGTCCCGTCTTCCCTCAGCCTGCTCACCTGCTCCTTCACCTCCTTGATTAAACCGTCGCCCTCTGCCGAGGGCACGAGCTGCCGCACTGCTGTCATATGCTGGTTCTTTTCGAGGGCCTTGGTGACCTTCTGCAGCACCTTATCCACCAATTTCTCCTCCTTGAGAAGACGCTTGCACACCTTCGAGTCGGGGTCCGAGTGCAGACACCTCCGGATGGCGGCCATACCCTCCTGCGTGTCGCCCAACGCGTAGAAAGTAATGGCCGAGATCTTGACATGGGGTGATGTGTCGCCCGGCTTCATCTGCAGGATGTGCTGCAGATCGCCCATGCCCCTCTCAACGGCACCCCGCTCGAAGGCGCACCGTGCACGCAGCTCCCGCAATGACAGCGCCCGGCTAGCGACGAGGATGGCATCGTCGGCCTGCTTCACGCACTCCTCCCAGTTCTCGGCCTTGGCGGCCGCCTCGGCGAGATTGGCCGCGCCGTGCGCCTCCTCGAGGGCGACAATTTCCTCCGTCTTTTTCGCCTTCTTGTAGTGCTCCCTTGCGGCGTCCCACTCGGCAGAGCGGGCCTTTAGCTTTCCCAACTGCACATGGGCACCCTCGAAGCCGGGCTTAATCGAGAGAACCTTTTCGAAGTCATCCGTCGCCTGCGCCGTGCGTCCCAGCGAGAGGTACGTGGTGGCGCGCTTGAAGAGGGACAGGTAGTTGTTCGGGTCCTTGGCAATGGCGGCATCGTAGTAAACGAGCGCGTCACCCGTCTCGCCCTTGGAAAGATGCGCCTGAGCAGACTCGAGGAGTCTAGAGACAGGTGTGTCGGCGGGGATATCAGACGAAGACAGGCCTGCTACAAGCGATGGTGTTGACAGAATGCCGGCGGCGAAGGCCAGCGTTGACAGGCGGACCAGCATGGTGTTGCGGGTACAATTCTAGAATTGGCTGAGGAGAGGTCGGTCGTTGTCAAAACCTCGACTGTAGAGGGGTCCGTCCAGTGAGACAAGGCCTTGGTGGCAATAGGCCCTCTGAAAAGAGGGAGTAATGACCTGGTTGTGCTCTTTGGGCGGAATGCTGGAAAGAATTGCAATGCTGTTTACAAGACCTCATCAACCGGCAGAGAAATCTCAAGGAGGAACGAAAACTAGCCCATCGTCCAAATTAAAAAGACCAGAGTCGGCACAAAGCGAAAGTCGAAGGTAGTCGAAAGCCAGCAATCTGGCCACTGCTGTTTTTGGCAGCCTCACAGCATGGCTGGCCGAATTAGCGATTGCCCAGCCGCGGCAGCATGCCCCTCACAGTGCATATAGGCCCAATCCGTGCTCACCTTACAGTGCGGCAATGGCGGATCCAGGCAAGTTGTTGGATGTGGGGCATCTTGACAGACAGCAGAATTCTTTGACCGCCTTTCCATTTCAAGCATTTGCACGTTAAGCCGAAAAAAATCACCATCACGGCAACCATCACCGTCCTCACGTGTCGGGGCTCCCAATTGACGGCGCAAACAACAACACCACACCATTAAGAACCCACCGTCAACAACAAAGCTCACGGTGGAGGACTAGTGCGCCATGTCTTTCAGAGGTGCTCCCCGGGGCCGCGGAGGCGGTTTCGGTGGACGCGGAGGAGGTGAGTTCGCTAACCTCCGGCCGTTTCAGACAGACCGACAGAAACCGGAATGAAAGCTGACTGAGGCCGAAATGCAGGACGCGGAGGCGGATTCCAGCAGCGCGACATGGGCCCTCCGGCCACTGTACTCGAGATTGGCAAGTTCATGCATGCCTGCGAGGGCGAGATGGTGGTCGAGTCGACGAATCCCAAGATCCCCCACTTCAACGCGCCCATCTACCTCGAGAACAAGGTATTTTTCTCCCGTTACTTCCTCTCTTTTGCCTTATGTCAAATGTCTAACCCAGTATTGTCGTACAGACATCAATTGGCAAAGTCGACGAAGTCCTCGGCCCAATCAACCAAGTCTACTTCACCATCAAACCCTCCGAGGGGATCCAAGCAACCTCCTTCAAGCAAGGCGACAAGTTCTACATCTCGGGCGAGAAGCTTCTGCCACTGGAAAAGTTTCTGCCCAAGCCCAAGCCGCCGCCGGGCTCCGCGCCTAACAAGGTCAAGAAGCCCAGCCGAGGCGGACCCGCCCGTGGTGGTCGCGGGGGTCCTATGAGAGGTGGTAGGGGCGGTGGTGGAAGAGGAGGCGGAGGGTTTGGCGGATCAAGAGGCGGCGGGTTTGGTGGTCGCGGAGGTCCTGCACGTGGTAGGGGCGGTGGCGGATTCTCGAGAGGCGGCAGGGGCGGCGGTCGCGGGAGGTTCTAAGGACTAAAACTTCTGATGCGTTTCGGGCTTGCTGCGACGCGCCGCGTTTGCTGGTCAGATGTATCACGGCTATCGCGGTCTCAAAAAGTCATTGCGGCCGTGCAAGATTCCCGGGAGGGAGGATGCTGGTTTCTCTCGGATTAGGTATCAGCTGGCTCCAACAACCATCTCACGTCGGAGTTGAGTCGAGTCTGGGATTTGGAGGCTGGCTACACTACATTGGCGTTTTCGGATGGGTCGTGGAATTTGTTGTTTTGTTTCTGTTTCATGATGGGCCAGCTCGTCTTGTGCGAGATAACGAGGAGAAAGATGAATACCCTCTTGGTCGACAATACCCCCGGTCCTTGTGTCTTTTGCCTTCTGAAGTGTGGCTAATCAACCATGAGCAATGCTTGCCAGCAAGTAACAGGGCCACAATCCAGAAGGTGGCCGGAACCCTGACACACAAGCGCAATATCTACGTGACGATTCAAGAACGGTGGCGGCGTGAAGGCAGAGAAGAGAACACGGCACAGGAAATTGGGTACAACGTCGTGGACTCTCAACTGTCGGAGCCACATTCTCATTTGCTGAGTTTGAGCGGTTCGCTGGGTACGACACAGCTGGTCTATAGCAGTACTGCCCTTTCCTTCCAAACCACCCTCGCCTCCTGGACGCTGCCGCTCTCGATCTACCCGGCGACGCCGCCGTCCTCCACGGCCTCTTGGATGACCACACGGGACGGGCTGGAGACACTAGGGAGCTACCAGCAAAAAGTCAGCAGTGGCAATGGGTTAAACGATATAGAACCAACCAACTCACAGCCTCTCAATCGGTTGAGAACGCTTAGTGCTCTAAGCGGGCCCGCTTTGGGGACAACGCGGCGAGTTCGCGGCTTCAGGTTGAATGTTAGACAACGGTTTGCCAGGCAAATATAATTGCCATAGGGGACACCAGCAGAAAACCCTTACCTAGTAAGAAAGTGTTGATTTTAGAAAGGAGGGAGGTAAGGATGGCGTCAATTTCCGCAAGTTCAGCAAGTGCCTGCGAGTTGGAACTGCCGCCGGTTATGGTACCGTCCGTCTGCGGGGCCCCTACAGAGAGGTCGTTGACCTTTTCTGTTATGTGGGCGAGAGCGGCTTCCTCTTCTGTTATGTGGGCAAGAGCGGCTTTGATAGGGTCAAGCTCTTCCGCAAGTTCCTTAAACACCTCAAGGAACTCGGTGTGGTCTACTTCTTGAGGTCGAACGTCATACGACACCTAGACAAATGGTCAGCAGGCAAGAACAACTGCCACAGAGGGCGAGATTTGCCAGGAAAACCTTACCTAGTCGTGCACAATGTTGATCTTTCTTGCCAGGTCGGGGGAAATAGCTTTGACATTGATTTCCGAAGCCAGGTGCCGGAGAGTGGCCGTGATTTCCAGTCATTTTATTTTACTCAGTAGCAAGCGCCAGTAGTCCAGCACATCCAACTTATTAGGACCCCGTCCGTAAGAGTTCGTCATGGTACTGTCTGCATGCGGGGCTGCCGGAGCTGGTCGTGCCGCATCCGCCGTCGCTGGGGCGAAGTAGTCTGTATCGGCGAAACGATCTTCGTTGCGCGCCTGTTCGGTCGGGCCCGCGGCGCCATCGCCGCTAGGCTCTCCCGCTCCCGGCGAGTGTGCCCATTCCCGTCTAACGGTTCAAGTCGATCCAATTGTAGTGCTGATTTTTGTGGTGCGGAAATCTTCGTGGCTGCACGATTGCAGGACTTGCAGTTTCGTACAGGGAATGTTGAAAGTACTTCGTACTGCAGGTACAAAGGCCTGGGCGAAAAGTTTTTCTACAACAAAGATACTTTGTGCACGAGCCACCCCCACAGTACAGGCGAAAACCTTACTCGGTTAGAACGAAAATGGTATTCTGTTAGAAGATGTGGCGTTGCACTGCGCACGCTCCTCTCCCCCTCTCATTTTCGCAGCGAAGAACGGTTCAAGCTATATGGCTAATCTAAAGACCAGAACTGTTGACTGTCATGTAAGTGAGCACGACTAGATGAAGAGATATATCTATAGTACTGTAATGAGTGTATCCTGCTGTTGTTGTGGTGTGGCGTTGAAGGTGACGCTGAATTCGGCTTATATAAGCTACAGTGCCCTTGCTCTTCCTGGCTCTCTGGCTCTTGAGGTCTCTCTAGCTTCCCGGCACTCTCGAGGGCTGAGAAGCTCGAATCTGCAATAAAAAGTCGAAAGCTAGTAATTCTGAACGAATCTGAGATGAAGCTGTGATGGGTTGTTGACTGAGATACCGGTACGCGTTGAGCTACATCTTCTAACAGATACCATTTTTGGTCTAACCAAATAACGTTTTCGCTGTACAGGTATGTAAAATTTGGTTATATAGAACTAGATCGCACCGTGTTTTACTAGTTTACTAGAGTAATACTCTGTAGTATGGAGTACTATGTACTGGTTACCTGGCTGAATACTGGTCAACGCTAAGCCTATCGTCACGGCATTATAAGAACGCTGAGGCCGCGTCCGGGTTTCTGTAAGCGTTGAAGCGCTCGGTCTCAGAGAACGGGGCACTGTCGGGTGTGGTAGTACATGCCCACAGTAGAGTCTTGAGTGTGGAATCACTTCAAGAGGTTTATGGATTCATTCACCCGCAGACGATTGAAGAAGAAGCCGACGGTAGGTAGGTTGTGACAAGAGACGACAATATCGCAGGAACAAGACAGCCGTAGGTATATTTATAGAATCCACGCTTTAAAATCAAACTACATGCATGCGCGGAAAGAAATCATCGCCCTTAGTCGATCCTATTGCCTTGCACATTTCCGTGCGCAGCTCAATACTCGTTGATGAGGCTGGGGTCGAAGGGTTCGAGGAGGCGGGGGTCGATGTCTCGGAGGTCGATGTCTGGAATTGGCACCGCCGCCGCCGCCGCTGCCACGAGGGGGCCATTGGTGATAGCCGGGGGCGTCGCCGCTCCCGCGGGAAGGTTGCTGCCGGTGACCGGAGCAGCCGCCGCCGCCCCCGCAACGAAGGGGTCGTTGCTCTCGACCGGAGCCTCCGCCGCTGCTGCTGCTGCCGCTGCCGTGGCGGGGAAGAAGTTGTTGGCCGGCGCCACCGCGGTGTTGGTGGCCCGGGGGACATCGGCTGGGACGTCAACTCCCAGGCGCTTGAGAACCGCCTTGGAGCACGTCATTGGGTCCAAGCCGTTATTCCTCTTCCTCCAGTCAGAGTACTTATCGCACCACTCAGTGGCGCGGGCCCGGAATTCGTTGACCAAGGCGTCGAGGACGCCGTCCTGGTCTTGGCCGCCCTGCACATAGGCAGCATACAGGACGCACAGGGCGTCCACGAGAGCGCGAGCGACGGGGACCAGCTCCGCGGGGACGAAAGCCTCGGTTTTGTGCGCTTTGTTGCAGCGCCGGCAGGACACACTGGAGTTCCCAGCTAGGCTGTGGATTAGCATATGCGTTTCCTCCAGATATATGACGACACATGGGGGAGCTGGAGTAGCTTACCACGATCGGAACACATCCACTCACTGGCCTCATCGAAGAACTTGGCAAGTTGGGTGGACTCTGGCGAGAACCTGGCCAGGCCGCGCGTGCAGCGCAAGCAGAAATCATCGCGCAAAATGCTAAAGATAGCAGAGAACTGGGGTCAGCATTTGGAGCAACAAGACGGGAGGAGCCGCAAGCAAGCAAAACCCGGCACTTACTCGCCATCGTTGACACTCTTTTTAGCACGGCCGAGGAGGTGCTTGAGGTTGACGTAGGGGATCAGCCCTGCGTCGCCAGAAACCGTGGGATTGGATCCGGCGGTGCCGGAAAGGACAGGTGATTCTCCCTCAAACGACGCCATTATTTGGGACGAGCTTGATGGATTAAAGGATGTGCTTGTTAATGTCGTAGTAAGGTCAAAAGGCTGCTGGTGACCAAGGAAGAGTTGGATGGCTCGATAACAGCTCGAGGATTGGCCAAGTTGAAGAAGAGAAGAGAGGGAAGAGAGGAAGAGGAATGCGAGGGGAGGTTAAATCACGAACTTGTTATTGTTCTCGAGTTTCAGCGAGGGGTCGCATCGAGAGGGTTCTCCGCGAGGGGCGAGTTTTGTTCGGCAGGAGGCTATTCACGAACCTCCTGTTCGTGGGTCTCGGCGACGGGGCCTTGACGAGGGTGTTCTCGGCGAGGGGCGAGTTTTGCTCACGACTCACAGGGGCTCGGCGAAGGAGGCCATCTCCCAGTCGTCGGTTTACCTGCCGCCTGCACATAATTCGTGAAAGGGCCGCATGACTCCAGAGAACAAGGGAATCGATTGGCCTTGCTATATAAACCAAGCTATATATCAAAGGGGCGTGAATCAAAAGACTCTTCGTGGGCCCCGCTGTGCGTGACAGCTCAAAGTGCTGAGACTGACCCTCTTGGATATTCACCTGGAACGTGGAGATGCGACACAGACGGAGTACTGTCGGTTCGGACCGCCATCATGGCGCCTGGCCGGGCCGCTTTGCCTTCCCCGACAGTAGCGTTGCCGTTTGTCTCGGACACGGCTCCCTCCTCCCGGTGCTCAGTCCCTCGGGATTCCACCCTGTTAAGAGTGCTCGGGCCATTCGTCATTCCCATGGTCTGCGAGTTGAGCGCTTGCTCACGGGTGACGCGGCTCCCTGGCGACGGTGTTGTGGGTTGGTGTGGCTGCTTCGAAACTGGCAGCGAGATAGGTACGGGGTTGGCCCAGGCGTGCCCGGCCTCGGCCGTATACGTCTTGGTCGCGTCGACGCCGTCAAACACTGAGCCGTTTGAGGGGCTGACAGCTTTAGGAAATTGGCTTGGCTCGTTACTAGGCCCGTCAAGGTTCGCTGACTGTTGCTGGAAGACATCCTGTGGGACTCTAGCTGTCTGACCGGTTCCTTGAAAGCCGCTCTGAGGCTGCCCGGACGGTTGACTCCCAGGAGAGACTCTCGCCGTGAGATAGTCATGGTTAGGGTTTTCATCATATCCGGAGCTCACACTAAGAGGTGAGATTGGAACCTGTAAGCCTCTTTGCGCGTTCACCTGGAGGTCAGATGGGAACCGCCCACCTGAAGGACGTCGCGACAGACCGTCTTGCCTTGGCTGTTGGTTGTTGACCGAGGACACAGTCGCCGCGAACGGAGGATCCTCCTCGTCGTCGACTACTACATCGCTGTCCATGGAAGACCGCTGTGATGACCGGCTGAAGCTACGGCTGTTGCCGCGCACAAGATTGTTACGTTCCTCTGGTGTTCGCTCTGTCAAGGTTTTGATGTCATCGTACCATGCCATCATCGTATCGTGGCTCTCGGCGCGGAAGACCCAGGTATGGCCACGGTGCATGGCTCCAGTTTGCCGACCCTTGAGGACGAATTTATTGGACGAGCCGCCTTCTTGGGAATGTGATCCCAATTTCTGCTCTGGGAGATAGAGCGACATAACCGGCGCTTGCGTCTTGTCCGCCGACTTGTATTCGTGTAGATGAGTGGGTGAAAGAACATACCTGATTCCCGTTAGCTGCCAGTCAGCGACTCTACAGTCAGTTTCGACCACTGGGTGGCCAGAAATACTCACCATCCAGCTGTGTAGCTCTTCAGGTACTTGCTCTTGCGTTCCAGAAGGCCTGCCCGGATCTCCTGGCATGCGTAATGATCACGGCCTGGGTAGTGTATAAACTCGACCGATCGCATGGGCAGCTCCGGGTCTACGAATCGGTCGTCCCGACGAATAAATGATGTCCATTCTGTATCCTTCGGCATTGCGATGGGACCGACACGGAGCTCTTCGATGGTGCCGTAAGCCGCGTCCGATTCCCGCTTGAGAATGCTGGCATAGGCATTATATGCCTTTTGAATCTCGCCCACGACGATCGATTCAAGCTCCTTTCCAGAATTCTCCAGATTCAGGTAGGCCTTGGCGCGGTTAGAAAGGGGCACTGTCTAGTTCTAACAGTTGTCCAGCGGGGTAAACACACCTGGTGAAGATAGTTTTCCTCATCGATCTGCCTCTCCAGCTGCCGATCAACAGCAAGCCTCAAGAGGTACGGATCTTGTTTGCCGGTGGTCAGAGCGGTGTCGAGCTCGGCCTGACCCAGGACGTCCTGTAGCTGGTTCACAGCCCTCCGTGTGCTATCCATCTCCTTTTCGACGGTATTCTTGAAGTCGCCCGCTAGGTTTTTGATCTCCTTTATCTTTTGGTGGAGGTCGCTGCGTAGCCCAGTGAGGGCAAGGATGACATCCTCTTCAATCTCCCTAGCCTTGTTTGCTTCGACTATAGCTTGCTTGTTGTAGTTCCTCAAGATCTGCAGTGCGTCGTCCAGACCACCAGATGCGAGGAACCCCGGCGGGGTCGTGGTGTTGTTGAGTACGTTTGAGAGTTTGATGAGTGATTTTGCCCGGTGCTCGTAGTGTGTCTGGATTTCTCTGAAGTATGTGATGATGTCTTTTAGAATCTTGCGCCAGGCTTCAAGAATACGTTAGCTATCACCCCCGAGCGTGTATCATCAAACTGCCTGAGATCCACGACTGACTACCAGGTAGTAGCGGAGGAGGGATAGGAGGAGGACACACCTTGGAAACGATTCGCAAGAACTTCGGTAGGACTCCCCGCGGTTGGGACAGGGCAGTAGAAGGCGCTATGCATCTCATCCCGGTCCGTGGTTGGCTGGAGAGCCAGGCTCCTAACACTCCCGGCCCTCGTGCTCCGACGGCTGCCGCTTCGTTTCAAACTTGCGCTTCGCCTCAAAGATGGCTTCTTCCTCAGGGTATTCCCGCGAGACAGAGATGATGTGCCGTCGCCCGTGATGCCAGCACCAGGGACAGAGATGACGCTAGATCGCTGCATGTTGCCGCCAGACGCTGGGCCGTCGATTATGGAACTCCCCCGTTGGCTCGCATCCCACTCCTCGGTAAATTTCGCAGGACGGATAGGCAGCGGAGCGACGACGTGGCCGCCATACTCGCCCTGCGAGTTTGAGTATGTGTTGGACGAGTTCTCGACGTCTGGAGCACCCTGGTGATAACTTGATTGCTGCTGTTCCTGCTGCTGCTGTTGCTGTTGCTGCTGCTGGTGGAAGTAGCTTGAGGCAGCATACCCTCGGTCGTTGTTGGCTTGGGGAGATGGTGTGGTAGCGATGGCGGCTTTAGCTGACGACATGGCTGGCGTTGGCGTGATGCATCGACGGCATCCACTTTGTCGTTCTTCCTGCCTCACTTCGCCTTTTTATCAGCCCCTGAAGCATCTGGGGTAAGGGCGTTGCGGCTTGCCTCTGCCCGGGGAAGGAAATGCGTACCTCGGTAGCCGTGCGAACGTGCGCACGAACGCGACGCGATTGTGAAGATTGCAACAGCCTAGTTTTGTATGTATGTACCTGGAAGGCGTGTTCTTCGTAGAGCTTGGGATTTCTAGTTGGTGGTTTAAAGACGCCGGAATAAGGTGTCTAGCTTTTCTAGAACGTCGGCAGAACAAATGTCAAAAGTTAAGACGATGAAGTTATGGACCCAATTATCATCGGATCTATCTCGAGATGCGACATTGTTAGTTGGCGGCCGTGTCTTGGCTGGGGAGTCTCATTTAAGCACAAGAGCTGGCTTACCCTTGCTTGCGTATTGTTGTATGTAAGTCGAAACACCTAGGGTAGCTTGGCGTGATGATTAGGATCTCCGCAACTTAAGTTATTGCCGACGAGATGACAGAACGTCTAAACGAGTCTGCGCGAAATTGCAGTGCCCACGCTTTTCACTTATTTCGCGTCGGCGTTGAAAATGAAGCAGGAGAAGGAAGTTGTGAACAAGTGGGAAGCACTCATAACGCGGTCAGCATGATATCTGGCATGCCTGGTTAGGGGTGCTTTTGGTCTCCGACAGACTGGACGAACATGGGTTGACGAGATTCAAATGACGTATTTCAACAACGTGGAACATCCGCTTGAGTCCCATTGGAGGAGTCGGATGAGGTCAGAGGACGAAGAACATGTGGCTTGCCAAGAGTCGTCTTATTCTGTGCGACAAGTTGACAGCCCATGGGTAGCATTACGCTTATAGGCTATCTGCTACAGATCCGTCCGATGTGCATGTGAGTTTGGAGACTTCAAACGCTCTCTAGGTATAGCGATGCTCTACAACTGTGGACTAATGATGTCTGACGTTGGACACACGAATTCCATAATGGTGCACCTGCACACCTACAGCTGTCACCTTGTTTCCTCCGAGTACTCACATACGTCGATGGCGTGCAAAACCTATACACGGCGCGGAGGAAAGCAACCTCAGCCTTACGTCGCAACACCTGCGGATGATCCTAAGAAGTTCTTCATCCTCTGTTCGCCAACACAGGCCCAGGCCCCTTAACTTTTCCAGAGCCAACACTGAACAGTTGGATCGTTCTCCACGCATGTTGCTAATATGGGGGCCTGCTTCATCGCGATGGTATGTACTGTACATACATACCCGGGTATTGTGCCTGGATTGCAGCTAGGTCCAGCAGTGACACGATGTTGGCCAATGCCTATTGCCTAACACTGAAAGCTCACAAGTCAAAGCGATGGATGGCATGGTGCCAGATGGGCAGGTGGGAAAGAGCATGAGGTTGTAGAGTAATGTATTGTACAGCGAGCGAGCACTGCATCATACCAAAGCCAAGGAATGCTGAAGAAAAGCAACCCTTGGTTGCAGTTCAGTCAGATCCAAAGAAGATGACTTAAAGATAACACCAACGTTGAAGTCCTATAGGGAGACGGATGCTCGATGAGAGATACTGCAAAACCTCGCGGGTCATCGAGACCCTCCCTCTAGGCGTGCATCTAATGCTGCTCATGATGGATTCAGGTAGGATGTCGCAGAGGGTGGACTGGCAGATATGTCGTTCACTTGGTATACATTAGTATACTGTGCGTACATGCTGAGAGCAACATCTGTTTTAGGAAAGAGACTTGCCCGTACGACGTATGTAAGACCTGATGTTTAAGACGGGATTGTCACCGAGCCGGCATTCACCAGACTTGGCAGCGCCCGAGATCCACCAACTCCTTGGATGCCAAATGCAGATTGCTACACTCCGCCAAACGGCACAGAATCTGCCTAACCTCGAGCTTCAGCAAAACCGGCGTCTATTCCACACAAGGTATCACGATTTTATTCTAGAATTGGCGATACAGTCGGTTGGTAGTCAAACATTCATTTACATCCATGGATGTTAGTGTGTGTTCGACGAGTGAGTTGAAAAGCATCCGAAAAGGACCCGGCGCGGTGATAGCAATCAGCAGATCGACTCTATCTCAGGACAACGAACCAAAAAGGATACCTCTAGTACCGTATGTACGAGGTACTACGAAGTACTGTACTGCACAGTATACGGGAAATAGGTTGCGCGCAGGAGCCACCTTCGCCTCAATTGGTGTATTAGGTACTTCGTATGTACGGAGTACAAGTACCAATTCTAAGCATCATCTTGCCAGTTCTTCACGAAAAGCCAAGGCACGGTTTGCACAACGACCATATCTGTATAAACCACCGCGATCTTACGGTCTCTCATCCGATGTGATCGGAGAGAAGACTAAGTCCAAGGCTGAGTGGTTCGGCCGATGCAAGGCCTTGCATCGGCCGCTTACAGCCGAGCACAGTGCAATATCCGGACCGCAGCGTACTTCGGACCCCAATGCCATCAGCCAGCACTCGAAGTGAGCTCCGGGTTAGGGAGGTACAGAAGTTAAGCGAAGGGAGGCTAGGGAGCAGTGGGAAAAAAGTGTCCGATACAGGGCCAAGGTCTTTGTTGCCCTTTTTCACATTTTCTTCTTAAAACCACCGCCATCCCCCCGATCTGACCGCCAGTTGCTCCAGTAGCTCAATACCATTCTCTGTGAACGGCTTCCTTGTTCCTGCATTTTACTCTCAAAGACCGCATCGCACTCAACAGCAGGTTGCCCCTCACCGACTTGGCCGCAAGATGTCCACTTCATCCTCGAGTCGCTCCTCACCGGAATACCGTGCTGGGAAACGGCCTAGTAAGTGAAAATCGCAATTGCGCTATCCCTCTCTTCATGACTCAGATCAGGGCATTGGAGTTCATGTATTGTACGCTATGCTGCTCGAGGGTCAGCGGGCTTCTTCCTCTCCTGTATCAAGTTGCTTTTTCTTGTTTCTCCTTCAATTGTATCTGGTTGCACGACACTGTCGTTTACAGACTGCAAATCCGGCCAACAGAGCCCCGCTTTCTTATCGCCGCATCAAGCTTAAAAACCCCGCGAGACCCTGAACAAGGTTTACTCTAGAGTTGCAATCGCAGCTGCCTTCCCATTTCAACAACGGCTGTACTTGCAGATACTAAACTACAACCATAATCGTTTCAACACTCAATTTTGGTTAGTAGTTCTCTGACCCTGGCGATTCGATGGCAGGAACCCAATCGCTCCCCCCTCCGGCGCTGCCGCAGCTTGTCGCCGAACAGCATGTCCCTATCCCCCCAACGGACAAGGACAGCAAGCGACTTATTGTCGTCCTCTCAAACGCCAGTCTCGAGACGTACAGGGCTTCGCATGGCGGGTCGAACCGCATGGGTGCTCCGAGGGAGGAGAAGTACTCACTTCTCAACAGCGACGAGCACATTGGCGTCATGCGCAAAATGAACAGGGACATCAGCGACGCCCGTCCGGATATCACGCATCAGGTTTGGATGATCCAAGGCTGCCTCCGCTTCAAAGTATTTGCTGCTGACCATGTGCGGGATTCCCTGCCGCAGTGCCTTCTCACTCTTCTCGATTCACCAGTAAACAAGGCGGGGAAGCTGCAGATTTACATCCAGACGGCCAAGGGCGTGCTGATCGAGGTCTCCCCCTCTGTTCGCATTCCTCGGACATTTAAGCGATTTGCCGGTCTGATGGTTCAGCTGCTTCATCGTCTCGCCATCAAGGGTGCAAACTCGCAAGAGAAGCTCCTGAAAGTGATCCAAAACCCCATCACGGACCATTTGCCCCCGAACTGCCGGAAGATCACTCTCAGCTTTGATGCCCCGCTGGTGCGAGTGCGCGACTATGTCGACACACTCGGCCCAAGCGAGAGCATCTGTGTTTTCGTGGGCGCCATGGCCAAGGGACCCGATAATTTCGCCGACGCATACGTGGACGAGAAGATCTCCATCAGCAACTATAGCTTGTCGGCGAGTGTTGCCTGCAGCAAGTTCTGCCACGCCTGTGAGGATGCCTGGGATATCCTCTGATCGGAAAGCGATGCGGTAGCATTGCTCTTCTATGATGAGGATGTTCCGGGCTATTCAATCGGCCGGGTCCTTGTTGTTGGCAGGGAAAGGGGATTGGATGGAAAGATCTGTCAGCTCCTCTCTCATATTCATCTGAGGAGCTGCGGTTGCATTGGCCTGTTTCGTGATACAACATCGCGGCTGATAGGCCTTTGTCTTCCGGAACTTGGGACGTCTGTGCTTGAGCTGTCGGTGTTTTTGCAACCAAAACATGGGGCGTTCAACAACGGATCCCAAGACGCTTTCGTCGTCTGCGCGGTGCCACTTCAACTTGGCCCGCGTCTTCCCCTTTCCTTGCCCTTTGTGGTTTTCCTTCTCGCTCTGTATCCTGCTCTCCAGCTTCTCTACTAACTAACAGCTGCAATGGCTCTACGAATACGTGAATAGTGGATCTTTCCGTCTTAGATCGGGAATGATTGGGTATGCCACCGCTCAAGCTGGTTCGGGGTTGGGCTCGAAGTTCACTAATCGAGCCTTCATGTTGCACTGACTGACGGAAAGCGGAATGATGTTGACTTGGTAGGCTAGGCGCAACCCCGTGTCTTGGAGAAGAGGGTTTCCCGAGGCGGAAGGATCCGAGTTCATAGGCTGGGAATAGTAATAAATGTGGTCTGGAATGGAGATTGGGGTGCCCCATGTCCCGCTGAGTGCATGTGTCTACACGTGCATGTTGTATTTTGGCGAATACAGACTATTGGAAGCTGCTTGCCAGGCTTTCCAGAACCTACGACCCGGATCCAGGAACCGGAACGGGAGCACCTCCGCGGCCATCGTGCTGATTCCTGCAAGATGGTTGAACAGGAGGTCCTGCCATCATCAGGGCGGCCTCACATCGGCCCTGTATGTAATTCAACCTCGACTTGGTTGCATGGCCAACCACAACTCGCCTCGGGAGGCATCTGCACAGTAACGTACTGTGGCAAGTGGCTCGAAAGCCTGAAGTGGCTGGTTGGGAATCTGGGTCCATAACACACTACTGTACATACCTAGGTACTCCGTAGTATGATCCCTTCATGCCTTCATCATCCAGCGCATAGCTTGTCTCGGGCTTGTAAACAAACAGGGCGGCGATCACAGAAGCCTTATTGGAGGCACGTCTCCCCGGCGCCCCTTGTTCAGTCTTCTGTCGTGGGTGAGAAGACGAAGAAACGGCCTACCTAGAAAGCTTTCCTCTAAAATGCACACGATTGGCAAAGCGCAAGGTACTTTGGTACCTTGAGGGCACTAGCCGTTGTGCCTAGCCATTTTCTGCTCTATCAGAAGATCCATGGCGCCTCACGTTCAACGAAGTACAAACAGGGCTGCTTTGAAGCTGAAACCAATGGCCACTCATCACCACCTCAGACTCAGACTCTGGAGGTGAGGGGAGAATGTGGGCTGCTGGCTGGGCCCCACACACTGAGACCTTTACAGGGCGCTCGGGGGGTTGGATTTTCGACGTGGCAAGCTCTCGTGAGCGCAGACCAGCTGAGATACTCCAGCTTTGACGTGCAGACAGGTGCAAAGTCAGGATGCTGAGCTCCAGGTCAGGCTGCTAGAGCTTTCGGTTCCTGACAGTCTCCCCACTTTCTTCATCCTTCAGACGAACCTTGTGCACTCGCACAAATGTCCGGTTTCTTAGGTCACTGCCACTTCCCTGCGTTAACGCTGTGCCGAGTCAACGTGATACGGCGCATTCTTACAGGAACCGTTCCGTTCCCCAAATGCATTGTATCTTAAATCCATACTATTGTTTCTCTTGTTTGAGTCGTCAGGTGCCGAGACGACAGTTCTCAGTCATGGGCCCCCGCGCCCCTCACAGTCGACAGCTTTCCATTGCATTTGACACAACGCATCGCTGCGGGGCCTGAGGGTGTCAATCCGTCTGGGTTGACAGGTTGGGCATCATTCGTTCTTGCCTGGAGGCTGGTAGCAGGCCAGGCAAGGCATTGGATGCGGTCAAGCAGCCATCCTGCGCCCTCAAACCCTAGAATATTCAACCGCATTCCGCTGTTTTCATTCCTGTTTTCTGTCGGCCAGTAATTGTGTGAAAATGCTGCCCAGCCAAACGCTCTGCAAGACACCCAAGGGAACAACATCCACCTAACTCTCTAACTCGCGATCTCCTGGAAACCAGACAACGACCTTCTCACTTATGTACGAATACAGTACACTATAGTTCCAAAGTTGGGCTTTGTGCTTGTGCTGCCTGGCCCTGTGGCGCTGCTTGCTTGGTTTTCAGCTCGTGAAACTGGCCCCCGCCATCACACGCCACACTGCGCTGCGCTGAATACGCTTTTGAAAAAGGCTTTTCTAGGCATACTTTCGCCTCGCCATTCTCGGGCCCATCATAGCCGGCGTCCCGTGTCGCACAACCGCGCTGCTAACCCCTCTGCCCAAGGCTGCTGTCCCCTCGTTTATTACGGCGCGTCCCTGGGGCTTATATCGTACTAATGCTCCCGTTTCTGGAGGTCAGGCACCTCCCCTCGTCCTCTTCTTTTTACTCGGCCGTCATTCAACCCCTTGGCCTCCGCTACCACTCGACCGAAGACGGCCATTTCCCGGCCATTATTTATGGAGACTCGACACGGACAAAGCCTGTGTTTCAGATCCGGCAAGTGGTTGCCAGCAGAGACCGTCGCCTGAGGACTTCGCGCATTGTGTTCAGCGTTCCTTCAGCGGTCGCGGCCGAGGACACCTACGAGTTTGCCCTGCGGGCCAATCCCGACCTCTCGGATGCCGATCCGCGCCACTCGGGTGAGGCCTACACTGCGGCCAGTGGCGTGTCGGCCCACCGGACAGGCACGAGCAGTGGCGGGATTCGGGTGCTTATAACCGACTTTGACGGCAATATCATGGAAGTTGTGTACCGGCCTCCTCCAGAATACCCTTCCAACTACAGCGGTCCCACGGTACGCCGCACCAGGTCGACCAGCGAAGAAGCGGTCCGCATCTTGGACTGGAACTACGACGTTGCAGCCTCGTCACTGCCGCCCTCCACCTCCCGTCGTCCCTACGACCCGTATCCCGAGGACGACGAACCGCCCTATCCCAGTATTAGACGGAGTGTCACGGTTGGGCCCTCCACCTACGATCCAGCACCATCTGCCAAAGGAAATCCCAACGGCCTAAGTACTGGCGCCGTCGTCGGTACGCTACTAGGTGTTGCCGCCGGAGCCGCCCTCACGTACAGCGCAGTCAAAGGCGACCGGGGCCGCTCTCCCCGCCAGGAATACGACATGCCGTCCTTTGTGCGCCGGTCTACCTTCCCCGAGAGGTATGACTCGTACTCGGGTCGCAAATCCCGCTATGCCGACATGGAGCGGGGCGTTGAGAAAGTCGGATATTCGGATGAATATGCCCCTGTGTCTGACTATCGCCGACCTCCTCCCGAGTACATTGCTCGGTACAGTCAGGTCAGCTCGCCGCGCAGCAGGGAGGTAGACGACATTTATGATGACTCCCGGACCCGGTATACATCATCCCGTCCCCGGACGTCCGCGCGCTCCCGCAGCGAGGCTGCCAGCAATCGGGCACCGTATCCCGAGGACGAGCCTGAATACCGCAGCTATACGGGCTCGCGGAGCTCAAGACAACCCCCCGTCGTCCAGCGCAGTTACACGTACGATACACCGGAGCGAGACAGCTATGTCTCGGCCAGGAGCCACCGGTCGAACAGCACGCTCCGCGCGGCACCATCACCACGGCCGGACCCTCTCACCTCGCCGTCCTATGCCTCCCACCATTCGAGGTCAGGAAGCCGTGTGGTGACGACGACCACCATCAGGGCTACCGGCAGCCCTCGTGCGTTCAGCAGGGAGGGGAGCTACTTGTCTGCGCGCAACGTGCCCCTTCCCGAGAGCCGTGCCACGACGTACATATCAACGTACGACATCCCCATCCGGGACAGTCGGCCGGGCACCTATGTTTCTGCCCGCCACGTTCCCCTCCCGCCCAGTGGTGTCGGCAGCAGCCATGCCAGGTGGGACGTTGAGGAGGGTATTGACGATGACGACGACAGTGTTGCGCCCAGCGACAGCATCAGTAACGTGGGCAGCCGCAGGAGTGGTCGCTCACGTCGCTGAGTTTCTTGCGACGGCGAAATTGGTGAAAAATCTTTTGGGTGCTGCTTTGCTCGGATTTTGCCAGCCTCCTCTAGGATTCCAGGGTCATTTAATGGGTATGCTCAGGATTGCTTCGGGAGTAGTTGGTTTCGTTTTTCGCCTTTCCATGACATGACGACGGTTATGCAGAGCGAGCAACGGTCAACGGGACGATGCTTCAGTCAATCGACAGGGACAGAAAAGATGTTTTGGATGTCTGGGACAGAGCAATCTGTGATCATCTTTCCGGTTGCCCATTGCAGGATTGGGCTATATTTGAGTAATTACATCGACAGACTCACAGGTGCCTTTGATTGGAAATAAGTCTCATGGCCCGGCATTTGGTTTGCTCCAGCGAGAGATGAGTGGCTCTCCGCTTTGTTGATTTGTTAAGGAAGGAATTGGATGACTGAGGTGATGATGACTTGTCTCTAGAGGACGGAAATGGGTTGGCTGTATGGGTATAAGGCCGTATGATGACTACTACGTGCCTAGGTAGTGTTTTTGATGAAGAACGCAGCACACCCGTCTGGTGTATATACAATTCATGACAATGTGTATCGGTCGTGTGTTTAGTGAGCGGGTTACTCTTGTTAGTCTACCTCATCTCCCTATCTTGTTCAGCTCCGCGATGAATTAGGCCGTGGCTGGCTATGGGAGCGAAATACAGTATCATAGCTCACAAATTTCCCACTAGACACCCCGCCGGTCAAGATGTCAGGCACACATTGAAGCTGTGGGGATAGCATATGTAGGTCGGTATGTACTCAGCGCGGGATGGTTGGACAATTCCGGGCTTCAGGAAAGTTCTATCCTGTAACTAACAGGAATGCTTGACTCTCCACGTGTGATTTTCAGGCTCAGTATTAACTCTGCTCTAGTCAATCCACTCTTTGGAGTGCATTTCTAGAATCAACGACTTGGTCATGCTCCTGGCCGAAGTCTGTTCGAATGTAGTAGGTCAATCAATCGGTACAATGTTTGACTCCATTTTTCGGCGCTTGAATGGGTCCTTTTTCACCTCCGATGGTCGGAAAGTGCTACCTCGACCAGCGTTACTCTTCTCTTGGTTCATCAACCCACACTCACCCCTCCAAAATCTAGAACGTAGCGGTAATGCAGGGAACAACAGCAAGGACGACAAAACAAGGCAAATAAAGGTATGTAATCGAACAGTACTCATCTCCCCTCCCTGGACCTTAACTGTTGCCCAGTCCAACCTAACCAACCATTGCCCACCTATTATCACATCTACAATCTCAGTCTGCTCACACAATTGCATTGCGGGGCAGGTTGTAGTCACCATCCCCTCCTAGGAGAGTTTGCACAAAATAAAAATCAGATACTGGCTTGGGTCAAGAATCGAGGCCGTATCACAAGGTATACAAGTTCACCTCATTCAAATGCCAGACTTTGACCTCGGGGAGTCCATCCCCCCCGATACAGCTCATGTAAGTCACCGACACCGTCAACATATCCCCTGTTTCACCTGCTTTACACGCCTGAGCCCTGGCTTACACCAGCTTCCTAGGCTGTGAGCGTCTCGCTCCCAACATGGAGATCAAACGTGGGCTATGAAGAGGGCGAGGACTGGGTTGTTAACCGCATGGCAACCGGCTATCCTCGGTGGGTTTTGCTCCATAACATTGTCCCTTGAGGCTGTATGACTCCTGGCTCATGCTTTATTAGTTTTTTCATACACAAGAGTATCCAAATTCTAGCCAGTGATATCGTGGCGAGGTTTGGTCCCAAGGACGCCAGGGCCCTTCTTTTCCCAACGCGCAAAACCGCTGCGCGTTGTGTGGAATTTGTCAAGAGGCTCGCTCCTCCAGCAGTTTCGGCCGCGCTCGAGACGGTCCACCTGGTCCTTGACAGGACAAAGCCGGGCACAGAAGCATTAGCGCCCTTATCCCCCGCCATCTCGGCCGTCATTTTCCCGCAGGACGCCTATCCGTTTGTGAAACAGTATTGGCAACACACCGGCGACGGCGCGTCCAGCCGCAGGGCTGAGTTCTGCCATGGCCTGCTGAAGGAGGGCCTCCTGCGCTTGGATGACGACGACGGGGCGTCCAGGGGCTCTGTCCCCGCGAGCCCCGTCAGTCCCGCTGTCCCATCGAGCCCAAAACCGTGTAGGGGCCCAAGACGCTACCAGCGGCCAGCGTCCTTTGACATGCCCAAGGCGCCGGCGACTCCACCCTCGCCGCCACCACAAAACAACAGCTCTGACCGGGACTCGGGCATCGGGCCCGACATCCAGGAGACGTCGCGCTTCCTAGAGGAGCGCTTCGGCAGGAACCTGGACGTGTCGTTCGTCGAGCCCGCCAGATCGGCTATCAAGAGGCGCATCGCTGGCGCCCTGCGCAGTGACCGCGAGCTCTCCATGACGCCCCTGCCCGAGAGGGAAATGGAGTCCAACACGCGCGGCATCGCCAACCTCCGCGAGGACGATGTCTACCTCTTCTCATGCGGCATGAACGCAATCTTCAACGCACACCGCGCCCTGCTCGGCGCCCGCGGCGGCCATCTGAAGAGCATCAACTTTGGCTTTCCCTACGTCGACACGCTCAAGATTCTCGAAAAGTTTGGTCCCGGCTGCGTCTTTTACGGCCACGCGTCGGAAGCTGACTTGGACGATCTGGAGCGGCGCCTGCAAGGAGGCGAGCGGTTCCTAGCCTTGTTCTGCGAGTTTCCCGGTAATCCGCTGCTGACGTGCCCCAACCTGGTGCGCATCCGGCAGCTAGCCGACGCCTACGACTTCGCTGTGGTGGTGGACGAGACGATCGGCACTTTTGCCAACATCAACGTGCTGCCTTATGCCGACGTGGTGGCGTCGAGCCTGACCAAGATCTTCTCGGGCGACTGCAATGTCATGGGCGGCAGCGCCGTGCTCAACCCCAACGGGCGCTACTACCGCGCGCTCAAGGACTTTGCGCGCGCTGAGTTCGAGGAGAAGGATTCCTACTGGCCCGAGGACGTCATGTTCATGGAGCGCAACAGCCGTGATTTTGCGTCGAGAATCGACAGGATCAATTCCAACGCCGAAGCCATCTGCGAGGCGCTCCGCCAGAGCCCACTGATCAAGAGCATCTTTTACCCAAAGTTCAACGAGTCGAGGGCCAACTACGAGGCGTGCAAGGTGCCCGGCGCCGGATACGGGGGGTTGATCTCCGTCGTCTTCCACCGCTGCGAGCACGCCATGGCCTTTTACGACGTCCTCAACACGGCCAAGGGTCCCAGCCTGGGCACAAACTTCACTCTCACCTCCCCCTACGTGCTGCTGGCGCATTATCAGGAACTCGACTGGGCCGAGGGTTTCGGCGTCGACCGCGACTTGATCCGCATCAGCGTCGGCTTGGAGGCGACGGAGCATCTGGTCAGTGTGTTCAAGGCGGCGCTCGACGCAGCGGGGAAAAGCAGTAACGGGCAGCTAGAGTAGCTTCGCATTATTTGGCTAAAGGCTTTAAAAAGAAAGAATTAAGCATTACATTTAGCTAGATTCTGCTTCGTGACGTTACTGCCATGTCTTCGCTTCGTGCCTGACGGCTATCCTGAGTGTCGTTCTCATAACAAGCACGCAATCATGTACTCCTGTTCGTATTGCTCACATTACAACGCACGCATCAGGGGTATCATGGACAAACGCCTCGCCGAGCAATTCCTTGCGGCGCTCGAGCTCGTTGTAAGCCTGTTTCTCCTTGGTCTCCTTGGGAAACCATTTCTCCAGGAAACGAGCGAGTTTGTCATCGATGTGGCCTGCAAAAGTGATAGCGGGTCAGTTGAGCTCGCTTGCGGCAGTGATAGACCGCCCGGGCGATGCGAAAAGGAAGGAAGCAGAAAAGAGGATTGGACAAAACGTACTTTCGTTGGCGCGCTGGACCACGTCGGCCCGGCACAACGGACAGAACCGCTTGTTCTGATGCTGCATCTTGATCATGCACCGGATGCAGAAGAGATGATCGCAGTCTAGACGGACAGGTAACCAGCAGATAGAAAAGCCTGACATGACAAGGAAAAGGGGGTGTGTGTCAGTCAATGCTCATTACATAGTGTACTGCTGCGGAACTCACAGATCGAGCAAGAAAAGTCCACCACCTGTGGAACGAGATTGACCACTTCGTTGGCTATCTGGGCACAGATATCCTGGGAGATGGTTTCCGAGATGAAGTGGGCCGAGTACATGAGCTTCGGCAAGGTCGCCTTTATGCCCAGGGAGGTCCTCTTGTCGAATTCTAGTTATGGCGAGTCAGTAGGCAAACATCAGACCGAGCAGAGATCTCGCCCACATACTCTTAATGATCTTTGTGACCGCCGTCCGATTCAACTCCTGGAACTGGAGATTATGCAACAGAGTCGCATTCAGCGTCAGGAAGTGCGAGTAGGCGGCCACGCTGGCCGCCAGCTTGAACTTTTGGAGTAGCTGCCGCTTGTTGACCTCGGTCTGGAACCAGACGAGCTGCTTTTGCGCCCGCTCGCTGTCCCGTGGCCCTACCGAGGCCTCGGCCGTGGAGAAGAACACCTGCGCGGCCAGGTACAGCTCAAAGATCTCGCGCCAGCGGTACAAGTCCGACTTGGAAAAGTTGATGCTCCGCCGCGGCCGGGCTAGATCCGATATCTCTGCGCCGAGCGCGTGGATCTTGTCGTGCATCGAATGCCGCTCTTCTTCCTGAAGGGTGTCGAGCTGGCTGACGTCGTCCTGGAGGACTCGGAAAAACCTCGCGTCTGAATCCAGGGGAATCTTCACCCATCCGTCGTCGGACACCGGGTCGTGGTTTGGAATCAGGTCCGGCGGGGCGGTATCAGCGCCATCCGGTACTGACGGCGATGCCGACTCCGTGGCGAGGGATCCGGGCTCCTCTACTACCGCATGTTCTAGTGAGAGGGTACTGAGCCTGGGGCGTACCACCAGCTTAGGCCGCAGCAGGTGAGAAGGGTCGGGTTCTAGACGATACTCGGCGTGATGGTTTGCCAGGAGCTGGTGCAGCGTGTCCGGGTCGTAGCCATTTCGGATGAGTTCCTCTCGGATCTTGCCCAGGATCTTCTTGAGCTGGCGATAGGGGACAGCCTTTTCCACCCAGTGCCGCGGGTAGCAGTCCGCCTTCAGGGCCTCCTGGAACGCGTGACCAAACTTCATCGCAACGGGAACAGCAACAGCAACGGAGACCAGAGACGATCATGGGCGAGAGAAGGCGTGTGCATGGCGTGAGGCGGGGGCAGGCGCCGCCAGACTGGGAGAAATTGCAGGTCGAGTTGGAGTCGACGGGAACAATTGCGGATAGGCGTTCTTCGGAGGAAAGGCCTGGCTCGTGGCCGACGGTGGTGGGAAAATAAATGCCTCGACGGGAAGATGTAGAGGAAGCAATTGCTTCTACGCTAGCTCTAGCACTTTGTAGGGGAGTCTAGGGACCGGGGACTATAAATTACCTCGATTCCAGTTTTCTGCTGTCCTCTGTTCTCACCCAACAAGGTCAGGTGCATTGAGCTACCAGACCAGTTACGTAACTGGGGCACACGGCCTCACCTGCCCTGAAGATTTCCACTCTGTGTGCTATTATAACCTATTGTCTCGCAAGGACAAACAGTCCCGACTCCATGGATAAGGTACCTGGGGCCCGGTGGTCATGTTGTGCTTCCGTCTCACGCGACCGCATACCGGTTTCGTTTACCCCCCGCTCACATTTGGCAGAGCAGAACATTGGTACGATGACATTAGGCACTGCAGCGCAACCCGCTGCTTAAAACTCGAGTTTTACCTGTTCAGATTGGTTGGAAGAAATGCAGGTTCCTGTCATCACATGCCGGCCGATTAGCGAAGGAGACACTCATCACTTGCATGATAGGCCATTGTAAGCTGGACTGTAAGTTACATACCATGTACAGTACAGTACCGCTGTACTACTGTACTGTACGGAGTACCGTTGGTGCCACTGGCAGATGACTGGACCAGGAGAGCCCCTCTCCGACCCCGCTAGAAATTTTCCCCATCCTAAGGTACAATAAGGAAGTATACCGCCAAGACATAACGGCTATCAGACACGACTGCACACTTCCTGATGCTTGAAAATCAGCAGTCACCCTAACACTCTCGAGACTATTTTGAGAGTCAGACGGCATATATATAAATGGGAGCCGAGCAGTCGGCCCCGCGGGGCACCGGCAACCAAGCCACAGCCGCCGCTGCACGCAAGACATGCTACTACGAGCTGCTGGGCGTTGATCGCGAGGCGCCCGATGAAGAGTGAGTCTTGTCTGTTCTTTCAAGGGGCTTCTTCTTGGATGCGCATGCTCTTCGCCCATCAGGTCCTCACACATTGTCGCTAGGATCCGCAGGGCGTACAAGAAAAAGGCTCTGGAACTCCATCCGGATCGCAACCTCAACGATGTCGAGAATGCCACACGGAGATTTGCAGAGGTGCAGACCGCCTACGAAATCCTGTCTGATCCCCAGGAGCGAGCCTGGTACGACACGCACCGCGATGCCATTCTTAGCGGTGAGGACGACGTCGCCGGCGCCGCCGCTTCTGCCGAGCAGTCTCGCAGCGGTCACACCTCGGCCCATGCCATTTTCGCCCTGATGGGCCGTTTTAGTTCGACCGTGCCAATGGACGACAGCCCCCGAGGCTTCTTCAGCATTCTCAACGAATTCTTCGACCAGCTTGCCGCCGAGGAAAGGGCTGCGTGCGAGTGGGCTGGCGTGCCCCCTACAGATTACCCGCCCTTTGGCCGATCCACGGACGACTACAACGACGTCGCGAGGCCTTTTTACAATGTGTGGGCGGGCTTTTCAACAAAGAAGTCGTTCAGCTGGAGGGATAAGTATCGCCTCCAGGATGCGCCAGACCGCCGGATCCGCCGCCTGATGGAGAAGGAGAACAAGAAGTTCCGGGAGGATGGCATTCGGGAATTCAACGACGCTGTCCAGTCTCTAGTCGCCTTTGTCAAGAAGCGGGATCCGCGCTATGTACCCAATAAGCAGTCTGAGGCCAAGAGGCAGCAAGTACTGCGGAACTCGGCCGCAGCCCAGGCAGCACGGTCACGGGCCGCCAACCAGGAGAAGCTCGCCGAGTATGTCGTGCCTGTGTGGGCGCAGACCCGAGACGACGAGGAGCAAAACGATGAGTTTGCCGAGTCGGAAGAGGATTCCGAGGTCGAACAGATTGAGTGCGTCGTGTGCAACAAGACGTTCAAGAGTGAGAAGCAATTTGAGGCGCATGAGAAGAGCAAGAAGCACGTCAAAGCGGTGCAGCAGATACAGAGACAGATGAGGAAGGAGAACGCCAGTCTTGACCTCCAAGACGCAGAAACTGCTGCCTCGCCGTCACTGTCCGCGCCTCAAGACCGTGAAAATACGGAAGACGTCAAGTCTGTGGGCTCTGACACACATCGACAAGGCAACGACGTGGAGAGGCTGGAAGCTGACGCTCAGTTGCCGGCCAGGAGCGATGGCATTGACCAGGGCACGCAGTCTCCGTCCGACACCGAGGATGATGAGTATGCTCCACGCTCGGCAGTCGAGGAGCGCATCCTGAACGGGAAAGGCAAACGCACGACGGCGGAATATGCAGAACCAGGCGAGGATATTGACGCTACGGATTCTGCAGCTGCCAGCACCGAAGGCAAGGGAGACAACAAGAAGGTAGGCAAAGCAAAATTGAGACGGGAGAAGAAGGCTGCCCGCCAAGCCGCCGAAGCCAAAACATCGGACTCCGTAAGTCTCCTGATACTACCCAAGTATACCTAATTCTGTGGCCCAGCACCTGACTCCTGAAACTCCAGCATAAATGCGCCGTCTGCAAGGAGACTTTCACGTCCCGAACCAAACTGTTTGCCCACATCAAGGACCTCGATCACGCTGCTCCCGTGCCCAACGCAAAGGCGGGCAAGAAAACTAGGCGGTGAGAGCTCCCTGGCTGGAAAAAAGCCTCTACGCACGACGCTCGGCGCCGAGTCCCTCGACAAGGCGGGGTATATCATCACAGTCGCAAGAGCAACTGCAGCGATGATTTCCTAGCCACCCGAGGACTCCTAGCTCCGCGAGGCAATTGGGAAGACACCATGGCCCGCCCAGTTGAGGTGTCGCCCGCTTTCAGCCACGCCAACGATCTTTAACTCCCGTATCGAAAGGCAGGAGTACCCTAAGGAACGGTGGAACGCAACAAGATTGCCCACATAACAGCCGATATACACGGCCCTGCCGCTATTATGCTTCGAGAACCGTGTCTGCGTCGTCGTCACTCAACGTCTCTACTTCGTCGATGGCCTCGGCTCGGCCCGTGCCCATGCCCTTCCCGGGATCGTGGGGCGAGACGGTAATGATGGCTTTGCCCTGCACATGCTTGACAGCGCTCTTCCACATCTCCCAGTCATCCTCGTCTTTGATCAGAAATCCGATCAACATGCTGGGATCCATGTCCTCGACGTGAAGGTGCCGTAACCGCCGGGTATGGCAGGAATCCAGCTCCTCGGCCGTGTACTCTTCGGCGGCTTCACGGTACGGAAGCGCCGGCCTTGGGTAATGAGGGTCGAGGTAGAACAACCACTGTCCTTGGGCCCCTACAAAGTAGAGCGATGACGAAGGGCGGCCGCTGAGAGCATGTCAGCCGATGAGGCGAAGCTTGAAACGTGGCGAACAGATGGGAGAGCTTACCCCGCGATACCTATGGATTGTTCCATCTGCAGTGTCGAAATCAAAGCCTCCTCATAAACTTGGTTGATTCTATCTATCCCGAGCCTCGTGCATACCAAGATCAGGGTTGGATGGAAGTTGTCGCCGGTAGGATTGGCAACAGCCATGAAGCTATCTTCGTAGACATCGGGTAGATCGCCGGTTGAATATACACGCAACAAACTGTCATGTGTGTTCGCCAGAGCTCTGTCTAGGTTAGCACAATGTTGTTCATGGATGCTCCCACAGTAAGTGAGAGGAAGGGACATACATACTGGATGCACCGTGCTGTAGCCGAAGGCCCGAACCACTCTCCCGGGTATTTCCCACAAGCGACCGCTCCATGCTTGACAAAGTTATGCAAAGAGTACGGAGCGCGAGGATCATCGGCGAATAAGGACACCACCTCGCGCTCGGCACCGGGATCAGAAGATCGTCTCCAATCTGGCAAACATGAGAGGTGCAACGTTAGCTAAGCGAACCCAAACTTGAACTCCTGAAAGACGTGGAGCGACATACCGCGTCCTAGGCGAGCGATCAGGAGCGCGTTGGCCAGGAGACTCTGGCCCGAGCGGATCATGCAGCCCCATCCCGTGTCGGAGGAGAATCCCCCCGTCTGGTCGCCGAACGACGTCTTGAGCCGCATCGTAAAGGACAGAGCCGACGCTGCGCGCAGGTCTGTCGAGCGGGGGATCACCTCGAACCCGGTTCGATACGTCATCCAGATGCGTGACTCGAAATCGTCGAGGAAGGCTGGCGGCCAGCCGCCGCCGTCTTCCGGCAGAGCCGAGTCGCTATAGGCCAGTGCCGAGTCGAAGCTGCTTGCCACCGAATCCGGCGGCGTAGACAGGCCGCCTTGCTGCTCGTGCTCATGCGAGTGATTGACCCTGCCTGCTGCGGCCGGGATTTGGGCTATTGCTGCTGCTGTTGCTGCATCGATGTTGGTGCTGGTGTCGGCGGGCGGGGTGCTTGCTGTGGTGGGTGGCGGCGGTGATGATGATCCGTGGGATGGTTTGGGGGTGCTGAGCGTGTATGAGCGGCCCAGACACCATACCGGGTCGTTGGAGCTGCGGTCGTTGATAGGTTCTGGGTCCCAGATCCGATGGAAGATGCGGCGACCTACGCGGCCGACCTCTGCCCCGGCTGCCATGGCTACCTCGACAGCACTCGCCAGCTTCGGGGATGTGCCCGACACGGCGGATTGCCAGGTGCTGTTCCCTGGCCGTGCCGGAGTCATCGGTCTAAGCCCCCAGCTGGCTTATCTCGCAGTTGCAAAGTGCCCGGCCGAAGATGTTGCGTACAAAGAGGACGAATTCTACTCTTCCAAGATGCTTTGGCTGGGAAACAACAGCCCGCCACAAGGGACCGGGTGGAAGGTCCTAAGTCGAGACTCGCGTGGAACAAGATTATTGGTTCAAAGTAATCTGGAATGTTGTAGATAGCAACCTTGTCCCAGGATAAGGAATGCGTCCGTGGTCACTTGGATCGTACAGAGTCGTCGACTATTGCTTGATTGTTGATGGCAGCTGCAGGTTGTCAGAGAGAGCTACCTTACGTGCTATGTCATATGAACAGTTGCGATCCCCCACTGATGAGTCCACATGCGGCGTGCCAGGCTCCCATGCCTGCCGCGGACCTAGTACTCAGTACTGTATTGTAGTACTAGCGGCTTTATGGTACCGTGGTGGTACTGTGTACATACTGTAGAAGTCGTTCGGTGGCGTAACCTGTGTGTTTCCTTCCTGACCTCAGCAGTCAGAGAATTCATCAGCAATACATGCTCAGGCATCCATAGAGGCACTGCATCACAGCAAATGCCCTTGTTTCAAAGTCAAGAAATCGGGCACTGAAGCAACAGGAATTTTTTCCGTGCTACACATGTAACCCGCGTTCTATATCCCCATCACGCAATCCCCGGTCTTGTCGAACCCCTGTGCTGCCGTCCCTCGGCCGTTTGCAAGGCGTTCTCAACAACATGCCTGGCAAACGCCCTAAGAGGCCGTTTGCTGGCTCGAACACTGCCCGCGGTAAATCTGGAAAGATGGCTCAAGGCACATTGGATTCTTGGGTTTCCCAAAATCTCTCTCTGGAAGGTCCTTCAAATGGTATGGGCCGAGCAAGAGCCCCAATAGGTTCACCGATACGGAGCGTCTGACTTTGGTAGCATTTTCCATGAGAGACGAGGCCAGGAATACAGCATCACATCAGTCAATCGCGGCTTGGAGTCCCGGTGGCATCAAGCTCAGACAGAAACCTGTCGCTTTCGTGAGTGCCGGCTGGATCGAGCCTCTCAAAGATTCGAAGCTCCTCGATCCCTCGGACGAGGCCAATGTCGAGGAGCCCGCTGATGGCGACAATGCCCCAGTGATGGGAGAAGCCACCGTGCGGACTATCGAGCTCACGGATGTTGTGGCGACTGTCGGACAAGAGAATGAAAATCCCTCCGGTACAGGGGACTCAATTCCTCAGGAGCAATCTATTGACGATCCAAGCCAAGCTCTAGACCTCCGAGACGTCGACGCAGAGGACCTCTTTTTCTACGATCTCGTAGGCAATAAAGCAATGGATAGCCCTCCTGCTTCTCCGCCTAAGATCCCAAACCCCAAGTCCTCGGTTGGGGGATCTGACTCAAGCGAGGAAGTTATTCTCTTCAAAGGCCGCTCCGGAAAGGCTCGCGGAACCGTTAAGAAACGCGAGGGCTCTCAACATAATACCCGGATGCACCCTTCCGTGACCTCGAAGTCCAAGGCCCCTGCTACAGCTCCAATTGTACCAGCTGCTAAGACAGTTGCACCACCCAATTCTGTTTCACGGCAACACGAAAAGAAGCGCGGCCTTCCCATACCCGTGGAATCCGCAGAAGACGGCGAAGAAGATGAGGATGCTGAAGATGCTATTTTGGCTGACTATATTGCCAATATGCTTGCAAATTCAGAAGATGATTTTGTCACCCATCAGCTCCAGTCATACTCTGGCCATAGGGACCTCGGGGGCGATGACGATGCTTTCAACTTCGGATCGGCCGACGAGGAGAGACTACCATATCACAGCGGCTCGTTGAACAACGAAGGGACGGATTCCGAGGATCTTGACACTAGTGATGTTGAAGAAGACGAGCCTGAGGGCGAAGAGGAGCAGGACATGGCCGCGGACATGGACGATGAAGAACTCGCCCGACTTTTCGCTAAACAAGAGGAACTGGGTATTGGCGGCGACGAGCTGATCCTAGCCTCTGCCGGCTCGTATGCTAAAGCCGAAGGTAAAAGGGCGCGCAGGAACCTGCCCGCTGCAGCAGGCTCTAAGAAATTTCTCAACGGGTTTGCCAACGCTACCTCAGTTGCCGATGCCTTTGATGATCTGAATATCGGTCAGCCGGCCCGCAGACGGAAAACCAAGCAACCCCCCAACTTCAACGTGTCCGATTCGGAGATCGACGCGGCGTTGAAAATGGCGTGGCGACGGGACAGAGAGCGGAAGAAGAAGCGCAAGATGGACCGCGAAGCTCTCCGTGCCCAGGGACTGCTGGGCAAGAATGTCAACCCAGACGACATGCGCATCCGGTACCCTTCAGCAATGACCCTGGATGATTTCAAGACCGAGATAGCTTCATTTCTTATTGGCACAGAGGAACGGTGAGTAGCATCGAGAGTTCCATCAACCGTTCTGCAGCGTATTAAACTGACCATATCTAGTCTTGAATTCCCTCCCCTCGACAAGCACGCGCGCAAGATTCTCCACCTACTTGCCAGCAAATTCAACATCAAGTCGCAGTCCACCGGCAGCGGCGTGCAGCGCCGTCCCGTGCTCTACAGGACAAACCGCACCGTTCGCTACAGCGAAACCCGGGTGGGAGATGTAACCAGCCACGTTGAGGCTGCCGCGGTGCAGATTCGTCGCAAGTATTTCCACCGCGTCGATCTTTCCACTCCTGTGAAGAGGGCCAGCGGATCGGCGAGCGGAAGACCAGAGGCTAGCAGGACGGGCATCAAGGCGCTGAGACTCCGTGAAGGTGAGATCGTGGGAGCGTCGGTGCCGGAGCTGGGCCAGGATAACAAGGGTCGGGCAATGTTGGAGAAGATGGGTTGGAGTAAGGGAATGGCGCTTGGCGCCATGGACAATAAGGGCATCCTGGAGCCTGTGGCACAGGTTGTGAAGCATTCCAAGGCCGGGCTGGGATAATCATGGTGCAACGCGTCAAGCAGAGCACTGTGATCGTGCAGATTTCCGCGTTCCGGTGCCCCAACTGTACGCATATTGTTGAAATCCAACTCGTGGCTTCGGCGGGATATGTTGTCGACTGCGCATTTTCTCCAAGATTAACTAGATGTGACTCAACATCCTACTCAGCGCAAACCGAAGAGCGCCCGGAAACCAAGTCATCTGTCAATCCTCGCACTGCTTGTGTCATGAGTACTGATACAGCATGATCAACGTTTTCAACCACTCGATAGAAAAGTACTGGTAATCATATGCACGAGTTCATTTCGCCCGAAACCCTGATATCAAGGCATGTATTGTACAACCGCAAACCCCGTAAACCGTGAAAAAACATTTGCCCCCGTAAAAAGCAGACCATCCGTAACGCGTTGCATTAAGAGACTCCAAGGGGGCATGTGTGCCTTGGGCCAGCCTCGTCATGACTCCCAAATGCCAAGCCAACCATATGCCCTAGAGAGGAAAAAGCGAGAAAAAACCAGACCAGCACACTTTTATTTCGTGCTCGAGGAGTACTTGGTCACGGCCTTAGTACCCTCAGAGACGGCGTGCTTGGCCAGTTCACCCGGCAGGATGAGGCGGACTGAGGTCTGGATCTCACGAGACGAGATGGTTGACTTCTTGTTGTAGGCAGCGAGCTTGGATGCCTCGGTCGCGACACGCTCGAAGATGTCTGAAGAGTGGAGTCAGAAAATGGGGTTCAGATTTGAAAAGGCCATGGATGAGGATCCAAAATGGGAAACTCACCGTTGACGAAAGAGTTGAGGATGGACATGGCCCGGTTGGAGATACCCGTGTCGGGGTGGACCTGCTTCAGGACTGCAACAGGTGTTAGCTACCTTTGGTGGATAATGGTGCAGTGCGGCAAAATAGGCGTCGCGACGCGACTTGGCTCTGCCGGAATGGGCCAGGAAATTTGGGAACTCACCCTTGTAGATGTAGCTTGAGTAGGTCTCCTTACGCGCCTTGGTGCGCTTCTTCTTGTCGCCAGAGGGCGCGGTCTTCTTGCCGGCATCCTTCTTCTCGGGAGCCTTGGAGGCAGTTGCCGGGGCCTTGGAGGCGGGCTTCTTGTCGGCGGCTTTGGGAGGCATTTTTGCGATTTGAAATGGGGATTGACGACGAAAAAATGCGATGCGACTCGTGGGTCAGAGATGGAATCCGACGTTAAGAATGGAAGCTTTGATGGTTGCGGAGAGAAAGTTGTTGATGGAAGAAGAATTGCGGTTGGCGAGGGGGGATGGCCTTTTTGTATCTGGACGCGCCAGACAAGATGGTCCTGCTGATTTGACGATTGATCTTGGGGCCGACCGCGCAAAAAGTGGAGACACTCCCGCCCTGCGACGTGATTTGGCCAAAAATTACAGCACAAAGAAAAGTAACAAGGTGACGCGATGGCCCGAGCGCCAAAACACAGAACCCAAATCGGAATTTTGTATCAGTGTTAGTCAAGCTACGTAAGTCTGAGCATGCCCCTCCATATTTGCCAGCATCTTGAGGGTAAGTTGCAACTTACATCAGGATTCTGATCCGCCAGAAGAATACACAGTACACACACCCCTATCCATTGTAGAGCTCAAGTCCAGTCAGCTCAAGAATCTTTCTCCAATGCTCGTGATCCCGCAAGAGCAGTCGTCCATTGACAGGCATGGGGCAGTCCAGCTCTGGACAGTCTCAGGCGGAGCATGGCCTCGGAAAGGTACACCAAGAAGAAGGCAGACTTGCACTCGATTATGTACTTAATAAAATGCTAGATTGCAGTGGACATGGGGGAGACCTTTGTCTCACAGCATGCTATACATACGTAACTCGGGTAAGTCAAGTCGGTATGTATCTGAACTGGAGATATCAAATGCCGTACATAGTACCGATGGGTACTCCCAGGGTAGTGTAGATCGGCAACGCACTCCGAAACGTGCCCTCGAGATCATCAGCCTTACGCAGTACCGCCTCCAGCTCAGCTATCCCCATGTGATTGGCCCGTTGGAGCTCAGCTGCATCCATTTGCTCCCCGATATCTGGGGAAGAGCCACTCACACCTTGATGGCGGATGACAAATGTGGATGATGTTGTCACTACGGGAAGAGCCGCAAAGTATCTAATTCACTTGGGATCCGCTAAGAGTTGCCGGGCCCGGAGACTCGGACACGGGTTTCAGATGGTCTGGATGGAGCATTGAGGTATAAGATCGGCTTTCTGAGACTATATCTAGGTTGGAACTGGCACCGGAGCTGGATGGCACATGTCCGTCCAAATTTGGGCCTCCGAGGTCCCCAAGTACCTTTCAGCCTCATCAAAAAGATCGAGGACCTTTCAGAACCAAACCTATGCTTTCAAAGCAAGTCTGAGCCGAAAGTGAAGGTCATTCGGGAGTAGACCTCGTCACAGATGACAGCCCAAACCCGACAGGAAATTTGGCGATATAATGGGCCTATATGAGGCAGGCAAAACAGGTCAAAAGAGACCAAACTAGATCAAATTGCCTGTGACGGGTGCCGGGGTAGGCAAACGATGCCCGATCAGTCCAGCGAGCTCGATCAAGCTGCTTGAAAGCAAGGCAGGCACAGGTCGTGAATCGGATCAGTCACCGGACCCTATCGACTAGAGGGAAAGACAGGTTGCGAAGTGAGATCTAAGATGAGCGAAGTGATTTGCTTGTCCTTTGCGGCACAACACAGAAAATGGGATCAGGCAGCGGGAAAAGATCAGGTAGGTGCGACGCGTAGAATAGTTGAAAAATGTGGCAACAGTCTGTCAGGCAGGGACAGGCACCATGGTTCGATTTGTTGGTCGTTCTTCCCTTCGCTCTGGGGCGGGGCCTGATTTAAACAAGACTGCCGGGTGAAGTGCGGGAGTGGAAGAAAACTCGCCAATAACAAGGCATGCTGTTTTATCTGCCTTTTTTTCTTACCACGCGCAATAACAGCCCCTGCAATCGCCGTTTTGGGATTAGCTCCACACGCCCCGATCAACACTGACAGAACGGCGCGAGTGATCCGTGATCTTGCACCCTTACGCGAAAACTACTTAACTCACCCATCCCCCGCCAGCTCTGAACTTCTTCCGCTCCATCACATTTTCCATCATCAAACTTCTGCTCTTCCATCGACCGACGCATCTCAGACTTCGAGTCTTTCTCCCACATCTCAATCACATTAATATCCACACTTTTTTCCCACAACAAAATCAATCAAAATGACTGGCGGCGGCAAGTCCGGTGGCAAGGCTAGCGGTTCCAAGAACGCGCAATCGTAAGTATCCCTGATGGCGATTCGGGTCTTGGATTCTCGTCGCGTTTCGGACGCGTTTACATCGTCAAAAACAGTGGGCTAACCCAGTGGTGTTTCTAGTCGGTCATCCAAGGCTGGTCTGGCTTTCCCTGTCGGCCGTGTCCACCGTCTGCTCCGGAAGGGCAACTACGCGCAGCGTGTCGGTGCCGGTGCTCCCGTCTACCTGGCCGCTGTGCTTGAATACCTCGCCGCTGAAATCCTCGAACTCGCTGGCAATGCTGCCCGTGACAACAAGAAGACACGTATCATCCCTCGCCACCTCCAGCTCGCCATCCGGAACGATGAGGAGCTGAACAAGCTCCTCGGGCACGTCACCATCGCCCAGGGTGGTGTGCTCCCCAACATTCACCAGAGTAAGTTCTCAGATGTGTAACCTTTGATCACATCTTACTGACATCACTTCAGACCTGCTTCCCAAGAAGACAGGCAAGACCGGCAAGAACCCGTCGCAGGAGTTTTAATTTGGAGCTTTCTTCGTTTGCTTTTTTCCGGTCGGCACATTGGGTTCATGATATTAGGGTCACGGTCAGGGGTCATCGGTTGCTTTTACTCGCGTTTGGGTTGTACATTAATCCATGATGGGCATGGTCATGGTTATGAATGAGAATACCTTGTGAACATCAGCATTTTGTGCCATCTTCTTGCATTGGTCATATGTACAGTGTAACCCGGTTTTCAATTCCCAAGACATCATCAGGAAATCTGGTCTCCGAATGTGGTCTCCGAATCATCGAGACGCGCAACTTTAACTCACAACATGATTTAATCACGATCGGCGCAATATACGTGTTGTCGATGGCTCCAATTCCCAAAATGACTAAATCTATCATGCAACCACCAAGCACCATCTCCGGGCACCCATCCCATCAGAACTTGAGCGGCGGGGGAGCTGCAAGGAGGTGAAGAGTCAGCTCGCGAGCGTAGAGAGGGCAAAGGTGATGGTGATGGCGATGGGCTGCACTCACGATCCACATTGTGAACCGGCAGGTTTCTCTCGTACTTGGATCCTACGCCAGAATGTTAGCCCCAGATATTCGGTGCCGTATGTTCCACTCATGGCATATCGTACCTCCAGGCGCAGTCGGGTGGCAGTATGGATCAGGATGCTTCCACTTCTCCAAGAGCTTCTCTGTCTCCTTCAGCAGCGCCTGCAGTAAAGAATTCGCACACCATGCGGTCAGCAGTTCTCGTCCACCCTCGCCCGAGCTCCGTCATTCCTCAACTAGAAAGGGGTTGCTACTACGAACCCGCTGTAATCTGGGATCGGTAACATCCCGGTTCTTCTCGAACAATGAGCGGATATAGAGTGCCTGGCCGCGCCAGAGGTCCCGATGCACGGCCCAGTCCAGCGCAAGCTTCAACGACCGGCGATAGAGAGACCTGGCAGCAAAAGGGCGTCAGTCCTCAGTGTCCGGAGCGCCGGCTACGGGCATTGGCCGCAGGCGTGCTAGGTCGTTATACTGACAGTGCAGCCTGTCTTGTCGACATGGTGGTCGTCGATGGCTGTTGTTTGTGGCGCGTCCCTCGCCCTTGGGGTTTAGCCCAGATCCGCAATCTTAGGAGACCGATGGAAGGTCGAGCGAGGGCTGTATTGAACTCGGGCGGAATAATGGATGGGTTTTGCGACGTTGTCGTACTCGGTCCGTTTCGACTCGTCAATTGGCGAAGTGGATTGGATAGCTTCGGTTGAAGCTTTGCTTGACAGCGTGCTGCGGGTGCGGCGTTTGGTTTGCCAAAATGTCGCACGGATCCAACTGGAAGCTACGGCGGAGCGGATCAGCTTTGGTCCTCCAGGCACCTTAGCTGCCGAGGAATGGATCCAGTCTTGTACGTCACAAAGTACCAGTACTTCCAGATACCTTACTCGTCCACTACTTTCTGGCTCAGTTCTATTGCCCAGCTACCATATGTAATGGCTGTAAAGTACAAGTACCGAGAATGTCCTGGCCTTGGCAGGCTGAGGCACCCGGATGACTGGAACAGAGACCGCGATGTCCAGTGCCGTTCCCAATCCCAGGCATTTCAGGCTGGGAATCGGTCTGCTGTCGTTATGATTTTTCCCAGGGCAGCTGGATTTGAGAATACCTCACCCCCTCGACGAATCCACAGCATCATTAACTTTTCTTGTCCCTTGCCGGTCTTCCATCTGTATCCGAATTCCTAATTGACTTTTTTTGTTTGGAGAGTCAATTGATTGATTGCCCGCGTTGATTCATCATCCCCTGTTGCTGGATCCGCAAGTGGTTTGTTGCTCTTGACCGTTTTACGCTTCTGCAGATCCTGGTGCCGAGCATTTCCGACTCGACCACGAATTCCCTCAACACCCATACCCCATCTCTGAAGACCGAGCCAAAATGCTTTATCGAGGCCTTCGTCTCGCGGCGCGCGCCGCTCCTAAACTGTCGCTTTACAACACAAGCTCAGCGCTGCGGCAGCTTCCCTTGCAGTTTCAGCATGTACGAACCTACGCCGACAAAGTCATCAAGGTGCCAACGATGGCCGAGTCAATCACCGAGGGCACATTGAAGCAGTGGAACAAGGCTGTTGGCGATTTTGTTGAGCAGGACGAAGAGATTGCGACCATTGAGACCGATAAGGTAACGGGCGCCTGCGTTTCGCAACACCATGGTCACGCATTCTGGGCTGACGCGCCGTGGTATGCCAGATTGACGTAGCCGTGAACGCGCCGGAAGCGGGCACTATAAAGGAGTTTTTGGTCAATGAGGAGGACACTGTGACCGTTGGCCAAGATCTGCTGCGCATCGAGCTCGGCGGCGAACCACGCACACCATCGGGCGACAAGCCGGCCGAGGCGGAGCAAAAAGAGCCTCCCAAAGAAGCGCCCAAGGAGCCTGCACCAGAAAAGCAGGCGGCCCCCGAACCCAAGCCCCAAGAGTCCAAACCGGCTCCGCCGCCCGCTCCAGTGAAGGAGGCACCCTCTGCGCCAAAGCAGGAGAGCAAGCCCGCAAAGGCCTCTACCGACACGATCCCAACGGGCCCCAGCATGGGCATTGGCAGCCGGGAGGAGCGAAGGGTGAGCCTTAAGTGCCCTTCTTTCGGCCCACGCGTGCCGTGCTGATCCGCGTTACAGGTCAAGATGAACCGGATGCGCCTCCGCATCGCCGAGCGCCTCAAGCAGTCGCAGAACACGGCCGCGTCACTGACCACCTTCAATGAGGTCGACATGTCGGCGCTCATGGAGTTCCGCAACAAGTACAAGGACGAGGTGCTCAAGAAGACGGGCGTCAAACTGGGTTTCATGAGCGCCTTCTCGCGCGCCTGCGTGCTCGCCATGCGCGACCTCCCCATCGTCAACGCGTCGATTGAGGGGCCCAACGGGGGCGACACCATTGTGTACAGGGACTATGTTGATATCAGCGTGGCCGTTGCCACCGAGAAGGGCCTTGTGACCCCGGTTGTGCGCAACGTTGAGGCGTTGGACATGATCGGCATCGAGCAGGCCATCGCCGACATGGGCAAGAAGGTATGTCTCCGCAGGGCCTGTGACAAGTGAGCCCTGTTTTGTTTTGGCTGCTGACAACGGACCACAGGCTCGCGACGGCAAGCTCACGATTGAGGACATGGCCGGTGGCACCTTCACAATCAGCAACGGAGGTGTCTTCGGCTCCCTGATGGGCACCCCCATCATTAACCTTCCCCAGACCGCCGTCCTCGGCCTCCACGCCATCAAGGAGCGTCCTGTCGCCGTTAACGGCAAGGTGGAGATCCGCCCCATGATGTACCTCGCCCTCACTTATGACCACCGGCTGCTGGACGGCAGGGAGGCGGTGCAGTTCCTGGTCAAGGTTAAGGAGTACATTGAGGACCCGCGGAAGATGCTTCTGTGAGAGCAGTTCATTCCGCTTTGGCTGAGTCTCGATGGCGGCGGAGCGTAGCAGGGCGACAGCCAGCAACGGGAGGAGGGTGCGGGTAGCCGTCACCCATTCTGTATAATGTATATAACTGGGAGCTTTCCGCTGGCACAGTGCATCCTGGGGCGTTTCCGATTTTAGATATGGGCATGTTGTTTTTCTAAGCCCCTGTGCCTATAGATGCCATCTGTTACCTATGCTACTTTATTCCGCTTTGTGTTAGAAACAGCTGAGTGCGGTGATACTGCTCGCCCCAGTGTTCTTTCGGAACCTGCAGGATGGGGTAGTCGGAATACAAGCCGGTATCCATGTCTAAGTTTGTCAGTCAGCTGCGGTGGCCCGTCCTTAAGGATGCGAGACTCTTTATTCCATCTCGCAGCCATCAGCAGGTAGTTCAACAGCAGCCTACATGTTTGTCGTGTGTGGCATTCTGGGCACATTTAAATCTGTTTAGTTATGCTGGCCTAGAAAACTATCCTACGCAAGTATGCTTCCTATATCATTGGTGGATTACCAGGTAGGGAGGTGTCGTGACAAGGCTGGTGACTAGAACACATGTCATGAGTATCAAAGCCATCAATCCGATTAGGTATTCTTGGTTGCGATACACACCGCCTCAGGGGTCTTCATGTTCCTAGGCATACGATATGTTGTTGTGGCGGACTTCCCGGGGTATGAACATAGTAGATGATACTGTCATGCGATCAGAGTGGGCTCTCCGTAGCCAGATCCCCTCCTGGATTGGACAGTACTATATAGGTTTATTTGCTCGGACAGAGAGTGTTCTCGTGATTCTGGCTTGAAGCCTTCTAACACCGCACCCTTGGTGGTCTGTGGTTCTGTCTGATTTTTATATTTTGTTGTAATTGAAGGCCAGAACACCGGCCGGAGAGCTGTAACAGGACATGATATAACTTTAGCCAGCCCTCAGTTGAAGTCATACCGAGTGAGCTGCCTGTACATACACCCTATACCAGCTATCCAGGCTTAGGATTATATCATTCCCGCGTTGCAAGGCCGTCGGGACGCCGCCAGACACTGCCTTTCTACACACGGGACGCGGCAGATGCGAGTGGTGTCCGATCAATGGTGGCGGAGGCGCGCAGCTTGCCGGTCCCGGGTCGTATGCTGATCTGCAGGCCAGGAGCACAGTTATAAGGCACATACTTGGAAAAGAGAGCTGGGTACCTAGCTACAACGAAACGGGTATCATGACAGGTGGCGCCAGGAAGCAACTAGAAAAACAGATACAATATTGCAGTAAAGAATGCCCCTACTTCAACCACACCCAAACCCACTCAACAAAGGTCAGCCAATTTTCCCTCGTAATCCCGTGCTCTGGGAACTCGAGCCTTCCCTTCCGCTTCAGGCTCGTTGCCTGCACAGTGTTGCTCAAGTCGCCCGACTTGTCGGCCCACCAGTCGGAGAAGCGTAATCTGTGCTTACGAAGGTTGTAGCCCAGGATGAGCAGCAAGAAAACGGGTAGCTACATTGGTTGGACGCAGTCAGCCCCCATTTGGCCTTGGAGTACAAAACGCCCCTAAAGTAGGCAGGTTCTGGCGCGAGAGACTTACGCTGATGTATGCGGATACGAACTTGCGCACATTGAAAGGGTCGATAAACGCCCCGACACCGTTAAAGAGGATCAGGATGACGCAAGCCACCAGACCGAAGCATGCTTTTAGCCACTGGCCATGGGACTTGTAGGGATACAGCGGGTTGTCCCGGTCGTAGCTTGCAGCTTGGGATTCGGAGGCATTTCCGTATAGTTTGGCATCTTCGAGCCTACAAGTACAGACAGATTCTGTCAGCTGGACGCTTGGGTGCCGGGCACTTAGGGGGAGTTGCGAGAACTAACGTTCTGGAGAAGAAGAGATATGTCGCACAGATGGTGGCGTAGACGACAAGGCATGACACTGTACAGTTGTTTGCAAGTTCGTCCAGTCTCTGTCGAGCTTCGTTAGCCAGGGCGAACAAGAACGAGGTGAGATTTCCGTCATAGTAGGCACTCACCGCACCAACTGCACCGTAGCGTCCCATATATGCCACCATCATGATAAGCCCCGTGGCCAGGACGGACCGTACCGGCACGCCGGAGCGACATTGCCGCAAGCGCCTCGTGATAAACTCGGGGCCCGTCTGTCCCCGCAGGGCGAGCGTGTGCAGGACGCGAGTAGCGATGTACATGGAATTGACGGCACAGGTGGCGGCCGAAAAGACAAAGACAGCATTGAAGAAGTGGGCGAGCTTGGGCATGCCGGCCTCGACGACAGCAATGATGAAGACGGAGCGCGCGCTGACTGAAGTTGCATGGCCGTTGATGAAGGGGTGGTCCATGGGAACGACGAAGGACGCTGTGAGGACGGCAAGAGAGTAGAGCGTGACAATGCGCAGATTGATCTTCCGGGCTGCCATCTTCATGGCCTCCACGTCGGCAAGTGCCCGGCTCTCGGCTGCCGTCGCGGCGACAATATCCATCCCCACGTAGGAGAACATCACGCTGGTGAATGTCGTCCTGTACATGCCACGACTGAGTCAGTACGAGGGGGGTTTCCTGCGCGCGCCAATACGATTGCCCAACATGCAGCGGAATCGACGCACCAGATGCCAAGTAGCGTTCCAAGCGAGCCCTCAATAACATGTTTTACTTCGTTATTCTCGTCTTTGGAACTATAGGCCTGGTTGAAGAACGAGTATGGAGTGTTCCAATCTTTCAGACGGTTAGTTCTCAGAATGCTCAAGTACACAAGGCAGAGGGGGACAAACAGCGGGTTCCAGGCGGCTCGGAATAGTATGCGTCGGCACGGGCTGTACAAAAACGATATGTTAGTGATGTGCTAGATTGCAACTTGGGGGGAAATAACCGACGTTGGATAATAGACAAGAAGAACATAAGCTGCCAGTGATGTCAGCGACGCACCGGGAAGCCGGTAATCTATCTCGAGGTCAGGGGCACGTACCATGATGAGCATCGTGATGAACATCAGCTTGAAGCAACCGAACACGTACTCGAGCTCTCCAAAGACCTGCGGGAGACTTGAGTCAACATCCCATACATGCAGAAGACACGTGCCTGCAACCGTTGGCATCACTCCGGTCGGCGTACGTACCCGGACGGGGAGCATGTTGACCAAGACCACAATGATCAGGAAGACAGTGATCCACACAGCATTGTCGACACTTTCACCCGTTTCCCAACCCAGTGACGTCGTCCCGTCTTCGTAGCGGAACTTGATGGCGTTCGACACAGCAACCAGCTGCTCGCCAGCGAGGACGCAGTACGCAAACCTTTGCGCATCATCCAGGTCAGCTACGGCGACAATGCGGAATAACTTGACGTGGGAGGATGTCGGAAGGTATATTCTAACCAGTAGACCCAGCCAACGGCGAATCCGACGCCGCGGCCGACGAAGCGACGTGAGAATTCCATGACAGGGGCGTTGACGGGCATTAGGGCGGTCATCTCGCCCAAGCAGCTGATAACGGACGATATGACTTGAGTTTGGAAGAAACCCGCATCAGCATGCCGAAGTTGGATCTGATGCTCGCCAGTGAGGACGCTCACCTATCCCCATCAACACATAGCACACCACAGCACCGCCCGGCCCGGCGCTGGCGAGCGATCTGCCGCAACCGAGAAACAAGCCTGCGTTGCCCAAAGGCAAGAGTAAGTCGGTGCTCAGATAGTTTGCGCCTAGGAATGTTGGGCATAAACGCACCATTTCCAATTGTGCTAGTTGGGGAGGTACTTGTCAGCATGAACTCAGGGGTAGAAGTCTCGTTGGTATCGAGCCTGGCACTCACCCCGAAAATGCAATCATCTAACAACATGCGAACCACCCATTAGCAGGAAAATTGGGCAGGCTAGAGGGGGCCTTTCTGCTCACATTGATGTGCCGCTCATGCAACACTCGCCTGTGGACGAAAGAATTAGAAGTCCATCTTCATTTTGTTAGGTAGCCATCACAGCACTATACCATAAGCTGTCTCCACGGAACTCGCGCCGGTCGTCGGGAGACGATTCGTCAAAGTTGTGCAGCGTAGCCTCGCCATCGGGCTGGGGACTCTGCTGGCCGGTGTGGGGAAAGATTTGTGGGTGGACGGCTTCGGGTTTCTCGTAGTCCATGATCGAGCTCGGCCTGATGAGGTCTGACGGGACCGCAAGGGGAGAGACGACAGCAGAAGGGGGGGAAGGGCCGCCAGAGGTTGGGGAAAAGAAGGAAGCCAGTCATCAAATACGCATCATGATTTCCGACAGCACCTGGCGAGTCTTCTTCAGGTTGTGCTGCTGCAGCATCGCGATCGCTGCCGGGTAAAAATAATAGCTAATCAGATAGCAGCAGGGCAGCCAATTCGAAATGTCCCGGTTCACTGCCATCCTCAGCTCGGCTGCTTGCTTGGCCTGTCTGTGCCATCTTCCTTGGAGCAGCAAAGTGCCCATTGTCTCCTTGGCATTGGATGGTAGCAATCGGGCCAACGATACCCCATTCTTACCCCTGCCCCTGACCCTGCCGTCAAGTGCCATGCACTTGCGTCGCCGAAAGCTGCAAACTGCAAACTGCAAGCCACCGAGGGGTTGAACCAGGCACTTTCGGGCCTAATCAACGTTGACAAGCCACTGTAAGTCATCGATCTGGGTGTATTCTTACTGAACAGTGGCGTACCCCGTTGCGTGCCTTTGCTGTTTACGGATTGGAAATTGGAGATGCCATCCCATGTTGTTTGGTTCTTGATCCTAGCGGGGCTGATGCCTACGCGAGCGATAAGATATGTTGCACATGATGATTGGTCGTGGTTGTTAATACCGTGCAGTTATGCTGGAAATTCGAGGCCAATTGCAGGGAGCATTATCGGGTGCGCACAGCGTCATGCCCCGGGGATTGATCCCAGAAGGTCGTACATGAGTAACCATCGCCGAAAAAGTAGGCAAGGGATAGATTGGGTAGTGTAGCACCATGTGAGGATGTGACGAGGCTCGCCTTCAACAATCATGATCGATACTGTACAGTACCAGCTACTACTCGTCAGGCCGAGGTAGTGGGGCGGGAGCCGATCATGAAGGACTGACTGACGACTATGTACTGTACGGTAAGCATTATGGTGAGTTCGGTTGCGGCACTGGCTTACACTACGCTTGCCATACTGGACCCCGATCCGGTGGTTCGGGTCGATTGTTTGACGGTCGGGACGGGGACTCGGTAGGATAGGTGTGCACCAGGCGGCGGAACGCATTTTATGATTGACCAGAAACGGGATGTGATGTGTGGTGTGAGCATTCATTTGTTTGCAAGTGCCCGAAGGTGGCAGAGGGGATGCCAAGACCTTAGTGTGACACCACTGTGTGCTTAATAAGTTACCTTGTTCGAAGGTCAGCTCGATGCCCCTTCGACGGCACTGAGCAGAGCCAATGCACCCAACCAAACAGCGAGATTTCAGACACACCTCCTCAATGCGAATCCTCATAATACCGATCTCTTGGTGTGGTATATAACAGGTCGCAAACCGCACCGATCAATCCTATGCTTATAGGTGCCCCGAGGTGCTCTATATATCATAGAGGCCGTTCCAGAACAGGATGTCATCCAACAGCTCTTTAGGCAAGGGCGGGTTGAGATGGGCATAGGACTCGGCCTGGGGACATCGGATCTTTGCATGTACTTCGGCCGCGGCCTTCCACCCACCCAAACCCGCCATTTCCCAATCGATATGCCCAACGATCCTGTCGTTGTCGACGATGATGTTGGACGTGTTGAGGTCATTATGCATGAACCCAAAATCCGCGTCATTATTCTTCGCAGAGAAGATGATGTCGTATTCCAGTTGCTGAATGCCTCTATGGCGACCAGGATCGGGATCTGGAACAATATATGAACGGCAAGTAAGGCCAGGCGGCGGTTGGATCTTGTGCAGTCTCCTCAAGATATCGCGGGCCTGCTCTTTGAAGGACATCTTCTGAGCCATCGAAAGGTATTGCCATGCGACTTTGAGAGCGACGCCAGGTATCCTCTCCTGCACGATGATATCCCAGTCACTAATCTTCTCAAATTATCAGCCCCATGCTGATCCGCATTTGTAGGAGAAGGCTTACCTTGCCCGCAAAGTAAATGCGAGGAATCCGGATATCTGGGATGGCTTCTCTGGCTAGACTTGAAGCAGCAACTTCGTTCACATCGCCAAACGAGTGGCCACGCCTAGACCGCCTGCCTTGTTGATCGCGGGTGATGTGGCTTGACTTCACGACAATGCTGCCGAGAGCGAAAACCTCTCGACCCCCTTCAAGCCCTTCAACCATCCTGGTCGACGCATCGCAAAGATCAAGCACAGATGACCAGTACTCCAGTGACTCGGGTGAAGTGGACATGAAATACTTCGCATTGGGCTGGAGGTCATCTTCCCGAGGAGAGTAGCGGCCGAACAGAGGCACGTCAGCGTAAAGATCCGGGGCCAGGATTTTGGCGGGGTCCGCCTCATAAGGGTTCATCTTCAGTTGGCAGCGCTAGCCATGGACAAGAGTGCAGCACTGCTCCGTGGCGTACCCAAGAACGAGGGCGGTAGCCTGTTCAGCAGATCAGCTTACTTGAGGCCATTCGAAGGCGACTCTTGGTGCTGGCCGCAACGATGAATCCTGGGTGAGCAGAGAGTCAACAAGGCCCTGGAATAGCTATAAGCGGATTCTGTAGGCACCGGACACTGATTGAAGCATACCTTACAGCCCGCACATATATACAAGTTACATGTGTAGTGTCTGGACTGATCCGGAGTCAAACAGCCACGCCAGGTCAATCCCAGACGGAATGCTCACCACCAGCCTTATGGGGAAATTCGAGGGAGTGTGTGGGTGGGTCGATTGGTGCGCCCACTGTGACGGTGCAACCTTAAGGTTGGGCGCCAAGCTTGATTGCTTTCTTGGCCTCCGTCGGTGGACGGTAATCAACCATTGAGAACTGGCACAGGCTGCGCCCAGATTGCCCCACACCCGAACGTTGCAACTTGCAAAAGCCCACCCAAGGCTGTAACGTACAATACATACGAAGGAACTGGAAGGAAGGCACCTCCCGCTCTGGTCCATCGATTGCGCTCATTTCAGTCGTGCAAATGCGAGCGAATCCATGCTGCTGCACGGCTCAGCCGCTGGAAACGGATTTGTGCGGTCAAACTCCCTTACCATTCTCGTAACAAGGCTTCTGGGGCTTTGCAGCTTCAATCACTGTTGGCCGAATGGCCTAGCAACCTGGAAGCTATCGCGGCGGTTTTTTTTGCAGCGCTGCCCTGTGAGGGGCCATAACACAGATAAAACGGTTCCCCTCCCAAACTGCGCGTCCCCCGCTCAACCTGGCTGGGTGGTTTCTGGGGGAGGACCAGTCTATTATGGATGCGAATTTCACCGTTGCTCCAACCTGGCACTACTTGCCGCTCGTCGGCACACGCATCCAACCGTCTCTCGGCCAGACCGCAAGCTAGAATGATTTCCTGGGCTTTCCAGGCGCCAACATTCGCTTCAAACCGCCCATTGCTACTTTACTGTATAGAGTACCGATATAGTTTTGCTCCAGCCCTTTGCTGACCCGAATACATACCCGTACCGTCGATGACACTGTCAGCCAAGTGAGCGCCTTATGAAGGAGAGTGGAGAGAAGAAGCGGAACCGACATAGGCAACAGCAAAGTCTACGGCTCAAGCATCACCGGGACCTCATGAGCAAGATTACGCCGGTGCCCAGCCCCCACTCCAATATCCACGGTTCCGGCGCGCCGCCCCCAGCCAGCAACTACCGTGCCTACATCAGTACCGCGGCCGATCGCAGGGGCACGATCCGGTGTCGCGTGCTATGGCCGCCCCGACGCCCTCGTCGCTATTTTCGCGACTGGCGAACACATGGAGACACCTGGCGCTCCGCAGCGACATCGACGATATCGTGCTAGAGCTACTCGGCCGCTTTTCCCTCGAGAAGATCTACGCCTGCCCCAATGACCGGGACACCTACCAGCACCTCGTCATCACCCTCCTGTCTCAGCTCAAAGTCGTTTTCGACTTGCAACGATTGACCATCCCCGCTGAGAACGCCCCCGTCGGCTGGTACCTTGGCTTCCTTGTCAGCTGGGAGGTTGCCGTGCGCTGTGTCGAGTCCGTCCTCCATGTTATGACTGAGGGTCGGGAGAGCCTTTGGGAGCACCAGAAACTGCGCGACAAGTACCTGGCAGAGTTTCTCCTCTCGGCCCTTCGAGTCCTCACGCTCCATCCCAAGGCTCCCGCCAACCAGCGCGCAAAGGACCGCCGCGACCGCTTCACGCGCATCCACGGATTACTAGAGCAGGTCTTTGACAGCTACCCGGGACCCAAGTCGTTCCTGCTTGAGGTGTGCAAGGAGGTGACTTACCAGCTACACACCGATCCTGACGTCCTCGGCCTGCCTCCGAAACTGAGGACCGAGCTGCCAAACTTGACGACAGAACTGGTACGCGACACCGGCTGCTCTCCTTTGTTGGCATTTCCTCTGCCTGGGCGTGCATGCGGATTTTGGCCCGCCACTAGCTGACGCATTGCCTAGTACCCCCTTGCTCCCTGCCTGCAGCCCGATTCCATATCCGAGCTTGCGCCCTTCGGCGGTTTTGCCAACTGGTTGACCCAGTTCCTTGCGCTCCGAGATGTGTCGCAGTTTGTCGTCGCCGCGTCTATCCAGTATTCGGCCAACAGAGAGACCCGTGATGTTCGGCTTCAAGCCTCCTCCGCCCGAGCCCGTAATGCTGTTCTGACGTCTCTCGATAACCTGCGTATACCTTCCCACCTGTCCAAGCTGGACATGGTGGCCGTCTTCAGCACCACGTTCCGCATCATGCTCCCAGATACCCTTGATCTCTCGCGGCACGACCCAAGTGGCCCTCGCGTTGATGAGTCTGAACTAGATGCTCTAGACGCTCTCTGTACGAGACTCAGAGAGCGCCAAGTTATCCATCGGATCAGTGACCGGGAGTTGGTGCACAACGTCTCCCAGGTCATCAGGAACATCATTCTTCAGGATGACCCTGGCCCCCGTTTTACTCCCTCGCAGCCCGGGTTGTATGCAGTGAACTGCCCCAAATGCCATTTGATGGGAGCCTCGCAGCTGAGGTCCTCGGGCATCAAGCTTCCGGTGTGTCCGCTTTCTCCATACTTTAAGCCCTGCTTGTCTGAACTAAGCTGCCTTGTCGTTCATTGATCATGTTATCCATGTGTGCTAATGTCCGTGTTCCGCAAGGCCCACCCCGAAGCCGAGCCCGAGCATCGTCTTCCACCACAGTCGAAGTGCCTATATTGTGAGGAGGTCATCACCCTTGCCCGTGAAGTTCCAATCGCAAGGCAGACCTGGGAATTGTTGGGGCCGCTTCAGCCGGACGCTGACACGATCAATGTGGAACGGCATCTTCCGACACAGTTCCAATTGGGTCCCCCAAAACCAGAGAGCACTGGGTTGCTTCCTCCTGGCTATAGCAGTATGCCCGGCGTTGGCGCTGAGCGTCCGCGTGAGCCTGATGTATTTCCTTCCTCCCATCCCGGACAATCATCTTTCGCAGGCCAGACATTTCTAGATCTGCCCGGCCCCGCTTTCCCGAGCCCCTTATCCCCAAAATCCCCTGGCTATTACCAGCCCCCGCCTACTCTTCGGGCTGAGCAGTCTCGGAGCAATTTGCAGTTCGACTCAAAGAGAAAGCCCACCGAGGAATCGGAGTCGACTTTAACCTTCGCTCCTTCAGATCCCGCATTTCTTACTGAGCCGCCGCCATTCTCACAAGACACTCCTGGCTTCCGCAGACAGGTAACGCCACAGGAACCTCATCTAATCCACACTCCTCGAACCATTCCAATGGTCACAGCACCCGAAAAAGGCAAATCCAAATGGAGGCTGTTTACAACCTCAAAGAAAACTACCGCACCGCCTGCCGCGGACTCGAGCTCGCTATCCTCGACCACGTTGGAGGCCCAGAAGCTCGAGGAGGTGTCGCTCTCGGGGCTCCTCGGTACACAGAAAGGACACTCGAGAGGAAAGTCCTCCAAGATTATAAACGTCCACCTTTCTCAGAGTTCGACATTCGCTCTGTTCTGGACCCAGCTTCTGATTCACGTATGGGATGTGGGGACGTCACCTCCCACCATGGTACGAGCCATCTTACCGGAGAGCACGTGCATCCTCGCAGCCGTCGCCAGGACCCATCTGGCTTACATTATCGGAACCAGAGACCAAAAGCTTACGGTAAGGACGCAGTCTTTGTTGCTTTCTCGCCACCCATTCCGCAGCTTTCGCCCGTGTATTGCTACCCCCGCGCCATGTCAGTCGCTGATGAGCTCCCCCTAGCTGCGAGTTTTGAATCTGATGCAGCCATCTGCGTCTCCGGTTGAGTACCGTATATCATCCTCCCTGTGGTGCAAGAGCATTGCGATTGATAGGGAGGAGAATTACGTGGTGGTTGGCTTTGAGAATGCTACAGTCCGCTTCTTCAGCGCGAGGAGCATCGAGCAACCGCGAGAAGATAGGCTCCATGCCCCTTACCACCAAGAGTGCAAAGCATGCCCTTCCGTTGACACGTTGGCCTTTTCTAATGACGGGCTGGCCCTGCTTGCCAGCACTAGAAGTCCCAAGACAGGTCTCATACAGATATACTCTTGGCGCTTCCCGTTTCATACTTTCCAGGAGCTTGCCTCGTGCCGGTACGCCGTTCCGCTTCACGAGTCTGAGGATAACGGCGTGTCGTCTGCGATATTCCGACCGGGTGTCAACGGCGAGGAGAACCTCGTTTGCATAACCACGTGGACGCAGTCAGGCACGCCCATGTTGATCCAGCCGCAGGACGGACACAGAAGTGAGGTGAGGACAGATGTCGCCAGCAAGCAGAGCAAACTCGGCAGTCGAATACAGTGTGCTGCCTTTTCGCCCTCGGGGAGGGAACTGGTCATGGTGAATGACAAGGGCCACGTCTTCCAAGTGTCGAATCTCAACTCGAGCCCCATGGACGTGCGCAGGATCGCGTCGTCTAAGGAGCTGACGGCAAAGTCGGACTCGTTTGCCATGGCGTTTATGAGCCTGTCTGATGAAGAGCATGTCGTGCTTGCGTGGGCTGACTCGGCAAGGGCGACCGGTTGGGTCAAGAAGATTCCAATTACCTCCAGGGTAGGTGCTATCAATGTGCACAAGTCCTCTTTCTATTGCTCTTTGTACGGCTGGCACTGACACACCGACGTTCGGATTACTAGAGCTACTTTGGCGCGCTCCACAGCCCTGGATTACTCTATGAAACGTTGTCTTTCGCCGACGGAGGAGAGACTGTGGAGGTGCAGAAGCCGTTAGCTGAGTTGGCTGCAACGGAAAGAGCGATGACAATGCCAATCATTGGCGGCAATGAAGACTCAAAAAAGCCACCTGAGCCATCAAAGGGATAGTTGTGGTATAGAGGTTGAAAATAAAGTAATATAAACTATAGTGAGACTACTGTATACACCGCTCCAACAAGCTCCATTGGCTGTCTAGAGTCATATATACCAGTGCCTTTGGTTCGGGGTGCTATAGTCACGGAAAAATGTCGGTCGTCATCACGGCAAGTAAACAATCTAAGGGATACCGCCAAAGCTTGATACCACATTGAGCTTCGGGGCACTAAATACTTATCGCTGTTTGTCAGCAGCATCCTATATATGACCACGTACCTTACCAAGGAGAAGGTACTGAAAATGTACAAATATGTACATATTTACCAGCAGATATTGCGCAACGCTTTCACCCACAGCCCCTAGCTACTAGTTGGCGTCATTATCAACGTTCGCCAGAGGCGTACATGTGGTTGGATAGCCCACCACTTCCTTGCATGCACCCGGCTCTGTACAGCTGTTAGGTATCATGCAAAGCTTGGAGACCGTTGTCAACGCGCCTAGGCTTTTTGCACGGGCGACATAGGCGACTCGACTCTCTCCTGATCAGCGACCCGGTGCGATTCGTCAAGAGCTGCCGCTTCGCCGTTGGCAAGGCGTACCTGAGTTCGGGAGCCAATGTAATGTTTTCGCCCTCGCAGCAACCAATGCGTTGTTAAGAAGGCAATGACAAATGCCAGGACGACCGACGCATAGTTCATCTACAGACATTAGATATTGTAGGTAAGTATAAAGCTGGATTACCTTCGGCGGAAAAGCACCCACGTTTTCGGGCGTCACGGGCCGGATGATGGGCAGCACGAACAGGGCGGAAAGGAAGGCATTCCAGGCGACGGCCCAGGCGTTGATCGCGGTGCTGAACCTGCCCAGGTGCCACGGCCCGCGCTCGAACTTGCCGAACGCCATTTTGCAGAGAATGGGGATGCAGTACGACCAGTTCAGCGCAATGGCGCAGACGTTGAAGACTGCGGCGATGAGAATGGGACTGCCGAGTCCGACCAGGTTAATGGCGATGCAGAGCAGCGTGTACAGCCAGACGGCGTGGAGCGGCGTGTCGGTGCGCTTGTGGACGCGGTGCCAGTACCGGGAAAAGGGCACCATGTCGTCGCGCGAAGAGGCCCACAAAGTCCGCGACCCGGCGTGCACCGAGGGAATACAGACAAAATTCATGACGAAGAAGGCGGTGACTGTAAAGAAGACAGCCGGCCCGGCGCCCATGACATTGTAAAAGATCTGTGAAACCTGTGGCAGAGGAGAACCAGTCACGTTAGGTCCATATCCTTGCAAGTTGGGGAACAGGGCAGCCTCACGGGCAGACTGGTTGGGCTGGCCAAAAGGTCTCTAGGGTCCCCCATGCAGTACGCAAGCACGACGTTATATAGGAATCCCGCAACGTAGGTAAAGACTGACGCGGATGTTATAGCAATGGGAACAACCCGGGACGGATCCTTCGTCTCTTCGGCAATACTGGTTGTTGCAATATTAGCAGAGCAAGGTGGCTAATGCGGTTGGCCAGAGTCAACCATACTGTCCCACGCCGTCACAGTTGGTCATGATCTACGCTGCGCTGAGGCAGCCAAAGAAAAAGGAGAAGCCGCGCGGTGTCCAGCCGGAAAGAGGCTCAAAATAGGAAAAGACGTAGGCAGCCGTGTGCTTCTCTCCCTGCAATGCGATCAGCGCGGCGGCAGCAGCGATCAGGACGGCAATGTGGAAGACGGCGTAGGTACTTGAGATCTTGTTGAGCCAGGCAGTGGGCAGGCTGTTGATGAGCGCATGAACGACACAGGGGGCTGCCATGACGCCCGTGATGTGCCCCTGGGTTGGTCGGTAGTGAAATTCTGTGCCGATTGAAACTGCAGCAAGCAGCATTTGGGCAGCTCCATACTGGGATGAAGAGGTTCCGGTGACAGTGCCGACGAGATTGAGCCACCCTCCGTCTTGGTTAGCGGGGTTTCGAGATACATGACGTGAAAGATGATGATAATTTTTGAAGAGCAACATACCGGTGAGCCATGCCACCACCGGCAGATATTCTTGCGGACACAGGTACTTGAGTGTAAAGTACATGGCGCCTGTACCAGTTGACGGTTGTTAGGCCAGGAGTCATCGTACCAGGTAAAACACATCCTCTTCTCTTACCTGACGTGGGATATGAGGAGGAGATCTCGGTGATGGATAGTGCTAAGGCGAGAGCACCCCCACCCCCTATCAGCCAGCACCACACGACGGCAGCAGCCCCTCCAGCGTAGAGTAGGTAGACAAGAGTAGCCATGATGGTTGCATACAACCCGGAGATGCTCAAGGCAAAACTAACGAGCGGAGTTGGCTCGCTAACGCTTGCCCGTGGATTTTTTAAGCCAACCACAGCCGAATATAGTATCTTTCTACTAACTGGAAAACTATACCTACAGTCAAACCTGCAAATAACGATCGGGTCCGTCATAGCGAATCTGACCGTTATTCCCAGGTTATCGTTAAACCCAGGGTGGCCCACTATTTACCCAGAATGGAAGGTCAGGCCTGGGCTCTCATTCGCTCTCTGAAGCTCAGATACAGCCGAATTGCTTGATTTTACTGCTTTCCTGGCATTGAGAATGGCTGGAAAATACTGATCTAACTGGGTCTGACTTGCTGAAGCTTTGGCCCGTTGGAATAGGGGTGGAAAATGGTCCCAAATTTTGAAGAAAATAGGGGTCTTAGGTCGCCTGGTAGTGCTGGAAAATAACGATATTTCAGTATTAGTAAGCCTATTTCTGTGTATTACTCAGCGAAAATCAATTGTTATACTGTATTAGCCAGGGAATATCGGTTTCCCATACATTTTACAATGGGCACGCGATAGTCTTACGCTATTCGGAGGATATCGTTATTCTTCGAATCGCTATTTGCGGTTTGACTGTACTCTTTTCCCACAACTACCAGTACTATCCATACAAATAGCCAATTTAACAGTCACCTTACCATTCAGGATACCCAACACTTACCGTTCATAATACAAGCGGAGTTGGCTCGCTAACGCTCGCCCGTGGATTTTTCAAGCCAACCACAGCCGAAGATAGTATCTTCCTATTAACTTGAAAACTATACTCTTTTCCTACAACTACTACAAATAGCCAACTCAATAGTAACCTAACCATTCAGGATATCCAACACTTACCGTTCGGGATACCCAACACTTACCATTCAGGATATTCAACGCTTACCATTCAGGATATCCAACGCTTACCATTTAGGATCATAGGTTCCACCAGGCTTATTAGACTAATCAAAAATTCGTAACACCTATATACCCTGTAAGCGATAGTGTTTCTGCGGGCACGTATGCCCATTTGCTATCAAATTGTTAAGGGTGGTCCGTGGTCTACAGCCAATTTTGTGGGTGTTAAGCTAACCACGATAACCGGGGTTCTTGAAAGCCACTCTGCAGTTAAACGTTCTGATCCAACGCTTACCATTCAGGATATCCAAGTTCCAACGCTTACCGTTCAGGATATCCAACGCTTACCGTTCAAGATACCCAACGCTTACCGTTCAAGATATCCAACACTTAGCGTTCAAGATACTGTATGATCTCGCGAACAAAGAAAATTAGATGTGGCTTGCCCAGGTCTTCGGTGGTTACCTTGGGCTTGGTGGGAGGCATGGGCGCAAGGCCAGTGGTGTGAAGGCCATGGTTTGCAGGGGCTATGTCTACGAAATGTGCCGAAGGGCTGCCACTATGGTTTATGGGGTGAAGGTGCTGATGGGGCTCAGAGGGTGTAGATCGTGGTCAAGAAAGCAGTGGCGTTCAATGAAGGAAATGGGGTTGGTTGCTTCCTGCCTTCTTGCACCATGGGGCGAGATGGTGAACGCCAATCACCAGGTAGGTGCGCAGCTTGCATGAAGATTAGGTGAACAGCAACCGAGAGTCGATGGTTCGTTCCTCACGGTATTGCTGCCCAGGGCTGATTGGGACTCTGAGCTGCACATTCAAACACTACTGGGTAAGGTACCTTCCTGTCTATTGCCGTGCGGCACTACCCTACATCAGGACTCCTTCCTATGCAGGTCAAATATTTGGCCGAGTTGGCCATTCTTTGCACAGTTTCTCTTCGAAACTTCTCTACTAGTAGTTAACAGACTATACTATAGAAGGTCAAATCAACCATCAGAGCTGACTTCCCCTATATAGACCATTGGCACTGGCACAAGAATTTTGGTTACAAACTTTCTATAGCTACAAGCTCCTAGACTAAGTATCTAAGTCTAGCTCTCCCAAAAAAATCATATAACTACAGAACTGTAAAGCACTGCGCAGAAGGGTACGATTAACATGTAATTATGCTCCTATGGGACTTGGTATATAATTCAGTAGTGCTCTGAGATCCGCAGGGGACTTGTTCCCCAAGGATCAGTCTTTGTGATCAATGAATGATTGCTATACTGGA